TATTATTTATAAAGTTATATTATAGTATATATATAGAAATATAAACTTAAAGTTATATCTTTTTATATACTTCTTAGTCTTTTTCCTTTATAATGCCTTAAGGCTTATAATAAGATTTATTAGTTATTATAAAAGCTTATAGGTAAAAGCTTATATTAGGAAAAAAAAATATATTATATTGTTATTTATTATCTGTGTTTGTAGCCTAAAGCTTAACCTTATAGGCTGTAGTCATCCCATAGTAGCCCATGGGGACTTTAACGTCTCGCGGGAGGCTTGAAACCCAATTGGGATTCATTGGTCGGGATGATTGATCACTCCGACTTACGCGGCTTCCCCGCAATTTGAGTAGCTAGACATTACCTAAAAGATCATCTGACCTCGAAACACCAAGACAAACAAGATCCTCTCTTGTTTCTATTCTCGCCGTCAGACTATTTCACGTCGACAAAATGAAACTTCAGACGCTGCTCCCGGCGCTGTTGATCGCTGGAGTGTCTGGGCAACTCTTGACTAGTGCGTCAAACCCCATACCGAGACCGTTGGAATGCTGACAATACTACCAGGTTCGACCCGCGATGCTTCGAGCATACTGAAGAACCGTGGAGGATGGGTTAACCCAGAGGACTTGGCACCGATGCCACAGTGCATCGCGCAACAAGATCAGTCCGCTTGGCTGAATGCCATGACAAAGTGCACCCGCCATCGCTGCACTTCATATTTCGTCTTCTGCACGCACTATCAATGGCTCACTGAACTGAGCTGTCTGAACGCCGAGTTCTCACCTGACGTTGTCAAGGGCTACAGTAAATACTGCAGCAGATCGGTCCTCGCCAAGGCACAACTTCATCACTGGATTCAGACGACAACCGGTAGAAACTGGCTCGTCGACGTTGGAGACACAAATGGCTTACAGAGCCTATCACCCAAAAGCCTGGCTAACGGATACGCATCCATAGACATCGCCAACAAGGCACCAGCATGCTTGAGAGAGTCCCCTTCCGCCGGAACTAAAGAGACGTTCGACCATGTCATCAGCTCTTGCAGCTTCACAGCAACGACACAGCATACAGGCAATCCTGCTCGTCCATGGGGATACAACAGCCGCCGAAAGTCCATGACAGCTCTCAGCTTTGATACCGCAAGCTACGACTTGATTAGCAGTCACATTGTGGCCGGAGGGTATTTCGACAAAGCCTGTTTCTGCAACACTTTTACCATGCCCCAGCATGAAGAGCCATGCGCAACATCGAGCCCGAAAGATCTAGAGACTCAGCGGCGGTGGATGAACGAGACTTGTGAATATACGTGGCAAGAGCCGGCGCGCCTTCAACCCCGTGACATGATTCCCTGGCGATGGAGGATCTACCCCAAGTCCACAGAAGACAATGCGCAATGCCCTTCCAATGAATGGAAGCTGATGAGTATCGGCGTGATCAACTTGGTGACATTTTTTGCTATACTGCAAGCTAATAGTGCACGACGAAGTACAAGCACCATTTCCCGTCCGCTGTTCTACGATCCTGCCAGATGGATCCTGGCAGGAGTTCTTCTCGGATGCATCCACCTGTTCGCCAATTTAGCCAACGCAACTATTGTCCAGACCACCCCTGGCTACGAAGATATTCCCACCGTACAGCTCATGTTGCTTTGGTGCTCGCTCCCTCGCCTTAACTGGCTTCCCATCTCGTCCCACGGTACCAAAAACTCGAAATTTCAGGACATGACCTCCTCTATGTCTGCAATGTTTGCGGAAGCGATTCTCCAAGCATTTTCATTCTACCACATGTGCTGGACGGTAAACCATGGTCGGATTCATGACTTTTACTTTGGGGCTTTGTCAACTGCGACGAGATTACCATTTGCTGCACTTATGTTTGGCGGTGCACTTGCCTGGCTGTTCGTCGTGGCCTTGACGGCAGTACAAGTTATCCGAACGATACGAAGTCGAGACAAGCTTAAGGAGAAAGAAGAAGGTGAATCGGGCGCGGATGTAAAGGAGTCGACGGGGCCGAAGGAGGAGGAATGTCTACTACCAAAGTCGCCCACGGGATCTGAAGGTCACAGCTACGGTACCCTTCCAGCGGAAGTTGAAGCTCTTGTCCCGTCCATGATAGGTCATTCACGACTTCACATGACCATGGCAATGGGAGTGCCCCTCCTTTGGCTTGCACAGTGGCTATTCTGGATAGGATTCATTGGGCTGAGCTCCCATGATTTCTGTCTTCCATCCCTAGAGACTCTGACAGGTGTTTGGTTGATCTCCTCTGTGGGAAGCGTCGTCATTAGATGCTATCTGTGAGTGGCGAGCCTAGATGACGCAAGATTCCTGTATCAAGTAGCATTAGATTTTCTTTGTCGTGAATGTTCACTGTCCTTTTGACAAGAATCTTGAGTTTAAGTTATGTTTATTTGTGTCGGTCAGAGACGCTTTGTGACGCTAAGCTCTAAGGGCTCCAGTTGGTCAGTGGTTCTGTGACCTAACCTGAAAGGCTACGAAAGTCAGCGGCCTACGAAACTAACAGATTGAGACACGTGGGCACAAGGACGCAAAGAAAAGACCCAGTGGCCCGACTACTTGAGACCATGATCTCAGCCGCGATATATAAAACCAAGACTCAGCACTACTTCAACTGGAATTCAGTAACTCACAACTCCATATTATATTGTCGCTATGGGTCAAGGTGAAGTCGGTTTGGAGGTCCTTCCTCCTCCGCCAGCCTACTCAACCTCAAATCGACTTGAGGAATTCATTATCCCAACGTCTTTCACTATCCATAGACAAGGTGATTCAGAGGTTAAATTCAACATACGCGGTAACACCGGCGGTACACCCCTTTCAATCTCATGCACATACAAAAACACAGAAGACGATTTCGAAGCCCGAGTAAATCTCCTCCCACGAAAAGATGAAAACGTATCGCCACTAGCAACAGTGAAATACTCTCGCCACACCGCTGAGCTCGAATTCACCAACACGTCTCCTCCTTCAAATATCAACATGTACTACCGTCTTTTGGGCGATAGAAACGCAACACATTCTTTCAACGTCAGCGCCCCTCAGCGAACAAGCTTTGAGTGGAGGAATCTTGGTGATGGCGAGGGATGGAAATTGTACATGGGCTCAAGGCCTGAAGTGTTGGCGATAGGCGCGCTGAATATGGGTTCTGATAAACCTACGCGATTTGAGTTTACGGATTTGGAGATGGCGAAGGAATTGGATGAGCAGTGCAAATTGGTGATTGTTGCGTCGTGGTTGAGGATCTGGGACAAGGTGAGGATTCAGTTCAGACGGCCGCCTGATGAGGGGGAGATGGAGATGATACTGTGTAGCTGTGGTTTCTGCGTGATTCTGTAGTCTCAGCATATTCTTACTGCACTGTGGTTATTTTTGATGGGCGCTGGGCGTGAGCTAGTCATACCAAGTACGGAGTACTACGTAGCGTACCGAGATGGATATCGTTGATCCGGTCCGTTGATATTGCCTGGCTAAGCGAGAGGATCTGGTGAAATTACGCAGCCAATAAGCAGACTCGGAGACCCCTCCGTGCGTTCTGCATTCCACTCCCGACCACGATCAACACTCGACAAACCCATTTCCCCATGACGCAACAATTGCAAAACGCCTTTCAACACGAACAGATCCATCCATGTAACAGCATGAACTATCCTCCACTTTTACCCCGCGCTCCAACCTCTCTATCACACGAAGCCATCCCTGCTCTCGTTCCCAAAAGACGCGCCGTTGCAGTAGCTTGCGACTCATGCAGGAGCAGAAAAGTCCGGGTACGTCCCTCTCAACCCCCTTATGAACCGGTACTTACTTACATCCAGTGCACGGGCGAGTTCCCCACGTGTATTGCGTGTCAGCGCCGTGGGGGCGAGTGTCACTACGCTGATATTGCCAATGACCGTGAAATGCACTCAAATCAGCTCAAAAAGAGAGTCAAAGAGTTGGAGGTTGAGAATAGAAGCTTTAGAAGGCTGTTTGAGGGTTTGAAGAAGCCTGGCGATGGGACGGATCAGGAGATGTTGCGGAGGATACAGGCTGGTGATGATGTTGGAACCGTCGTTGAGCACGCTCGAGTCCTTGGCGACCAAGCGAAGCGGAAGAGATCCCCGGCGCCGAATCTAATGGCTAGGCAACGGCCATCAGAGTGGACGACTATCCGTGGTATTTCGCCCATTCACGCCTCACCGTCTCCCCTTCCATCACCCCCAATCGATACACCAAGCTCGCCTAGAGATGCTATCTTGGGCCTCCTAACCCTCTCCCAGGAAGAGAAACCAGACCTTGTCCTGCTCAACGAATCTCGGCCCAAAGAACACTGCGATCTTCGCTTGAACGACCTTTCCGTCTCGTACTGGACACGTGTCCCGATAAGCAACCGATCTGCGTCGACGCTCATCTCCACGTTTCTCGAGAGAGATAACTCTGCCGTTGGTTTCATCGACAAAGATTTGTTCCTCACAGATCTAGTACAGCATAACCCAACATTCTGCTCTGCCTTTCTCGTCAATTCAATACTCTATCTCGCTTGCGTAAGCAACTCCCTTGTCTCCTTATCTCCTTGTCTCCCCTCACTAACGCCCAAGCAGTTTGCCCACGCCGCATCCGATGGTAGAGCAGCTACGCTTGCACACAGCTTTTTCAACGACGCAGAGCGACTATATCGCGCGGAAAGAGTATCTGATAGTCTGACGACCCTCGCAGCCATCAACATATTCAGCTTGGGGTGCTTCTCCCATGGAAACGACAACTTGGGCCAGGATCTCCTTTTATCGGGACTTCAGATGGGGAAGAGGATGAATCTCTATGGTCTTGATCCTACAAGCTCAGAGGTGAGGGGTTTCCAGGATTCAGCATCTGGCTTTTCAGAGTCACAAGCTTCTTGGGGGACTTTTAATTGGTTGACGGATGTGAACTCGAACTTTACTCGGTGATTTAATCTTAGCTTCCTATGAGAGTGTAATCGCTTGGTATGCTAAGTTCGGATCAAAACCTTGGGCACTTCGAGCAGGAACTTTACTGTGCCTATGGACTAAATGTCTGAATTTTGACTTTACTTGCTCACCCAATGAGGGTTATAAAGCGCAACAACTCGTCCTGATTTTTGATCGATATTTAAAGCTTATGACATCTCAACGAAATACATTTAGCTCACATACTAAATAAAAGATCCTCCATTGTGCTAAACCAGAAGTGTATTTTCCAACCTTATGTTATGAGTGACGGATATGAGAACCCATCTTGATCTCTTATTCTTCAAAGTAAAAGACATTTTCACATCAGACTACAAAATGACGTCTATTCTGAGGCAAAAGATTGATGCACTCGCCCTCCAAAGAACAAAATCTAAATCTGTTCTTTCATCTTCAGCTTCCCCTGTCAATAAACCAACAACAGCCGTGCGGATACCTGCGTCGCGTCCTACTCTGCCTTTCGACATCGAGTTCCTTATAGTCAACCACGTGATAGAGCTTTATAGGAGCGTTCACAAATCCCTGGCACCCTTGGCCACCGTCTCCAGAACCTGGCAGTATATCGTGGAGAAGGGCACTTTTCAGCACTTCGAACTAAGTGTAGAGAATCTCTACCTCTTCGACGGTTTTATTCGAAGAGACCGGCTACAATTTCTCAAATCCGTCACTCTGACTCCGGGGAGGCCTCGCGTGTCACTGGACGTGTCACGGAACCTGCGACTGGGGTATCTTGGCAAATATCTTCTCTAGCGTAGCTTCGTCTACTACCGCTATTGAGTCTACACACATAGAGGAATGGAAACCGGGTTTGGAATTTGCGGCAGTCGTGCCTGGTATGAAATTCCCTCCCCAATGCTGAAGATATGGGAGTTCGGCGTGCCAGGACGGCAAGCTCACATCTTTACGCACAAGAAGCTCAGCGCAGCCAGGGGTAGGATCCATTGGCAGAGTTGCGGGCATCATAGGCTCCCAACATATGTGTGCCACGCCTGGAACAATGTCTTGAGTGGCAAGGAGAATCTGAGAATCGCACACTGGAGGTAGCGAGGCACCGATTGGTCCGCCGCGATATCGCGACCTTTTCGGATATTCTGCTGCATTCGATGCTAATGAAGCAGATTCCCCGTGCTTCTACTGGGAAACGGATACTAGAATTTACAATGTGAGACAGGTTCTTTTTATATTCAGCTTCGTCCCGTATCATAGGCATAAGCTTTGAGCAAGATCTTGGCTGTAAATCATAATCCTGTCACATGTTTTCGACATTGCCCGACGTGGATCTCGCTTCGTTCTTTTTACTTTATTCCTATAAGCGGCTTGCTGCTGGTGGCCTAGGAGTTCTGGTCACTACCTACCGAGAACTTGGGATGGCAAAACCTTGATTCGACTCTCTTACCTTTTTGTGATTTTAAACTCTCAGCCACAGGTCCCGACGGCGAATAGTATATCCTTTCTCTATTAACACGTGGACCTGAGTCATCCAGCGGACTATCTGAAAGCTTTGTGAGTTTGTGCGCAATTTAGTTGAACTTTGTCCTTCAGGAACAAAAACTCTGAAATCGCTTTTCTCCGCTCTTCTCTCAAACTACCAGTCAACTCTACAAGCATAAAACCACTCGATATTCCAGAGTAACAGACTTTCAGGTTACTCGCCACGTCTCCGGATAGCCATTCTTTTGCGCCGACCCGTATACGGTAGCACATGGCACCATGAGCTCTCCCACCACCGCCGTTGTGCGCCCTACGGCATCTTGCACTATGACTAGGGTCCCTCCCGAGATCGAGTTATGCATCGTCCAAGCTCTGATAGAGACGCACAAGAGATCAAAGAAGCCAGGTTTTCGCTTATCGACATTTGCTAGCGTATCCAAAACCTGGCAAGCCCTCATAGAGAAGGAAACATACCACCATATAAAGATAGCGCCACATGAGCTAGACTCCTTCAAACACCATGTCCGATCCTATCGGAAACTACTTGTCAAACATATTCTTCTCGAGATCCCATATGACTTCTTCTTGGATCCCGATAAAGATCCGGTTCTGTTTTCGAAAGCGGTGCACGCCCTTTGGCGTATCCTCTCAAGATGGAAGACACACCGGGTTACAGTGGAGCTGGGCATCGTCTCTCGTCAAGCAAGGAGATTCATTGAGGCCCGTCACAATCCTTCTAACCCTTCAAATACGTTTGACCAACATTTTTGGTCTAGTTTCGACCTTTGGAACAGTTTAAGTGAGTATTTCTTAGGGAGAGAGCCTGCTCGCTTCGACCGAACTTCCTTGCCGCAACAAGGGGCCACGAGTTTGCCAAACGTTGACGCCATCGCTGAGCTCGTTTTCCGAAGAGAATATAACCCAAACATCTCTCCAATAACTCTCTATGAGATCATTTCCTCTGCTCCCTGTATTGAATCATATTGAGAGATGGTGTTATGGCAATCTTGTACAAGATAGAAATTGGGATCGCGGTATGTATCTCTCTGTTCCTTCGCTTTTTCATTGTCCATGATACCAACATCCCGCAGCTTTCCAACAGTCAGGGCTTTTAGTGCCAGATTCAACAAAGCGGTTGACCTATTTTGAAGAATTCCATACCACATATCACCAACATGCTGGGGCAATGGTAATGCCACGACCAAACGCAACACTTCTGAAATCCATATCCCAAGCCGCAAATCGCCTTGAGCATATCTCTGTCTCCTTTGCTTTCGATGCACAAACATTCTTCGACAGGCTTATACGAACGGAGTTCAAGGCACTGAAAACTCTCGCACTTACATCTTCTTTCAGTGGCACCTCTGAGAGTCTCTTGATTAATGCTGCAGAGGCAGTAAAAGAGATGCCCGCTCTCAAATTACTGGAGATCTGGAATTTCGAAGCTGGCCATGTTCAAGCTGATGTTTTCCGGTATGAGAGACTCGATCGATACCAGGGTCGAATCACTTGGCAGAGCACTAAGCAGCGCAAGATCTCTTCAAACGTGGAGAGGAGTTGGAAAGATTTGTTGAGGAGAGGTGAAAACGGGTTCGATATCAAGCGTAGCAGTTTTCCGATGGATATCAGAAGTCTCCAGGATCTTCTACCAAATTTGAAGTTGCGGGAGCAAATTCTTCGCAACCTTACCTAAAGGTAGAATTGGGTCTGAGAGACTATTATCAGAGACCTTGGTCAGACATGTACTGGCCTTTTTATGTTACTGCTGTCTGCGGTAGCACTGCGCAATAGAATTGTCACAGAGTTCCATTTTTCTCAAATGATGTTTGCATATTATGTATTGATGACTATACCGACATTGAAGATCCAAGACATTGCGACTACGAACATGAATTTCCACATCTAGACCATGCATGCTGCTATGTACTAGTGCCAAAGATCTCCCATCGCTTAGTTGGGAAGGTTGGCAGGGGTATAAGACTGATCAGGCTTAACAACCTTTCCGCTCTGGACCTGCTTGTCGGTATAAGCAGGCCAGACGATCTGTCGCTTGGAAGAAACAACAGAGAAAGTGGTGAATCCGTTTCCAGGGCCGAACTGGCCGCTCCAGCCAGAGGTGATGGTGTAGTCACCGCACTTGACCGGTCCTCCGTTGCGCTGAGATGCCTTGCTGCCCTTGACGACGTACTTGCAGCCGGTGGCAGCACCCTTGTGGGTGTTGATCTTGAAGTTCCAGGTGCAGGAGCTGTCGTCCTTGGCGCAGCTTCGCTGCATGCTCTCGATGGTCCATTGGGGGCTGGCGGCCATCATGTTGACGGCGGGAGGTGGGGCAGCAGAGACGCTGGTGGCCAAGATGGCGGCGATACAGGCGAGAGAGAACTGCATGATGATGGTTGAGGGAGGTTGTTTGGTGGTTCTGGAAGATGTTAGTGGCTGGGAGGTTGACTTGATTGCGGCCGCTTACTATTAAGGTAGTTGAGTGTTGGTAGCGATTGTGATTGAAGCGAGTGAAGAGTGATTGAGTTGAAGCTGATGAGAAAACAATTTACCAGCAGTGCATCTCCCTCCTTATATACTTTTTCTCTCACGGAATGTAACATTTCAATCATCAGACGACAATACGACCTTTGGCAGTATACGAGTTTGAGGCTCTGAAGCTCAAGGCATGACAGATCAGCCACGAGAATCTCGAAGGGTCCATTCAAGCCATAGTGCCGCTGCGCCCGAGGCTACGACCCTGAAATACCACGCTAAATCCCCAAGTCAAGCCTTCACGTGTGCAAAGGCTAGGGGAGGAAAGAAAACACAAAACCTTGACCCTAAGCAATAAAAATATTTAGGTAAATTTAGCCTAAGTTTAGGGGGCTCTTTGATGAGTTTATTTTGGCTCCCTAGATCAAGGTCCGGAGGAAAGGCCAGAATCTCGAATGGAGCCATAGCATGATTTGCCCCGAAATGGTTAGGCACATCTCGTATTTTCCGTGAGACAACCAGTTAGAACCGTAGCTATTTTTGGACGAGAGCCTAGTCCCCTTACAGGCAAACCACGGGGACTTTCAGTTACTGTTTTACTGTTCGTATTGTTCACCGATCATTCCACGCCATAGATTATTGGAAAGGCTTGTCCCGATGCGTAGGGAAACTTGCTATTTTTGACAACCACGTTCCAATTAATGACGCCGTGGCTGGGGAAGTAGATCATTTCCTTCGGAACATCGGCATCCCTCGAGTCCAGGGGTCAAGGGTCTCGGGCTTACCCGCTCCCCCAGATTTAGCCTCTGTTGCTACCCTGTGATGTTACAACTGCTTGGGGTTTATGTCACGTTGGCTTGTGGATGAGGAAAATGCCGAACAGACAGACTTGCAGCAAGTTACAATTGCCGATGACTTGCCTTGGATTTACGGCTTCTTCGGAAGACGAACAACTTGTAGACGACATAGGCACGGAGGCAATTGAGGGAATTGTTCAATTTGGGCTTTCTGTGTGCATTATGCAAGGGGCAATTGAGCGAAAATGTATCTCAATGATGGACAAATTTGTTCGGTCAACAGGGCGAAATAAATGTCAACGCATTTGTTTGGTGATTCAGCCTCACTCACCATTTAGGGTTAAGCATATCTCGTAACCCATTTCTAAGACATCCTCGGCGGAGCCTTTACTCCGTTTGTGTCTAGGGTGGCTGCATTGAGCATTCCAACGCTGGTCCAGCTCAAACCCGAGCAAGCCGCCCTCATCGCCAACAAGTTCAACTTAACAAGGTGTTCATAGGTTGTTCCAGTCTGAACGTGATTTCAGGCCGCAAGGGCAGTCCAGACTTCTCATAAGCCATATCGATCATTTTCGCCTGCGCAATGCTGTCCTCATAGTCAACCCATAGTCCTAAACCCTAATTCCCGCGAACACGATTAATGAACTGCTCCAACAAATGACGATATGATGACCAAAATGGCTCAACCGGCCCGTCCGTATTTACGTCTCTGAACCTATAGACCTTGTTGGACTGCTTGACTGTCCATTTCTTCAAGTCTTTCGCATTCCTCTCATCCCGAATCGTGTACTCGTCCACGATGTCAATGCGGTGCCAAAAAGATGAGATAAGGAAGTTGCAACTTGCTGAAGCTTAGCTTTCTGCGCTTCCACTTAGTCTGTCCTTTTTGGGAAGTTTAGTGTCCTCCATCTTAATGTCTTTATGTAACTGATGCTCGCGCGTTTATCATAACGTTCCCAACCCGTCCACCGGTGAAACGAAAGCTTACCTCAGCGGACTCGTCGCAGAGATCTCCCGGTGGAGGAGGTATCCTAGCTTTGCATGCCGTACACTCTTCAGGCTCATCACCCATGATCTGACGCAGTACATACATGGGATATGTGCCAAGATGAAGCATAGTCCCGCCACCTAGATTATACTCGAGCTGTGCGTTTCCTTTGGGTATGACATACGATGCTAACTCTGCGATAGTGTTGACAGTTTGTATGTTCTGACGGTCGATCAAGCTGAGGAAGTATTGCCAACTCGGCTGGAAGCGAAAGTGCATTGCTTCGAGAAGAATAGGTGCATTGGGCTGTCGTAGCAGTGGCGATCCGAATAGCATCTCTGCCTCGGCTGTATTAACTGTGGCTGGCATGCTTTTTCCTTTGGCGATTGCCTTGATGGCCCATTTGTAGTGTAAGCTGGCGACAAGGGGGATGTAAACAGCATCGATGGAGGGGTCATCGAGGATTGCTAGATAAAAAAAATTAGCTGTATGAAGAATGATAGTTTCTTATGGTCGCGTGCCTTGGTAACTGTCGAAAACTTGCGGAATATTATGCTTTTTAGCATATGCGACGGCCTTTTCTTTCTGACGAGCCGCGACAGCTTGGATTTCGACATCCGGATGAGATTTCGCTGGAGCGATCAAAGCGGTTGCACTTGTAACCCGTTAGCATTGAAAACTCTAATCTCTAGATAATATGGCTAGTTGCGCAATGTTTGCTGCACCAAGAATTCCGAATTTGATGGAGTTGGCGTTCTTTGTTGGCTCCGGGGGATGGTAAGCCTGCCAATTACGGCGGAGGAAGCCGACGACTGAGGACATGATGATAATGAGTCAAGCTATGCAAGCAAGGAATTGAAGATTATGGAAAGGATGATGGATTTATATATGCTCTTTATAACATTTCATACTTCCATAGTCGACAAACATGTCTCGTGCTTTTCCTAGTGCCTCTGACAGGACCTGACCTTTTTACCAATCTGAGCCTAGCTTCAGACTCCTGTTGGTGTCGTGAATCTGACATTTTTGCCTCTTTCGGTATAGTCTGAGATAATCAATGGATGTTTGATGACAAACTCCTCGACGTGCGAGTTTACTCCTGTATTCCTTCATCCTCTCTAGGTAGTACTTTCTGAGGGGACTGACGCGGACGCTGAATTGACCATGCCAACTCCAGAGAGGGGAACCGATTTGCCTGTTGCCACCACGCAGCCCAAGCTTGGACTGAGTGATACAGTGAAGGAAAGGGTAAAACAAAGGAAGAAAGTCCAGAATCGTCTTTATAAAAGAGCTTCCAGTACGTATTCCACTTGCTTTGATTGATAAAGGCCTTCGCTACTTCGGAACTACTGTTTATATACTCTGAACGCCATTAGAGTACTAAACGCTCATGTAGCTGACTACCTGTACCAGGGTTACGCAAAGGGACAGGCGACAAGTCAAAAACCAGAGACGCGAGATGCAATTAACAAGTCAATCGCTGGAGACTTGATGAGTTCGGTAGAACAACTCCAAGCCCTCCGAAAGGGTCTCCTGCAACCCCAGACACGAGATCGCAAACCATAACAGAAGAAAGCATCAGCTTGGTGACGCGGGACCAGGAGCTATGGTTCCCTCTCCCAGTTGATCATCTGATCCATATTGTCAAATACAATGTGTTTCGCGGACTCTGGCGGAACAAATTCATGGTGGATAGCTTGACAGTAGCTTATTGTGCGCCAGGTCCTTCAATTGCAACCAGCTTCGCCTTTCCCAGATATTCCTCTATTCTTCCCAAGGCACCAGAATATCGTGGCTCGTTGGCACCAACACAGAGTCAGATGAGACTAAATCACTTCTCTTGGATCGACTGCCTTCCTTGTCCGATAATGCGAGAGAATCTCATTCGCAATGAGTTTAACTTTAATCACGCAGACTTTCTGAAAGATTTAGTTGGGACTTTGATTAACTTGGATCTTTTCAAGGCGCCGATTTTTCCGGCACCGACTAATATCGACTTGTCTGGAGGTGAATTGGGGGGAGATACTGTAGGATCTGGGCTTATTCTCTGGGGAGAACCTCATCTAATAGACAGTTGGGAAATAACAACAGACTTCTTGCTCAAGTGGGGTTGGACGATTATGAATTGCCAGGAATTGGTTAACTCGACAAATTACTGGAGGATGTCAAGAGGGGACATGCCACTCCTACTACCATAACCTATCAATGCCCACTTATCAAGATGTTGGCTTGAGCTCATCCTTTAATGTTCCGACGGGATCTTGTATATAATTTAAAGCTATTCCCAGAGTTTTATAAACTCTATATGCTAAAGGTTAGTCGGTATGAGTCAAGGTGGTTGAGCGGATATTTAAAGCTGGCTGCCCCGCCAAAAGTTTCTCTCCTGCATCATCACCACTCTCATGATTCTCATCGTCCCACAGGCCACAAGAGAATCACCAAATACAATCATATAAATCTTTGCCACCAACCATTCTCTCATTTTGAAGCTTATATCTTCGGTTTCGCATAATTCTCAGCTTTCGAAATCGGTATATATTCCCTTACCTTTTTTCTTGACTTATTGCACTTCATTAAGGACTCAAGCTAATCAATCAACTTTGTTCAAAGATCTTCATTCACTATGTCTTCCAACAGGCCTTGTGGCACTTCTAATCCTGGCCGAAGCCGTCGAAATCCGTATGCATCTCTTATTAGCCCAGAAACCTCCGATGAAACAGAACCGTTGGTCATTGTCAAATCAGCCCGGTATAGAACCGCGTCGCCGGAGTTGCGACGCTTGCCTCTGTTTCGATCGTCGACCAGACATGTTCCTCCCGTATTTGGCAAAGAAATTCAAGAGACGATATACAACGAGGTCCACAGTGTTCTCCGAGCTCGTAAGCTTAAAACTCCAGATACTATTGTCGACATCCAGATGCGTGAGCAGCCTGATGATCCCGAAACCGCACGACCAACAATCCTGGTCATCACGCCATGGGTTTTTGGTAAAGAAGAGGAATCTCTTCGAGTAGCAGCGGTTGAGTATATCACCAGGATGTCTACAAGACTCATTCGAGAGGCTGGTGATAACGAAACTCAACTTCATGTTGAGATAATCGCACCCGAGCTGAGCACCCGCATCTACTTTGATCCAGTGAGAAACGAGCCGCAACTCTTTCAGCAATGGGATAACCTTCGTTCCATGGTGAACCGTCGCCTCAATGCTCATTTATCGACACGCGGGCGAATGACTCTGATCGCCCTACTCCGCTATGGCCTCAAACCTTACTCAAACAATCCCATCACTATCTACATCTCAGTGAACTATGATTCGGAGGAAGAACACTGGCAGAGCGTCATCGATGATATCCAAAGCAACATGGTTAAGTTTGGATACCCGGAACTTCCTGTTCATATCGAGCACAACGTTGGAATCCACGTCGCCGATTTCGAGCTATTGCCGCCGAAGGGTACCCGCAAGGCGATCCAGGACAAGATTTCAGCTGGCAACTTGCGAGTTGATGGTGACTACAAAACAAAGATCGACCTGGGTGACCCTATCGGTGCTGCGCGATACGTGAACAAGGGCAACGATAAGGGCAACCCTCTTTTTGGCACTTTCGGGTGCTACATCGAGATCAAGAAGAAGGGCTCACCAGTCTGGGAGAAGTACGGACTTACCAACTATCATGTTGTTCGTCCTGCTTTCACTGGCTTCGAACTTGCAGTCAATGATAAGGGTGATACAAAGATTGCAAGTCCTGCGGCACGGTCTAATCTACACCGAGTCGATAATGATGGCTTTAAGCCTTCATTCATGATTCCCTCAGCATCTTTCGAATGTCCACCGAGGATCAAGCACAACTTCACCATATGGGCAATCAACGATGAGATCTCTCAAGTAGAGAAGGACCAAGCTCAGACGTTATCACAAGGAAACGCTCAGCAGCAGAAAGCAATCATCGATGGAATGGACGCTGATAAGAAGGATCTTGTTGAAGAGAAGGTAGCAAAGCTCGCCCACTTCGACAAGGGCTTACATACTATTGGCAAGCTTTATGCAGCGTCAGGCTTTAAGGAAAGAACCAATGATCAAGGAAGGCTTGACTGGGCTCTTGTCAATATTAACAAATCCCGTGTCGGCAGTAACCAGTTGCCCGGTAAAGAGACCTGGAAGAGATGGGGTGTACATGCACCTCGTCGTACCTACGATCAACCTCTTGGGCAACAGACAATGAGTATCAGTTGCAAACCTCCAACAGACATGCCACGCACCCTCCGCGGGTGGAAGCTGGGTGCAACAACAGGTGCTACTGCTGGAGAGTTCCATGAGATTAAATTCCAAGTTGACCTCGCCGACGATAGACATTTGAGTGTTCAGACCTCAACTGAAATTGCGTTCCAATCTTGCAATACCAGTATTGGACCATTCAGCTCTCGTGGTGATTCTGGCTCCGTTGTATACGACGAAAATGGCGGTATTGTTGGTCTCTTGTTTAGAGGACAAGTGCTCAATACTGCAGAAAAGCCCTTGATTTATATCACACCTATCGAGCACGTTTTCAGCAGTATCAAGGGAGCTCATCGTGAGGACGAGATTGAAGACATTCGGGTAGCAGAGATGACATAACACAGCTCAAGATCGAGGCGAGATCGCATTGCTGATGTTAGGGCTTCGGGGTACAGGGTTGCGAACAGGAGTTAGAGGTTACCAACCACTGCAGCATTGCTTGTTTCTTGTTAGAGCGTGTATAGAGAAAAAGCGTCGTGGGTTGCTTTTGCTTACTAGCCATCTGATCCCAGGGCAAGACCTGAGAAGACCATGGTTAGATACACCGAGACCTTACTGTAGAGGTCTGGCTTTCTAACATCTCCGATCTCGACATCTTGGATGTCTTCTACCTTGGCCTTCTTTGTGTCATCAAGCTCATGGCCCGCCGTTGCGGGTGTAATCTCAAGAGCTGACATGTTGTAAGCAAAGCGAGAGCTCACACTTTTTTGGCATGGGATGATAAAGGAGAAGGGTATCACAGAGGACCAAAAGATCGTCAAAGCTCGGATACCGTGGTCACCTTTAAGTTAATAAAAAACATTCAGCGATCTTATCTGAGACCTGGAAATAAAGAACCAAGCTAAATACCGTCTTATCCGACGGCGGCAATTCTATACGCCGGTTAAACGCATTGAAAGACATTGCCTCGCTGCTTAATACCTCGTCGGCGAACTTTACCCGGGTATTAAAAGTGCACCCGAGGGCCTGTAATTTCACGATAAAGCGATGCTCAGAAGGGTAATTGTATCCTTGGTTCAGCGATAAGCATCACTATCAATCCGTATGGAGTCGTGATCTACATGAAGGGGGGCGGGGTTCGTTCGAAGAGCGGGGAATAACATGATAATCGTGTCGCGATGTAACCCGGAACTCGGCCGCTCGGCGTAGCAAATAGTTTCTGTGAGATTGAGATATTTAGGTGGTTGGCTGACGGTGATTAGATTGCCTTCCTAGAGGAGTAAGCTGCTCTGCCAATTGAGGCGCACTTTTCTCAAGAAGTCTTTCTCAGCGCTCAATCTCTTCTTCATGGTCAGTAAAAGGTCCAGGTACCACGACAATTGGAACTGGTGAAGCCTTCAATTTTCTCAAGGTCATCGAAAATGCAACTCCCAGCCATCGACATCATCTACCATGACCCCATCGCCCTCAGTGATGGGACAGTTTTGTCAGCTATGATATGGTTACCCAAAAACGCCAAATCACACCCTGTCCCAGCAATTCTTGAGTACTTACCATACCGAAAGCGAGACATGACTGCCGTGCGTGATGCCATGAACCACCCATACGTCGCAGCTCATGGCTATGCTTGTGTCCGCGTCGACATGCGAGGAACAGGCGATTCTCAAGGTATCCTACGGGGCGAATACCTGCCACAGGAACAAGACGATGCTTTAGAGATTCTGAAGTGGATCGCTGCGCAAGACTGGTGTACGGGGTCAATAGGCATGATCGGTATCTCATGGGGCGGCTTCAATGGGCTACAAGTTGCAGCGCGTCGACCGCCGGAGCTCAAGGCTGTGATTTCCATCTGTTCCACTGATATGAGATATGACGACGATATTCATTACATGGGCGGCTGTATCTTGACTGAAAATCTAACCTGGGCTGCTTCTATGTTTTCGATCAACTCGTCGCCTCCCGATCCAGCAATAGTCGGTGATCAGTGGCGGGACCTCTGGTTGAAGCGACTCGAATCAGGTGGCCTTTTCGCAGAAGAGTGGCATCAGCATCAGAGGCGTGACGATTTCTGGAAACACGCGTCCATCGGTGAAGACTACAGCTCCATCCAATGTCCTGTTTATCTGGTGGGCGGATGGATGGACCCTTATACCAACACCATCTTCAGAATGTTGGAGAACATGAAGGTGCCTAGAAAAGGCCTTGTTGGTCCATGGGGGCACAAGTACCCTAATTTCGGATATCCTGGGCCGCAGATTGGGTTCCTGCAGGAGTCGATCAGGTGGTGGGATAAGTGGTTGAAAGGAAGCGAGACGGGGATTATGCATGAACCCATGCTTCGATGCTATCTTCAAGATCCGACGCCTCCTGCCCCGTATATGGAACATCGCCCTGGACGTTGGGTTGCGGAGGATAACTGGTCTGATTCGAAGCCTTCCTTTTTGAGTTTGGGTCTTTCTCCTGGCCAGTTGACGACCGGCAAGTCAAGAAGCGATGAGAAGCTCGACATCTGCTCCCCTCAAACAGTAGGCTTTGCGGGCGGTAGATGGTTAGTCTTTGGCGTTGAAGGCGAAGGGCCTGGTGATCAACGTCTGGAAGCTGGAGGAAGTCTCGTATTCGATTCGCAAGTTTTGACCGAACCTATCGATTTGCTCGGGGCTCCCGTCTTGAAGGTACGCGTCGCGAGTGACAAAGCAAATGCTCTCATTGCAGCGACCTTGTCGGAAGTACTACCGAGCGGCGCAGCAACCAAGGTCTCTCATGGCGTTCTCAACTTGACACATCGGCATGGTCATGAAGACGTGCGGCCTCTAGAGCCTGGGAAGTTCTATGACGTTACACTTAAGCTGAATCACTTTGGGCAGTGTATCGGTGCTGGAAGTCGCCTTCGTCTTGCGTTGTCCTCAACGTACTTCCCCTTGGTCTGGCCATCTCCCGAAGTCACGACACTCACGATCGATTGTGCCCACAGTACTCTAGACCTACCAAAAAGGGGCGATAACCCTCAAGATCCTTACCTGAAACCTTTCAAACCAGCCATCAACGGATCTCTCTCACAAACTGAACTCCGACCAGCGAAACACAGAAACTATGTCACGAACGATTGGGACTCCGGTGAGACTGCGCTTTGCGTGGACTGGGATGATGGTATGTGGGAAGTCAACGAAACAGGCTGGAAATATGGATGGTGGACAGGCTTGAAGTCGAGTGTAAAGCCAGATGATCCGTCGTCAGCGGAGGTTGAGCAGCGATTCCAGAGGGACTTTGAGAGAGATGATATTATTATCAAGACAAAGGGTTGGACGAAGATGAAGATGACGAAAAGTGATATGATCATCACTGCTCGTCTTGATGCCTTTGAGAACGGGAAGACTGTCTTTGGGCGAGACTTCTCTTACAAGATTCCTAGGGATAACGTCTAAGATTGAGATCCGCTGAGATCAAAGACTTCGCTTTCAAGATATTAGCTCTTACCACTGGCGGCTTCATGGCTATGGCCGGTGTCATCAGATAGAACCTGCGAGTGCCTCCGATCGACGAAAGCTCACAGGCAGCGGTTACTTGAGCACACTAGTGTATCTGTATATGTAGATATTGCTAGGTTGAGCACAGGAAGTCTTGTATCTATTTCCAAGGGCATTACTCGTGAGAGATTGAGACACTTAGTTTACTTAAACCTCGTCCCAAGTCTCCCATGGCTTCTTGACAAGCCTGCGGCGCCTGTTAAAGATCGCATTGACGACTCGTTGGTCGAAAGTCTCACAAAGGGGGCCGAGATTGTTGCAATGGCATCTTCCTGGATTTCATCTTAGACGGCTTTGTTGAAAGAATTATTAGTCATTTCCGTCAAGTATTGACACTGCTTCAGTTCTCCCATGCATGGTGACCCATCCTCTAGAAACCGTTTTGACTCCAAGTCATAGTTAACTTTTCCCAAGGTGAGATCGTCATCTGTATTAACATGTAACTTGAGAGTTGAGAAGTGAAGAATTATCCCACGGGCAATTAGGATTGATAGTTCGTAGTCTAGGTGCTCGCTACGATATTATATATGATTCCAGCCCAGGCGTGGCTTAAGTTTTATACGTGTGAAGAGCGTGATGTAAGCATCAATGGCGGTTTCTATCAACTCAAAATACGTATATACTCGTTGCACTACCATCATTACCTTGGCCATCTCTCTGGGTATCGGATAGAAATAAGCTCGCCTTGGGTGAGATCCGAGCGTTTCACAACAGCAATAAAGCTAGCTACAATAGTTACTTCTAGAGGATCCCTATCGCCACACCTCCAACGATTAAGGCACGGGTCATGCATGATTGGAATAGGATAATGGTCTCTTATGTGACGGTTATAGAGATCAGTTTGACTTTGTAATTTGTCCTGTGGCTATACTAATATTTCTATTCTTTATCAAGTCTGCATGTGATCTGCCATACACTCTACTCGTCGGCAAATGGGCCAACGTAAATACTAGTTCCTGCGGGTTTACCTGAAGTTTCGTTAGTAGATAGCCCTAGCCCCTCTATCAACCTTGCCGTTTCGGTAACTGAAGCATCATCATCATCATCATCATGTTGCTTTCCAACGGCTTCCATCAACTGCTGGAATCTTCTTAGTTCCTCCATCCTGTAAGAGGATTGATCATACGTGACATGCCGAAAATCGAGCTCCTCATCTTGGTTCAACGTTAGTACCTGTTCTTTCAGTGTCGTGCTTTACATACCAGTGAAGAGGGAGTGGAAGGCATTCGCAATTGCGGCGTTGTCTGACTGTCGGCTTCGTAGTCCCAGTAGCATGAGTGCAAATGGTACAAGAAATCGATGGCCCACACAGCCCCGGGCCATGAAGATCGCAGATCGAATTTGCTTTTGATCCACGACATGGCTTTCCCTGATCCCGACGCGAAGTTCGCAAACTGGTATTGCCCAGTCTGCCCAGTTATTACTGGGCTTGTTCAATGCAGGACATATCACCGTAAGAAGCCCCCCATCAACGAGCTGTTGCATTGTCATTTGGACGCATCTTCCGATAATAGCGAGATGCCCTTGAGTCAGGTATTCTCCAAAGTAATACCTTTTCTCTCGCCACCGCTTTTTAACCACTTCCAGATCCTCATTGTAGCCGTGATAATAATCTAGAGCATCCAAGTCCCGAAGAAAAGTCTGCTTCGGGAAGTCTCGAGTGTCAATCATGATGAGACTGATCTCTGATAGCTTTGGTTTTGGACCGCGCTCCGTCGTCTGTCGGTGGAAGCCGTAGTGAAGGAGGAAAAGCAAAGAGCTTGACCAAGACATAAGATTGCACGGGCTATCCTCAAGCTTTTGGCACTTCCATCTGAGATGGGCATTCAGTCGAGTCGCAGCCTCTGCAGGCGGGAGCTGTAGAAGGTCTTGGCCGCAGGCAGATCCTCGTTCATGTGTCTTGTTCATATCATCGGGGTAAGCTGGTGAATCAACATGGGTAGCATCTGTGGAGCCGACGGACTTCGGAACATGAAGACGGAAGAGATATGTTGGAGTATTGTCAAACTCGAATCTCGACTCTTGACCAGCTTTAGGCTCAAAGAGCTGAGGCATGTTGAGGGAACAACGGCGAAGAGGGTAATAAACAGCGATTTTGAGTCAGTAATGAATCAGAAGAAGCGTTTACGTTCATCTAGATTGATAAAAATGTGAGTTGTTGAGAAACATAACGAGGCTCTGAGGTCAGATAAGGACTCCTTATATGCATCCGGGCCTCAATATCAGGCCGATGGCGCAGCTAGACCAACATCATCATTACAAACCGCCATTGGTCAATAGGTTGAAAACCGTTCCGAGAAAAAATGTTCTGATTGGTGTACAACCAACGTAAGGACTCCCTCTCTTGGCCGGAAGGTTAGGCATACAAATTGTTCAAAGAAAGCCCAACCTATTGAGGGACCGGCCACATGTAGAGGGAAACATGCCACCACATCAACCACTTTTTGATGCACTCGCGCTCAGATACCTTAGTCGCAAGGTTGGAATTGGCGTGCGACTCGGTTTCCGAATATGCCTTGGTGCCTGCGTATACCAACGTCGAGAAAGAAAGGCTGCTAAAGAGTAAAGATGCGTGAGGCCTCTGCAAACGACATGTAGGCAGACTTCCCATGCTCCCTCGGTACGCTATTGTACTAATCCAAGCTGTGATAGTTTAATTGATTGACTTTATGGTTTTATTGTTAAGTAAGTAAGACTATGAGCGGAGCGTAGAAGAAATCCCGAGCTTAACATCCCGCGATACCCGATATTGCCGTTCCTCCACCTTTTAAGGACCTGGGGTATTCACCGTGTCTACACAGCGTTTATCACTCATTGGTCGTAGGTTGAAGACTTGCTGACATCGCTCGACAGAATCAATCTACAGACTCCGCTAACACAGGCCACCAATACGGGCAATGGCCATCATCCGAGTTGCAGCATGCCATGTTTCTCCCATCTTCCTCTCCGCGAAGGCTACGACCTCAAAGGCAATCAACTTGATCAAGCAGGCTGCGCAGAATAAAGCAAATCTAGTTGTGTTCCCAGAAACATACATCTCAGCGTTTCCAATATGGAGTTCAGTACGGCCTCCAACCGAGAACCACGATCTTTTCAAGCAAATGGCGCATGAGTCGATCTTTGCCGATGGCGATGAGATCAATGCCATTCGGGACACCGCAAAACAGGCAAACATCATGGTCAGTATGGGATTTTCTGAAAAGGCTCGCTTCAGCAGCGCGACTTTATACAACTCAGACCTCTTTATCGGAAGTACTGGAGAGGTTATGATTCATCATCGAAAATTAATGCCTACATTCTTTGAGAAGCTTACCTGGGCGCCTGGAGATGGACACGGACTACGCGTTGCAGACACGCCGTATGGAAAGATTGGGAACTTGATTTGTGGGGAGAATACCAACCCTTTGGCTCGGTATAGCCTCATGGCTCAAGGAGAGAATATTCATATTTCAACTTGGCCACCAATCTGGCCAACCCGAGTTGCTCCCCTAGGTGAAGCTTCAGGATCTTCTGAGAGGCCTTCAGACAAGCCTAACTACGATAACGTCACCGCAAACAGAACCAGAGCGGCTGCTCATTGCTTCGAAGCCAAGTGTTTCGGCGTTCTGTGTTCAGGCGTCCTGGGAGACGATGCCATTCAAGCAGTTTCTGGAGGTTCAGCGTACTTGACTCAGGTGCTACAGCAGTCTCAACGTGGTGCGACACAGTTTCTGGACCCAACTGGCGCTCCTATGAAGGGGTTCACTGTCGACGGTCAGACCGGGGAGGCTGTAGCAACCGACTTTCTGCAGCATGACGAAGGAATTCTGTACGCTGATCTTGATATCGAGGATTGCATTGAGGGAAAGCAGTATCATGATGTTGTTGGGGGATATCAGTGACTGGATGTTTTCGATCTCAAGGTGAACCGTACTCGAAGGGAGCCAGTTACTTTCACTGAAGACGTTGACAAGATTCCAAGTCAAGGTTGGAAACCCCTTGACTGATGAGTCTGTGCTCAGTCAGATATGAGGAGAATTACTTTTATGTGATATAATTGCATCACCGAGAGGTCAAATAAATCAATCGTCGCTCCATCTAACATGAAGGATTCTGCCTGCTTTCGCTCGTGACCTGCCCGATTCGGCAGCTTATGTCATTCAGTTGCTATCTCAAGTGAGGGGCATCATCAGTAAGATTTTGGGCATTCGGACCTTGAGTTGCTTATGTTGCCTTTTCACCCACGGCGTCGAAATGAGCGATCAGAAGATCCCCAGCGTTATCAAGCGCCCGCTTCCCAACGGTGTCATCTATGACATGTCAACCGCCGGACAAGTGCGCATCACACTCCCCGAATCTTCAACCTGGTCAAGCGGTCTTCATTGGCATGAGTCCCACGACGAGTACTTGAAAGTGGTGAAAGGAACAATTCGAGTCCGGCTGGGAGATTCGCGGCAGGTCATTAGCGCTTCTGATGGCAATCAGCCTGAGATCAAAGTCCCGCGCTATGCGTGGCACGAATGGCAGCGAGCAGCACCAGATGGCGAAGAGGTCGTCGTGGTTGAGAGGACAGAGCCAGATGATAACGATAAAGCCATATTCTTTTGGAATCTCAATGGCGTCATTCTCAATAGCCCCAAGATGTTCAGTGATGAGACCTCGGTGGTATCCAGGTTGCCATCGAGACTGCAAGGGTTGTTTCTTGATGTTTGGATTCCTCTGAATCTCTACATTATTTTTCGTTGCTTGGACAATATCCCTGTATTCCTGAATGTGCCCGACCTCTCGCGGGTATCAGACGATAGATTGAGAGGCCTGCTACAGAACATCGACACAGTCATTTCGCACCTCATTCTGCTTGTTGCTTCGTGCGTTGGATTCGTTTTGGGACTACAGCCAGTTCAACGGAAATACACGCCTGACGATGCGTATTCGACGTGGCAATCGCGACGACAAAATGTCAAGAAGACCGCATAATCGACAGGCGGTGTCACTGGATTTAAGTTTCGATCAAGTCTATCTGATTATGACAAGATAAGTGAGAGAGTTCCAGGGTTTAGGGATAGCTGTAGAATTGTGGTATCCTATCTCAACATTCTAGTGGAATATATGAAGAGTCTATAGAATCTCTTAGAAAAAATAACATGTTATTATGCATCGCCAACTGAAACAAATTTTTATGCCGCACCATTAATCACAGAATCATCAATCTAGTTCTCAACAATAGGTCCGTTATACTCCTTTCGCGCCCAGGCGAAGTAGTAAATGACACTGAAGATGACAAGGCCACCAGTGACCACGACACTGTAGTTCATCATGTCTACGGTAGGATCCACCATGGGCGGCCAGAAGCTGAAGAAGCCAACGACAATGAGGTAGCACATAGCGAAGATGTTATTGGCAATTCCGAAGGCGCCCTTGAGATGGAAAGGACCCCAAACAAGTTCAGCGCCGGTGGTGTTGGCCAAAGCTGGGAGATCTGAAGCGCCGGGCAGCGCGAAGCCCTTGGTGAGGCGACGGTAGAGTAGCAGACCAGCGGCGATGAGGTATGAGGAGTAGAGGCAAGAGATGGAGAGTGAAGTGACGTTCTGGAATGCAACAGGTGATCCAATGTTGATGAGCGACAAGAGGATCGAGATGACGGCAGTGCAAAGGACTGAGTACACGGGGACGGTAGTTCGGTCGCTGACCTTGGACAGAGTGCGCCAGCCAGGAAGGCCACGGTCGCGGGCAAAAGACCAGAACACACGAGAGGTCGATGCAAGCATACCGACAGTGGCGCAAGCGGCAAGAAGAACAATAATGGCGGACATTACGGTCGCTCCAGCTCTTGAGTTTGTCGCTTGCTTGAAGATGTACATGTAAGGGAAGCCGAGCATTCCGGGACCTGAGGCCATCGCATCGTCGAGGTTGCCCATGCAGAAGACCATAGCGATGACCATTGCGAAACCGCAGGCGCCGTTGATGCAAAGACTGAGAAGGATGGAGGTGGGGACGACGACAGAGGGGTTAACGGTTTCTTCGGACATCTAGAGACTGTCAGTGAGGGCTCATAGAGGCGGGATATGAGGACTTACGTGGAAAGCGGCATCAGTGCCAACAAAGGAAAAGGCATTGCCCATCATACCAACCATGAACGAGATGCCATTAGTCGACCATCCACCATTGTTAACAAAGGTTCCAAAGACATCCGACGCAGAAGCATGGGGTCCAAGTGTAACGAGAGGGATCAAGATGGCAAAAAAGCCGAGAATGTGCAGGATCAAGATCAATCCCTCAAACTTGGGCAGCACTGAACTGACGAGGGTGTTGATGAAGACGGCGAACGCAAAGATGGCCCAGAACAGCAATGTTCCCTGCCAAAGCTCTGGCTGGAAGTCGGGATAATTAAGAGTCGCCATTCCCAAGATCATGTTGCCTGTGAGCAAGGCGCTGGATGATACTGAGCCTTGCCATCCGCCGACCGTGAGCATGCCTGTGAGGTGACTGAGGAATTTGGAGCACGACCGCGGCGCCATCATAGCGACCCTGACGAAAAGATTAGTTGGCGTTTGACCGATGGTGATGGTGTGACTTACCAGTGGTATTGTCCTCCAGATGTAGGCGCCATCGAGACCAGCTCGCACATGGTAGCAAAGACACTAAAGTTACCGACCCAAACGACAAGGAAGCTGTAGATGACACCGGCTGTACCACCATTGTTGAGACCCTGAGCGAAGAGAACAGTGATGGCTTCCCAGGTGATGAGAATAGTACAGCTGAATCCCAGAATCGTCATGAACCCAAAGTTGCGCTGAGCTGTCTGTCAGTGTAGGCACCTTGATGAGCGACGGTGTAACATACGCGAAGCACCTGCTTCTTCCCCATCCGCTCCAACTGATCCTTATCATGATAATTGATCGTCGAGCTGCGTCCAGAATCTGGCTCTGCCTTTGCCGAGACATTGACATCGCCAGCTGCCTTGACAGTGGCATTGTTGCCCATCTCAAAGCTGGGTTTGGTAACACTCTCCATGATGATGAACCGGGAATAACAGCGGGAGAGAAAATTCAACAAGAGAAGGATTGAGGAGAGAAGAACAAAAGAAAAGTTGAAAGGGACTGCAGGAGGAGAAGGAAGGAAGGGGAAAGAGGTACAGGAATGTTGGTAGCACCCTGGGAAAAGGTCGCGACTGCGGTAGAGTAGCATTGGGGACGGCCGCCACCAACCGAGGCTGGGAATAAGACTGCCCTGCCCTGGGTATGATATGTTACAGATTGACTTAATCGTCTTAGCATGAGTTTCTACGTCTACAGCGACGTTGCGTTGCATCGCTCCGCTATCTGTCCCGTACCGTACCGTACCATACCGGCAGGTGGGTCGCAGAAAAACCGGCACACCAAAGCTCCCTCGCCATATAAGAATCCTGAGGATGACAGAATTCTGTAGGTCAACAGTAGCGTGATCTTCTACTTACTAATTCTGTCAGGCCTGACTGGTGTGCCGGTTTTTCTGCGACCCACCCGACCGGACATCCCTCCTGGCCCCTCCTGTTGCTGATCCGGCAGAATGCACCGATGCCCCCCGGAAAGTCCACTAACAGGGTCTAACAGGGGTTTCCCCCTCCCACCGGGCTTTTTGTAGGGCCAGGTCCCCATGTCGCTTCAGTAACTTAGCGGCATTAGTTACAGGGCACAGCAATCAACGGGCCAAATTGACAGGAGTTATTTGCGACACAAACTGTCAGCATAAATTGAGCATTTCTTTTTTTCCGCGTCTCCCCGCAAATAAGATCGTCGCCCCTCCGTTTGACCATTTCAAGGCTAAGGCGTTCCGGTGAGGTTTACTGGCTTAGAGTTCTATTGATTCATAGCTTGCTGTAAGCGAGCGGCACAGAGCGACCTGAATAAAACGCCACAGACGACGATTTGATAGATAAGTTCTGGCTCGACAGCGGAACGGGGACTCGGGCGTGCTCAAACTCTAGAGCCACCAGATCTGTGTAGATCAGGGCCGGCTTATTTTCCTCTTTCCAGGTGCTCGGGTGCAAGGATCCATCCTGTTACGTACTGTGCTGGCTGAGGTGACCGACCTGCTCTATTCGTTCTGGTGATGTATCATAATCATATGCAACCGAGCGAACCACTGCGCCCCTGTATGTGAGAAAAAAATGTTTTCTCTTCACCCTCTTTTTTCTTGCACGGCATTGGTCGTACGTTATTTCTAAATGCTGTTGGTCAGAGGTAATTCATGCACGCCTGACAAACATTTCATCTTGCTTTTTCTCAGAGTGCTTGCAGCTTTTCTGATACAAAACGTTCTAAATTTAAAACAGCCAATTGGTCTTCTTTTCCTTTACTCTAAATTCGTACACTTACATAAAACGTTGCTGCGCTGTAACCAAAATCTCGGAGGGATAAATAACCGAGAAACCAAACATGACTGAGAAATAAAAAAATCAAATTACCTTGCCTCATGTTTGTCGGGCGGCTGCATCCTGCGTGGTCTCTACGTCAACTTGCCACGTCTGATGGATCAAGATCTTTTGACTTGAGTGGCTGGAGCGACTCTGTCCATCCCAGCTCCTCTCGTGGTCATGTTTCGGCTTCTTAGCAAAATCCTCCATCTCGTGAATCTCACTGCGCTGTGTCTTGGACGCATGGTCCAGGGCTCGCGATCTGCTGCTCTGCCCTGTCTTTGACTTGTACCCTGCGTAGCCGGGCCTGTTTGTCGGGTACCCGTTACTGCTCGACTTGCCCTGCCGTCGCATATCGTCGACGCGGATCTGCCCGGACTCTAGGCTGTCGAGGAAGGGCTTGAAGTTGGGCAGGCATACGGTGAGGATGGCGAGGCACTGCACGAGCTGGATGGTGATGGAGGCGGGCCAGATGCTAAATGAGTGATCGGCAGAGTCAAATGCCCTGTTGGAGTAGTGGATTTGCGCTGCGATTGCCGGCGTTACACTAAAAGGTTGTTAGCCATGGCACGGAGAATAAAATGAAATAAAACCACGCTGTACATACAATATTCTGCTGCCAAATACGCTCATCACAAGGATCTTTTTTGACCAAGAGGTCTGGATCTTGACCACGTTCTCTGCCATAATGATGACGATGACGATGTCGGTGATGATGTTGGTGGTAGAATAGTACGTCCAAAATGCCTTAAGATTGATGCATTTATCTTTATCGCCGTACAGCCACGGTGTCGGCAGTTGACATTGGAAGAAATTGACGAGGAGCGCCGTGATGCCCCAAACGCCAACGATGGCTTCGCAAGCGATGATGATCCATTTTTGACTCTTGGGCGCCATGATCCGTAGACTCATTGTACCCGATAACTTGCAGCAAAGAAGTGACGCGATGAGCATCGTGTTTGTCGCATATTGGCTCTGTACGAGGGTGCATTAGTTGTTTGTTTGCTGTCGCGGGGTTGTCTGTCGGATGTTACCTTGAAGAAGGTGTCTCGATCGCTGGCGCTGAGAACCTCGAAATGTTGACCGAGTCCATGCTCGCACGCATTAAAGACAATGGCAGTCTGACAAACCGCAAGTACCTGTGCGCACAATTATAAGCATGTTGGAAATGCATAAAGTGAGATGGTTGTCTTACAGTTGCGACAATGATGAGGATGTCGTCGACCCTCAATGTCTTGGTCATGTAAAGCTTGGTGCCAGCCCTCACAAAACACGATAATATCGCAATAACGAGGAACATCAACGACAAGACCTGGATAAGCGGCGACTTGTTATTGTCGGTGATGATGCGTTGGTTCGAACTCATATTGGGCCGATGAATGCAGCAATTGCTGCGCAAAAACGAGCGGAGAGATATTACGAAGAGAGAGAGAGATTGATCCACGAAATCGATATTAAATTCAGAGCTACGATAAAATTCAGAGACAAAAGGATATCACAGTTAAAGCTAAGACACAGCTGACAGTGGAGTGTACATTAAGGGAAGGGAAGCTTCAGCTAAGGTACAGTTACAGTGCATGAGAATCATGGTGTGAAGCAAATCTCACAGGCACAGGTACAGGTACAGACGCGGCAGGAAACTTGGTATTGGGCATATCCCGGAAACGGTGATTATAACGGTTATTGACACCCAAAAGCAGTTTGGCACCTTTTTCGTGAAACGGGACATGAGGACCAATAAATGGCAGGAATGAATCTATCACAATTACGTAGAAAACCAACCCCTCAGACCAGCCTGGAACTGGCTGTGAGGCCATGTCTGCAAGAGAAGAAAAAGCAAATATTCAACATGGGTACTCCCCCCTGTACTCTGCGCTATACTTCCATGGTCCTATTGATGTGATGTGAAAGGGCGCCAATGATGCGTGATATCGCGTAGAGGAGAAGTATGCAGCTGAGCGGCTCAGCAAGAATGAGCAATCCGAAACAGCCGGCCCTCCAGTGAAATTTCACGGGTCGAGGGTTTATCTGTACATAAATCTATGTATTATTGCAGATCGCAATATTTGAAATACTGTGCAATCGTGGCACAAATCATCAACACGGCTGAGGTTCTTTACATCCATTGGTAGGGCTAAGTGAGCCGCAGTCTAAGAGTTAGTCTGCACCCCCCCCTGTTAGCTCAATCTTCATGTGAAGAGGAGCCCTCTCTCGTTATCGTCACCAAACCAGTCCGTGCTTTTAAACACCCCTTGAATCTGGGTCCGCGCGTTAAGCCCAATGGGTCTATCATCCGAACGGAGATCGATCCGCGGGTTACAATTAGCAAAACGACCTTCCAAACTCTGTTTAGACCTACTTTTTTCGGGCGGATCATCCGGCGGAAGAAGAGAAGAAAAAAATGGTTCGAATTCGCTTGACGGAATTATGCACTGCGTCAGAGATTTCCGCCCGCATGTCCCTGGTGAACTTGCTACTGTGGCGTGGCTTGCTGCTAAAAAGGGAAAAGATCGCTGTGGACGTGGGTTTTGACCAACCGTTTCTCGTGGGTGCCTCGGGACTGCAAGCCCTCTCCGCTGAGTGGCTTTATTGTCAACCGAAAAGGGCATCGAGCTTCCGACTGCTCGTTTTTCTGATGGTACGAGTAGAGAGGAAGGATTTGGATTGCGAGGTTTGATGGGCTGATTGGGGTTTGCTTATTTCCGCTGCGGGCTCCACCGGGGATAAATTGACTGGATTAATGCTCTGATTAGCTCGGGTAGGTCGTTTGCTTTGGCAGGCCTCTCTGCCACTGTATGCAACTTAATTCAGTTGATTTATCCTTCTGTGCTACCATCTCAAACGTGGTGTCACATACCCAATACAACGTCAAGATGACCCTCAAACTCATCGAGGTCGACACTGCCACCGATTTCGAAGAGCTCATCGCGTGTCAATGGGCATCTTACGAAAATCCCCTCCAGCCTTTCTTTCGCATGTTTTGTCCTCTCAATGCTCCAACACACGCAGAATCTCTCAAGGATTCAGTAGAGCTTCAGCTCAAATGGCACAATGAAGATCCAACAAGCTACTGGGCAAAAGTGGTGAACGACGATGGCAAAATTGTAGGTGGCTGTTTATGGAAGATTTATTCCGAGAATCCGTTCGATACAGATGATGATCATTCCTACGCTTATTGGCAGCCGGAAGGGGAGAGACGAGAGTTTATCACACAAGCTCTGAAACAATTCGATGCGCCTAGAGCGCGGATGGGGCCTAGGCCTCAAGTCTGTAAGCTTTCTTTTCAGAGGATTACAAGGAATGAGACTAACCCCGATTTAGATGTCAACATCGTCTTTACACATCCAGACCATCGTCGCCAAGGCGTGGCGAATGTTATTATGAACTGGAGCAAGCAGAAGGCTGATGAGATGGGTGTTGAGCTTTGGCTTGATGCGACAGAGCAGGGCGTGCCTGTTTATGAGAAGCACGGCTTTACAGTCGTCAATGTCAACACCATACAGCCAACGAAAGAGAATCCCGGTGAAGAATGGCACAAGGTCAAAGAGGAATTGGGTCCTATGACCTTTAGACAGATGTGGAGACCTGCTGGTGGTGATTATCAAGAAGGAAAGACAGTCAAACCCTGGGAGACTGTTGAGATCAAGTATGAGCCTGAGCTAGCGTATGTAGAGTCTCATGCAGCTTAGGCGAGATGGGGGCGATGGAGGTGACAGTTGGCATTTTCGATAGAGTTTAGATTAGCGTCCGTTTCATGTAAATGATCGATGTAATGGGGAGTGTTGTACATGTCAGACATGCATGGAAGAAGGAATTAATATGGTGATCGCCATTTGGCTTGTGTCACCAGACCCGTACCTGTCCCGCTTACAAGCTGAGCTGCGATCTGCAATAGCAAACAGTTGGTCTGGTTATCATGATTTATTGTTTGCCTACTGCTCAATAACAGCCATGGTAAGACTTTCATCACTATTGTTGTCTTCATTTTAATCTGTGATGACTAGACTATGAATCGAAGTAGGACGAGTTGCATAGCGCGTGGCCTGAAGCTTGTGGTTTAAGAAGCTAGATACGCTGATCAATCCTTTTCAAGCATAATAACACCTTTCGAATCATCATAGTGATTATTCATTGCATAAATCATTAATTGTGTAATGTAATGTTGGAAACCCCATGTTGACGGGAGCAAATCTTATCTGTAGTGGCTACCCTGAAGCTGATAATTAATAATACTTTGAGCGCAGAAGAAACACCATACAGAGTAGAAAATCCATAAATACGGCAAACTGGGAAATATGACACTTAGATTAATTTTAATCACACTGTAGCATTCACTATATAGTTGCTAGTAGTAGGTCATGTTCCAAAGCATGGCATCAATGATTGGAATGCTGTAACATTTATATTCGACATTCGCTCCCGTGTGGCAATCCTCCCACATAACTCAGAGAATTATCAGAAGCGCGATAAATTTCCAGTCCGTTGATAAGCCTACTTACTTATCACTACCACCGCCGTTTATCGTTGAAACGCGTTAAAACGCGTCGGGATTCAAGATTCGGCGTAATGCGGAGACCGAAGGCCGAACAGCGGACTTGGCCGACGAATCATTTCGCGACAGGCGTAACCTCTCATCACAAATACCTTGAACATCTGACATTTCACGTATTCCAACATGATATTTTCGCGTTTTTGAGGGAGAGTAATTGAAAAAGCTGGACAAGGCGTTGAATCCTACGGAAAAGCGGACTTTTGATGATTATAGAGACATGTTATTGAATTGAGATGGATACAAAAGACCTGACGTCGTGCATGATTATGTGGAAAAACGACCAGTAAAGCAGATTACACAAGCCTCCTCAATATGTCTCTCAAATACACCAACAAGCTTGATGGCCAGCGCGTCCTCGTGATTGGCGGCTCAACGGGTATTGGCTTCGCCATCGCCGAAGCAGTCCTCGAACACGGCGCAAATGTCATTATCAGCAGCTCCAACCAATTCAAAATCGATGCTGCTCTCAAGCGACTCGAAAATCATATTCAAAACACTCACCTACCAATTAGGAAGACCTCTGGCAAAGTCTGCAACCTCGCCGAACCGGAAACAATCGAGGCCAACGTCAAAGAGCTACTTGAATCTGCTTCTCAAGACGGAAAACTCGACCATGTCGTCTTCACGGCTGGAGACTTTAATCCTCCACCGAGTCTCGACTCAGCGACTGTCAGTGTCATCTCAAAAATTAGCATGGTTCGTGTCATGGGCGCTGTGTTCGTCGCAAAGCACCTCTCGAATTACATCAATCTATCAAACAGCAGCTCGTTCACCATCACGGGTACAACCACTGACTCTCGTCCCGCTGGAGCGGGTTGGTCGCTTCTAAAAGCAGCAGCAGGTGGGATTGAGCCGATGACACGTGCTTTGTGCATCGATCTAAAGCCGGTTCGTGTTAATTGTGTCACGCCGGGTTTTGTGCATACTGCGCTGTTCGATGGGTTTCCGCAAGACGTTAGGGATGTTATTTTTCCTGCTATGGAGAAGGACTCTGTTGTGGGTAGGCTTGGGACTGTGGAGGAGTTGGCGGAGGCTTATGTTTATTTGATGAAGTGTACTTTTGCTACTGGGTCGATTGTTGTCGTAGATGGAGGTAGGATCGTTGGAGACAGCAAGAGTCAGTGAGCCTGTTATGGCCAGCAATCCACTGCACAGTGGCGAAGGTCACCGAGAATATTGACGGAAGTAAACACACCAAGTACTGAGGGGTATCATGAGAAGATACGCCGCGGAAGTAGCCTTTGTATGTCGAGTCTCTCGGCCCAGGACAAGATTCGGAAAACACACTTCGGGGTCAAGGCTTCATAGGTGTCGATTGTTAGCATGTGTCTCGTAACTATTTGGCTTTCAGCCAGTTTGCATATAGCTGATTGGAAAAATTCAACTTTGCGAAATGTCCACTTGGCGATAAGCAAAAATAGAAGTGTTGACGTTGAATCGCTGTTAGAAAATCCTCAGGTTAGATCAACCTGAGCGTATGTATCTGGGCTTAATTTCGCTTCTTTGATACAAAGTGCATATAAATAAGCCTCAACTGTATTGATTCAATTTTGAATTATTAATGTCTCTTTTATTTACTCATTTCAGCGCGGATTAGCTGGTCGTCATAGGAGCTGACTTGTGACTTGAAGCTTGAGGAGCAGTGACAACATACGATACTGCCAGACTATTGACACTAGCGCGCCAAAAACTCTATCATGCTTAACCATTGGGGTCTGGACCCTGAAATAATAGCTCAAACATCAAATGCTCAGATCTCATTCGTCCTCCGACCCTGACCTCCCATATTAGCGTCTTTGTAGTGTCGCTATGGCCATTTTCTGTGGAAATTTGACAGCTTGTCAAAAGACTTTCAAAGGAGACTAGATAAATATGATATTGTACTACAGAGTAGAAAGGTCACTTCAAACGTCATCCTCTTCCTGTTCACTCGTTCTATCGGCTCCTTTACGAGTCTGTCACTCTTTCAGCATGATTGCCCAAAATCTTCTCGCTGCCGTTGTTGGCCTTGCAGTTGGTGTCAAGGCTGGCCCATGCAAGCCTTCGTCAGTGACAACCACGACTGGCACCGCGTCCAGTGATGTCGTTTCCATTACCAGTATCGCCACTTCTGTAGAGTTCACCACTGCCGATGTCACTTCCGTCACTAGCATCGCCACTTCTGGAGAGCCCACTACCACCACCACCGAAGCTGCAACTACTACCACTAGCCCGGGTGAATATGTCTGCCTCAAGGACCCTGCTCCAGTTGGCAAGGGCTGTAACGCGCAGGGCGGTGGCCAAGGTGCTCTAGAATTATTGGGCAATGTGAACACATTGACGCTGGCCTCCTGCTACAAGTCTTGTCTGGACAGGACCGGATGTATTGCAATTTCCCTGCAGCCTGGTTCATGGTGCGCGTTGTGGGCTGGATCGTTCACGGGTACCAGTGGTGGTGAATCGGCTTGGTCTTGGTATGACATGGGCTGCTTCTGTGACGAGTTTTCAGCCACCACAAGTGGCTTGGCTACCGGGACGACAGCCTCCGAAGCTACAGATAGTGAACAGACAACTACATCTATCGAATTGACTTCAACCACCGAGACGGCTCCTGCTACAACGACTGAGGCTACAACGACCGAGGCTACAACGACCAAGGCTATGACCACTACTGAGGCTTCAACCACCACTACCACCGCACCAGGCGAGTCCTGCGTTAACAATGAGAGGAGCCCCGCCCCATCCGACAAGATATGCAACAAATCTGGCTACTCGCATGGTAGCTCCATGGAATTTCTGGACAGTCCAACGGGTGTCACAACGATGGAGGCTTGCCGTGCGGCTTGTCGCGAAACCAGTGGGTGTGCTTTCTTTGCCATTATCCCTGGTGAATATTGCTCTATATATAGCGGCGACATTGCGAGCGTATCCGATCAAACGGACTACTTTTGGTATGACATGGACTGCTTCTGCGACTTGGATGGGCCAGACTACTGAGGCTACTACTGCCAAGGTCACTGCGGCGTGTATCGTTTAAGCAAAGACGCCATTTGTGTCACCAGCCTCAGCTCCGATGAATCAGGGGATTAGCGAGGCACGATTCTATTCTTTCTTCTATGTACATATTCATATAAATCCCGTAAAAAACCTTGCCAGATTACAGCCTAGGTCATCGTAAATAAGAGACTTCACACATTGGTGCGTCTCTGAGACTGGAATCCAGAGATGGGCTCCCATTCATCCCTCCAGTGAGGCAGATTTACCTCGATCCATCGCCTGCACACCCCTTCTTCCACCTTGAGAACCATAACGGCTGAAAGATCCCTTGGATCCCAGCCGGTGCTATCCCGGTGATGGAGGATGCGAGGATATACTGCCTTGGCACCGTTTTCCGGAACCTGAGCTAGCCGGAATCGCACACGGTCTCGTAGCAGTTCCTTTGCCGATTCAGAACCTGCTTCTAATCTGCAAAATACCCTCCCCTTATATCTCCCTCTCTCCATGGTCCTCTCGAGAGGCCCGACGTAGTAGAACAAGGATGCCAAGAGTCGTCTTGCTACTGCTTGAAGGTGTTCAGGGGCTGTTCTGTATGTTTTGTCGTAATAGAACATTTTGGTACCATCGCAGAGGTACTTCTCACATTCTTCAACAAGGGAATCCATTTTCTCCACGTCATCCATTTCCACGCGCTGTTTCAAACCAACATTGAGGCGATGACAGTTATGCCTAAGTCGACGGTCTGTAACGGACATACTGCTAAACTCTTTCCAAGCCTCGTGGCAGCTAGTTGAGCTCTGGATAATCCCCAGCCCAGCCTCTATCCGCATCAGGTAGCCTCTAGGAATGTACTTCTTGAAGGACTCCAGTTTGGAGTTGTGCTTTGTCTTCATACTTCCTGACTTGGGATCAACAACCATTCCAGTACCGATTGATAAAATGATATCAGGAGGAAGGGAACCAGGCCAGATCTTCTCAACTTCTGAATAGGCTAGAGATACTGGGTTGTTGTGCATAAGAGCTCCATCGACGTATGATCGTTTTGTTTCGGGATGGACGAAGGGTTGGAAGAATGTTGGTGCTGCAGATGTCGCTCTCGCCCTATAAAGAGTTAAATATTATTAAATACTCTAGATGGGACAACTAACGCTTCCCAGATTTTGAAATCCTTTGATTGTTCATCTTCACGAGAAAGGTAATCTTCTGATGTAAGGAGCATACCAAGTCAGTCCAAACCAAATCAATGAGCGGGACCTTTATGCTTACCTTCATCAGTGTCTGCTCTCGGGTTCCTGGAATAATTCGCAATCAACTTTGCCTGGCTTCGTCCCTGCAAACAAGAAACAACGCCGACCTTGACCCAATCCTTTCCGCCAGTACTGTTTCTCTGAGCCAGAGATGCACCAAACAGATTTGCCCCACCAAACGAGCCTTGCAATGACTGCTCTATGCCCTCACTCGTATAGAGAAACTCATAGAATGGCTGCGCAATAGCTTTGATGAAAGAATTCCCGAGTCCCAATCGAAGCGTGAAAGCTCTTCGTGCCAATGCCCGGAACCTATTAATGGCATCGTCTGTTGACCAACGCTGGTGGAACACTCCAAGAGCGACGATGCCACCTTGACGAGTGAGACATATCCTTGGGTTGGAGGTGATGAGTTAGACAAACCTGTGCTTGTTCCTACCACGAGATCGAAAAGCTCATGGATTGCGATACCATAGCCAACATGTCTTTCGAGCTGACGCAAAATGCAAAGCTCTACAACACCACGGACTCCTCCTCTGTCTATAGTCAGCCTTGGTCGGGAATACAGAATCGAAACGACTTACCCATCCAGCGACAACACGCGTGGCGCTGCGTCCTTTGGCTTAATCCGAATGCTCCACGTTCCAGTTCTTAGAGCACATCCAAGAAGACAATGATCAATCACCAGAATAGACCCTCCATTTCTCTGTAGAGCAAACCTCTCAAGACATGTTTGACAAATCCCGTGCTGCAACCTCGCACATGGAAGCATGTTAGTTGGACAGCTGGACAGACAAGAGAAACACGTCCGCTGGCTCTGCAGTTCTGTCAGTCGTATCGTTCTCGCCAAGTAAGTTAGTCTTTCCATGACTCGTCCATCTTGCTGGTTTTGTGCAATAGCTTCCCGCAGACGCTTTGCAAATTGATCAGGATGCCAAGAGCATCTGTGATTTGATTCAGCTCCCCTTCGATTGAGACCCTTCACATCCCCCAACTCGTCGTCGGGTCTGTTGAACTGGTGACCCTTGTAGTGTCCATTGTAATAATTTCGACATCTTCGGCCAGTTCTTCGCTCTAGGGCTTCACATCTCCAATATCGCCAGCGGAACTTCTGAAGACCGCTTTGAGCTTCGGCTACCAGTTCTTCTCGTTTGCTTTTTCTTATTTCTTCCTTTGTCAGTGCCTTGTATACCCCAAATAAGAAGGCAAGAACAAACCAATGTCTTGAATACGGCAAGTTTGGGCAACGATACATGCACCGACATACGGGGTGAATTCGTCTACAACTCGCTCTTCGCCGCCAATCGCATCAGTGCTGTCTATTTCGCGCAAGATACACATTTGCCGTAGGGTTGATGCCATATGATCGCTCAGCCTAGTCGGAATTGATGAATCATTCAATACTATGTCGTGAAGATCAAGCGCAGCGCGAAGATCCTGCCCCAAAACACTCAGAGATCTGTTCATGTGAGTGTTGAGAGTAGCCAAGTCTGACTCTGTACCACTGTCAGCCTTGGCGCTGCTGATATTGGAAACTGAACCTCGAATTGTCTCGTATAACTCCCTGATACTTTTGGTAACAGAGGTTGCATGGGCCGGTGAACTTTTGGAACTTATAGCAGGGATAAGGACTACTTTGAAGTCACTGTAGTAGCAAAGGAGTAGATCAGAAGTGTTTCTGATTGGATGTTCTCTCTCCTCCCAGAGGGCTTGTAGTGTTCGAAAACGTTCAGTTCTTTGGAAACTCCGAAGCAGGTCCTCGGTCGCATCAGAGGATGAGCCGTCGTCTATATCAACGACGATATTGAGAATGACAATAAGAGCAGGCTTTGTTCGCTGGTTGAGGATTCGGTCGTGTGAGTGTTGAGCCCAGTCAATTAGCTGACCCAAGAAACTGTCGGAAGTCCTGTCATTGTCAACATCTAATGACTCAAAACGAAGTCTCCTTGTACAAACCTTCCGTTGGTGGTGACGAAACAAATGACATCCGAAAACCCATAGAGGACTCTAGGGTACAGATACTTGACGATGAGCTTTCTGGTCTTGCTCTGGACAGTGCACAGCCTTTGTCCATCTGAGTCTTGCATGATAACAGACGCTCTGGGGTCGGGGTAGTCAAGTTTGCCCCATTCAACATTGATCCTGCTCTCAGCACCGTCCAAGAACTGGTTCAACTGTCTCCGTAGCCTATCTTGTTTGTCCTGCCAGCGTCTCATTATTGTTTGTTCGGCACATTCCACCCCAAACTCCCACTGGAATAGCCAATTGGGTTCAGAAAGAGCAGCAATAATCTCTTGCGCTATGGGCTTTTCGGAGCCAACAAAGCCTTCGCAGTCTATGAAAGATGTCAGTGGATTGGTATATGGTTTTGGAATTCTTCAAACCCTACCGGCATAGAGTATTGGATATTTTGTCGAGAGAGTAAGGGGATCGCTATAGGCATGGATATCACTACTTGTGGACGCAAACCGATCGCTTGGAGACCCAGGTACCGGAACTGACTCTCCTTCGGGGTGATCAGGTCGAGCCATTTGGATCATGCTTCGTATCAGAGTGCTCTTTCCTGAACCTGTCTCGCCAATAAACGAGACAATTTTGGGATACTGACCCGGCTTGGCTTTTCGCGACATTTGGAGCAAATCTTGAAGGCGAGGCCAAATGTGGATCTGTGGCTTGTCAAACCGCTGTAGGGACGGAACTCCGATCCATGCACATGTGGCATCCTTGGTGTGTAATTCCAGTTTTAAATCGGCCGCAGGAGGTTGAAGGAGGTACCGAGTGAAGACATAGTCAGAATAATCCACCTCTTTGCACTCTTCCTCGCCAACGCTAAGCCTTCGTCGAGGACTCATAACGTGTTGTCGATCCCTCGCTAAACAGGCTCTATGTGCTGGTCGCTTGGAGTTACCACACCCCATACAGAAGACAAGCTCTCCAGCTCGTCCCCGACGGCTGCAGATGCGGCATCGAGATGATATTTGGAGATTAAAAGCTTGTCCCTCGATACTAAGTTATGTTAGAGAAGAAACGATCAGAAAAGAATCAAAACCGACAACTCATTTGAGGGCATCCGCCAGGATATGTACGTGGAAGCAGAAGTCGATTCATCTCCGTCTGAAAAGTTAGCATCGACACACGACTGGGTGATGCCTTCGAAAAACCCTATCAGACTCTCATCCTCAGGTTCTGAGTCGGAGGTGGAGGAAACAGACGAGCCGTCTCGGGGTCTTGCCATAGCGATATCGACAAGTCAAAACTATAGCAGAGTGAGGTTGGATATCTTAAAGAAAAGTGAACTGAAAGGGACGAGGTTTTGATTGAGGGGGGCACCAGGTGGCTGCTTTAGTTTATGGGTGACCGCCCAAAAGGTCAGCTGAAACAAGTGAGCTACATTTTCAATGGTGTCCTGCTAATCCACCCGCATCCTGCAGTCATCTTCAGCCAAACGCCACCTTGGCACAAGGCAGACTTATCTCTCTCGCGTCACTCGAATACCGTACTGTAGCTGATGATCTATCTAAAGGCTGCACGAAGACAAGACTTCACGAAAGAGAAATAAGGATATAAGATTGATGTTAGCGATCGCTCCCTGTGATCCTTATTTTGATAGATAATTTTCTTTCTTTTGTATCTGGTGCTTCGAGCCTTCAGGTGCTCATGCAAGTGGCAGCCTTTTCGACTGAAGGGAGTATAGCGGGCGGGGCCATGATTTGCCTACCGCCATCTATTTAACTCTAATTCGTCTACTGGGGTGGCCCCCACAGTACTTTGTTTATGTATCGAATCAGGCTCTCGTTCTCATCAAACCATGGATATTGTCTGACCGCTAGGAAATGGACTTATGTCTTATCTCTCAATCAGACTAGGTGTACATACACTCTCGTCCACTGTGTCCAAGTTATGTGACCCCTTGCCAGTGACTTAGTTCATTAACTAAAGGCACAAGCACTCGGTCAAGAACTGTTTGCCGATATTTCAGATCCCAAAGATCAGCATCAATGCTATTTGAAGCCACGATGCAGAACTCAATGGCGGCAGAGTGTGCAAAGGATAGGTTCTCTTTTTCCCGAAATATCCTTTGATTAAGGAGTTGAGCTTCTCGGACTCGGTCGAAAGCCGTTGGATTGGCTACTCTTTCTTCGTTGTTTGTGAAACTCGACCGACCATGGAACTTGATCTGAAGAAGTATCTTTGCCAGCATAAGTAGATTTGCGCTATCATATACAAGTCCCTTTTCTTCGGTATTTGGACATGGAGAACTCGCCAAGGGGATGCAATAAAACTTAGGACCTCTATCATAGGTGACAAAAAGCTTAGGTAAACTTAGGTAAATTTAGTAAAGTTTTAGAGGATCTTAGACTAAGTACTTTTAGCACCTCAGTTTAACGTCAGAAGTCTTCTTACACCCCGAGGCTCGCATAACTCTCCGCGATGAAAGGGTGTCGAAGGTTAATCACAAGCTGATCATCAATCGAGGTTGAAGAGAAGAATACTACGTTTTGGCTCCAGTGCTTGTTGAGCCAGGGCGTTGAAGGGAGTTGGAGAAATGAGGAAGTTAGGATAATGGCTAGTCGATACCGTTGCTCCTCTGTCAAAGGGGTGAAGCACTTCGAGCCAGAATGTGCAATGAGGAGGTCCTGAAGGCTGATAAGATTCTCCGTGCAACAGACTGGTTTAATTTCGTCCTGGTAGGTCTCGTAAAGCACACCTTGGTTGTCCAGTCCAAAACCAAAACCGTTGTAACAACGAAAGACGGTACAAAGATCTCCGACCACGGTCAAGCCATGGATGCTTCTGGTGGCCATGCCTTGCTGGCCGTGAACAAATCTCTTGGAATGCGTCTCTGTGAATCGGATTCTCTTACTTTCTTTATCTGCCTCTTGATCTGAATCAATAATCTCGACTTTAGCTGATTTCCAACTTGCAGAGCTCATTGCTGATTTGTGAGTAATAGTGAAACATGGTGGTTTGCTGGACGGTTTCACTTTCTTGAGCGATTTTGGTTCGCTGCGACGCATAACTCTGTCTTCCAAGAGCAGGCGAATTTCGTGGGAAGTATGGGCTGAACAGGACCAGGCTTTTCCTAAAGTCTGATGTAACATGGTTGCGTAGTTTTGTATCTGCTGTAGCGAGGAGCTCAATCCCAACTTTTTAACAGTAGTTCCAGTCATCCTGCTGTTATTCGGAGCCTCCGACCTGTTGAGGAACTCGTCCAGGCGGTTGTTGCATGCTTTCATATCGTCAAGGAGTATACGGACCTCCTTTCTCTTCATGGTTAACTTGACGGCACGCCTGAACTCGAAATTTGGAAGACCACCAGAAGATGGAAGTCTTTTGTTTGCTTTGATGATGGATTCGAGATCATTTGCAGTTCCCTATAATCATAATGCCAGTCAATCCGTGTGCTGATTCGATTCTGTCAAAATTACTCACAGTATCACGATCGATATCCAAATGGCTGGCCAGCCTTTTCATACACGTATACATATCCTTGATGGTAGATATGTAAGGCTTGTATGTAGATTTGAGCATCCCTTGCAAGGCTTGGGCCAGGTCTTGTGACTTCCAGAGTTCATGATGAGGATCTCCAATCATCTCTTCAATTTCGGTTGGACTTGCCACATCTTTGAGGATTTTCCTCAAAGTCAACTCAAACGACGAGTGCTGATACCAAAATTCCCGCAAAGTCGAGTTCAGCCCATCTTTCCATTTGAAGAAAGCGGTTGCGCGATCGAGGCTGTCGCTATAGTGCTCTATCGCTGAGATAAGCAGAGGGATGGACCCGAGAACAATACCTGCGATCTCAAACCCTGACATCTGACTCACTGTCTATAATGTTGTTAAGTTTCGTCTTGAGGCAGAGTGAGAAATGAAGAGCCATAATAACCCGCCATTGGATAATCAGATCGCATTCGCAACCTTTTTGCCAGCCTGCATACTGAGAACGAGGCTACCAATCATGAGCGCCCATGAAGCGCCATGTGAGCATCCAAGATGAGAATCGATGTTGCTTACACACATCGAGGGATTTTAAGCAGAGACTGTCCAAAGCGGGGTAAGGTCTCATGTAATACCGGCAACTGGAGTGTGTCCTGATCATATTGCAATTTTGCTTCTAAGCCTGCGCGTTTCCCCCAGCTGACCATCATAGTAGTGCGTACAAATACACAGAACTGATAAGGCAATTTAGTCTACACGATGAGCACAGCCCAAAGTCTGAGTCAATCCTGTGTCAATGGCTTCCAATATCTTTTGTCAAGTCTCAAAGGGACTGCACCTCGATTTCTACAGCAGATGCCTCCTTCAACAATCGAAATACAGTTTGGAAGATTCAGAATCTGGTGTGGAAATCTTGGTGCCTTGCAGACGGGCTATTCCTCGCTTGATTACAGGTTGAGAGAGTCGGCTCTCATGCACAAAAATATCTCACAACTTCTCCAACAGCTTCGCATAGCATTGGAAGAGTGTAAACATGAACGATCGAGATGTAAGGAGATAAGAAGCTAAGGATAGAGTAGCTACCACCGTCCTATCGGGTGAACGGCTTCCGTTCGATGAGGAGTCTATGCTAAGTTCTGTCTGCTGGTTTAAGCTCTTAGCCATGAGCCTTAACTGTAAATAACATATCTAGCTAATAACTTAGATATTATACTATAATAACTAACTAATTACTATAGCTAAAGGCTAATATTATAAAAACCTAAAAGATAACTTATTTGCCTGCTATTACGGGATATAAGAAGGTACCTTTAATTTATCTTCTAGGATAATTAAACGTAAGATAATAAGTAAGATAGCAGTATACTTACTTAAATAAAGGCTTAAATAAAAGCTTAAATAAAAGCTTAAATAGAAGCTTAAATAAAAGCTTATCTATATAGTATATCTAAATAAATTCTAATAGCAGTATATTAATAAATTTCCCTTTAACCTTACTAATATTAGAAATTACTAAGAGACTCTTAAGAATAAAGATAGTTTTAAGAAGGTTAAAGCTATAAAGAGAGAAGTCTTTAAGATTATTAATACTAAGGAGTATAAAAGGCTTTTTAATAACCTAATTAGGTAACTAGCTATTCTTAGTACTTATACTTTTACTTATACTATTAAAGGACTTTTTTAGGAGACTAAGAAAGCTATTAGGTAAGAAAGAGAGGTATTAAAAGCCCTTTTTTATAATAAGGTTAAGGCTAAGAAGATAATAAAGTTAATTAGAAGAAGAAACTAGGATTAGGTTAAGTCCCTGGTTAAGCTGTAGCTAGTAATTTGCTTAGATAAATAACTTCCTGTAGGTACAGTATATAGCTATTAGATTTATTAAGAAATGCTAATACATAAGAAAAGCTTAATAGAAAGTTTCGTAATAATACGTATATCAGTGCAATTAGGGCTAAGAAGAAGGTTTAGGGCAATTGGAAGGTAGTGGCGGAGTTAAGTTTATGAGTTAATTATAAGGTTAGAAAATACACTTTGACTTTAATATAATGGGAGGAGTCTATGCTGTCAGATATAAGCGAAGAATCAGACGATGACACAAGCAACGAGTACTTTCCATCAACAGAGCTATCTATGAGGGTAGCAAGTATTACTGACATACTCAACAACCTATACCGATTATCATACAAAATTAGCAACTCTAGCCTTCGCCCCAGCTCTACCGGGGCCAGCTTGATTCGAGCGGTGGACAATGAGACAGAGATCGATCTCTTCGACACGCTCCATGAGTTTGACTCAAGGCACCTGATCGAACTCTTCAGAGCTATACGTCAAGGAAAGTCTGAAGGCGCTGAATGTTCCGACGTTCTTCTCGAAAGATTCACAACATCTCATGTGTTACGACGCAAGCAATTTAGATATTGGGAAAGGCATGCTAGAAAACTTGGTATTCAACTTCTGTCTGTGCGCCAAATACCTAGCAGAGAGATGAACTTAGCATCAGAGGTTCAAGAGGATGTAAGACTTCCACAAATGAAGCGTCTTGAACTCCCTCCCCAGGTCGCGGAACAGAGCTATATTTCTGAGACTAATGCAACCCCATATGACCCCGCCCGAGATGATCGAACAGAGAGAGAAACCATACTGTCACTGGCCTCGACTGCCCTCGATGCCGAAGGAAATGGAATTAAGGTGCCCACGCCTCCCAAGGACGCACTGAATGGAGATTCGTTTACCTGCCCTTACTGCTGGGTGGTTTGCCCCCCAAAGCAAGGAAGAGGAAAAACTTGGAAATCGCATGTCTTCCGTGACCTGAGACCTTACGTATGCACGTACGAAGCATGCAGCTCAACCAACGATCTTTATCAGTCAAGAAAAGCGTGGGTGGATCACGAGGAAGCTGTACATCGACCTAGTTGGCGATGCCGCGATCATCCCGATGCCTGGTATGCGTCATCTGCTAGTTTTCAGAGCCATCTATTACTGGAGCATGATAGAGGTCTCTCGGACGAACAACTCCAGGACTTGACAAACGTCTCTGAATTGGCTCTAATTGATGAACGTGATACTTGCCCCATATGCCTCGAAGAGAAGCCATTCCCCAAAGGCCTGACCAATCATTTAGCAAACCACCTTGAGCGAATTGCACTCTTTTCTCTTCCAACGACAACATCCGCTGAGGACAAGAACGCGGATGAAAGCGACTTCTCCAAATTCTTCAACATTGATTCTGACGGTCGTCGACATTAGAGCAGTTTATAGAGGACGATGAAGACCCAATGGATACTCAGTGGAACACCTCTCAGCACCCCCCCCAATCTGAGTACTACGCTGTCAAAAATGGCTGACTTGGTGGAGCTATATACCACGCTGAAAGATTATGAACAGATCTTCGCATCCCTCAAGCCCCATGTTATCGCAGCCAAACCAACGCTGGATGGCAGCGGAAAGTTTGCTTTTGAACTAGCATCGACTGAAGCTGGAAGATGTTTATCAATGACACGAAAGCTCTTCGAATGCAACTTGAGAGTTCATGTGACCGCAAAAGACGGGGGATAGTTTGACAGAGATACTACACCACACACAGAGATTTCTTGATACGACCAGTATACAGCTCAATAAGGTTCATGGTTACACCTTGGAACAACAAGAGAAACAGATCGCGCTGGCTACTGAAGCCTTGGGGGGACTAGGAACCATGCATGATATTCTTGAGGGAATACTCCAGGTACATGAAGGGTAGGCCAAATCTCGCATATTCGTTGATCAAGCTACTGCTGACCCATTTGAGTACCATTTCCTTTACCACCGGCCTCAGCAAAATCGGAGAATATCAAAGCATTTTAACAACGTTGTCCAAGGCATTGAAAAGGGAAGCTTACGCACCACAAGGGCCTGTCGAAAAGGCATTGGGTGTGAGGGACAATCAACATATGACCGAGCCCATTGAGCAAACACCGGACGTGACTCATGAGACGATGGAGGTTCCAGAGTATGATGAGACGTTGGATCCCTGTAAGCATGGAAGCGTCATTACCAAGCTTCAAAAGCTAAAGTCTCGACAGGCTACCGAACTGCTCAATCGCATATGTTCCAGCCTGGTGAGGTATGTACTGAAGTATCACAATGCGTTTCGTCCTAATGTATATTTTCCAGGTGTTCAAAACTCTCTGGCCAGAGCCTGCCCCTGGAGTCCCGTATGCCGCTGAGGGAGTAACACATCATGATGCTTATGGTCCAGCTGTATATGTTAGCTTTCGTCGCTTCATTGTCGTCGCCAATAATCGAGGTCATTGCACATGCGTGTAAGTCAAACCATTGCGAGGGAAGAAAGCGCTGACCACGCAGGCCAATGACAACATATGGCGGGAGAGGATTAAACGGGGGAAGAGTTGATCCTCAAAGTCATGGCATCGTATATGAGTCAGGTAATCGCTCACCACAGCTTTTACAAGGAGAGCCTACGCCGGGGTTTCCTCCTATTCGTGTTCACATATACGAGGAGGGTGAGAGAATTCACGAGACGGGTAGAGTATGCTACGCAAAGCTAATGACAGTTGAGCATGACATCAAAGTCCTTTTTATAGGGCGCGTTGTGGGCTCAGATTGGGATAGTGTCTCTTCCGCGGTTAATACTTGCTGGGCGAAGAAAGATCACAAGATGAGAAGGAGAAGGAGAAGATAAGAGGCATGTGGGAAGATGGTAATAAGTTTGTTCACTAGAACCGGATAGTGTTGCTGTCGTTCAAGGCAGAGGCAAGGTATTGGATATCGTGACGCCTTTTAAATCCAGAGAAACCCACTGAGTGCTCTTCACAATTTTGTCTCTTCATCGCTCTAGAGTACGTTAAGATCACAATTTACTTTGGCCACCGAGCCTTTTCGGCATGATGGCTTACCTGATGTAACCATCAAAGGTCTGGGCACGGCGCTTGGGACTCTTCCGCTCTTTGATACAACCAAGGCCTACTTGAGAATTACTGAGCAGCGTGATAATTTTTCTTTCAAATTTGATGGAACGGCCCGAGTTTCAGCAAAACTTCGTGGTTTGGCGGACCAGAATCAGAGAAGACACCGGGGGAGAAGTTCGTCGACAGTATGAGAGGCGACGGTGACTGGCTCAAGAAGATCGATGATCCTCCTTCGACTGCGCTTGAGTACACCATCATGCCAACCGAGATGCCCCAGGGCGCGGACCTTCCTTTCAAGACCACTGGCAAGAACACCAAGAGTTCGACTATTGAGTTCATGTCTACATCAAGTGCCGAGAAATCTGCAACCGACACTGAAATCCTCTCTATCAGATTTGGCTTCACCACTTGGTCTGACACCATGTGCCTATTCAGCAATGAGTCATCTAGCACAGCTTCCGATGCATAAGACGGAAAGTGCTCCTACAGTGGCCTAGACGACATTTTCCAGACGAGGCTACACGAGCCGATGGCAAAGTCAGGGGCGTGACCTCATACGAGTACGAGTTACAGCCGCTGCCACAGAAAGATCAGACTTCAACTACCAGACGATTCTTGCCTAGTAGAGGATCATTCTTTATCACTGTATCTGAAAACACGAGGTCGTCGGACAAAGAGTTTACATTGAAACTTGTGGAAGAGTGTTCAGGGCCTTTATGCGTTGTCAAAGCTCAAACATTCTCCAGGAAAAGGTAGGAATTATAAAATCTGAACTTGAGATGTATAGTTGAAGGTAGCTGTCAGTCAAAAGGGACTAGTCTGTATATATACTGAAAGTGTATTCTGAATCTTGATACAGATGATACAGGTCTAAGAAGAAATTCGATCTGCCCTGGTGATAACATGCATCATACTTTATCGGTATCTTGAGAAGCCTGACTTGTTTAAATCTGCCACTAGTTTGACTGCTTGATATAAAATAAAGCCGGTGAAAAGTGATGTTGAATGGATAATAATCGTCTTGTAAAGTAAGGCCCTATTCATATCCTGACTCATATGGTATACGCAACAGTACTGATTGCTTTCATTTCTCGTGAGAAGCAGTTCTGAGTATTCCTTAAGAGGCAAGGTCTCGGAGCTCGTTGAATCAGATCCTAGATTCTCGGATAGCAAGTGTGAATGAACCAGCACCTCCAGGCCCAAAAATGGCTGTGGATATTGCAAGATAGACCAGTTCCTGCACCTCGTGTGGCGATGTAGACACGTCGACCTTGAGCCCATCCCGACGAGAAAGAAGCAAGTGGACAGAAACCACTGTTGTCAGACACACAACGATCCAATCCCACTGGGAAAACAGATGAAGGTTTTCTAGCAGCGCGGCATACTCTCCTGACTTCCCCGCGGCAGTCTTCAAGATCGTGCCTGGGTCAGTGAAACCCCAGGCAGGAACAAAAAGTCTTGTGAGTGACGCATCGCTATCGTGGGCTCTTAGTGCACCGATCACAGTATAAATGTGCACGGCCGAAGCGACGATGCCAGCAAGTATAAGGGACGTTACGATCCACCTTTTGGCTTCTTTGCATGATGTTGGTGTGACAGGCCCTTGAGGGAGAATTGATACAAGGCTTAGATAGAAGCCAAGAACAAGGATAGGGGTCACTTGAAAGAGGGCAATCAACCCATGATGGGCTTCGCTCCCATCGAAGCCTAACCATGCTGGTGCAAAAATCAGTAGCGGCTGAAGGAGAATTGCCACAGCTGTCACTGGCATCGCCACCGCGTCCCACAACGGCACACTAGAGTCGCGTAAGCGAGCCTTGCTACGGCAGAGCAGGAACATGTACAGTGGCAGCACAATAGCAGCACCGTTGAAGTTGCAGAGAGCCATTGCCCACGCTGGATACCTCAGGAACACGGAACGCACGCCGCGACGGCGAGATTCAATGAGCGTCCATAGGCTTGCGCATGCGACGACATAATTGATGTCAAAGAACAACAAGCGTGGGCCGGAGCTGAGGGAGTTTGTGAGGACGTCGTAGAATGCCGTGACGAGAGAAAGCTGCGCATCTAGTGGAGCAAGGCCTGTGTACGAGGAGCGGAGGGGTCTGCCGTCTGGGAAATGGAGCGTCTTTGTGAGCGTGTCAAGGCGGTGGAACATGCCGTTGAAGGATGCATAACCCCAGAGACCCCATACACCCACGGCACTGAGGTAGAGGAGCTGATTTCTTGAAGTCTGAAGCATGGTTTGAATTTGGGTTTGATAAAGAGGTTGACGATAAGGCTCTTGCTGGGGAGGACAGTCAGATGTGTAACTAATTATTTATGTGTTCTTCTGTTTAACTTGGTGAATCGTAGGAGAGGTGATGTTGCATTCGGTCTTATTTCCTTTGCCGGATCGGCGGTTTCTGAGCGGCATCCAACGGCCGCTCCCGCTTTATTGGCTACGGCGCTCCACTCACGGCGCTCGGGACCGAAGCCCCGTCTTCCGGTCGGGCCCGTCTTCAAATTGTTATCGAAATGGCGTTGGGTATCTCACATTGACGAAAGCTCTGAGTTTTAAGCAATTCTTCCCGTCAGGAAATCCAAACACCGTACTTTCAAATCTCCAACAATACTTGTCGCCATGCAGGAAAACTCGCACTTCAAAGTCATCATCGTTGGTGCCGGCGTCACAGGCCTCACGCTTGCTCATTGCCTAGCCAAAGCTGGCATCGACTTCGTCCTCTTGGACAAAGGCGTGGTGGCACCGAGCTTCGGCACTACGATTACCCTCCAGCCTCATGGGTGCCGAATCCTACACCAATTGGGCTGCCTAGACGCCGTACTGGCCAAGTGCGATACCATGGGCGGTGCGCATTGCCGTGATCCCACTGGTACGAGCTTTGCCTCCAACGACTTCTTTGGTGTTGTGCGAAAATAGTATGTACTACTTCATCTTAGCTGGGACTCACTCACTAATCATATCAAGTGCGGGTTATGATACTAGGACACTTGACCGTCAAGTATTCCTGCGTCAGCTCTACGAGCTGCTGCCCGATAAGTCTCAAGTCTACGAGAAGGCCCGGGTTGAGGAGATTATAGAGCAGGATTCGATTGCTCGCGTCATCTTAGCTGATGGTCGTGAGTTCGTTGGTGATGTAGTAGTTGGTTCTGATGGCGTTCATTCCAAAGTCCGCGAAATCATGTGGGACAAAGCCAATGCTGTGCGCCCTGGGATGATCACTGTCAATGAGAAGAGAGGTAAGTGCATACACTCTCATGGTAGATGTAATTAGTTACTCACACTCTTTAAGCTATGGTCACTCAATACAATGCCATCGTAATGGCAAGCTCGCCAGTTCCTGGTATTGGCGCTCACGACATGGAAATAACCTCCAATGACAAGTACTCTTTTCTCCTTCTCTGCCAACCAGACTGGATATCCATCATTGTGCACAGCAAGCTCCCTGAGCACCAGCAGTGTACGTGGCCCACGCGCCGACGTTATACTGAGGCCGATATGGAGGCGCTCGTGAGTAAGATATCTGAGCGTCCTGTCACAGATACTGTCGTATTTGGGGAATTGTGGAAGCGACGTCTGAAAGCACAAATGATATCACTTGAAGAGGGGGTTTTAGAACATTGGACCTCTGGCCGAATTGTTCTGGCTGGAGACGCTGTCCATAAGGTACGAGTTCACATGAACGATACCTTATGTATCTTGACATATCTAACTTGTCTAGGTCACCCCGAACTCTGCCCTTGGAGGCAACACAGCAATGGAGGATGCAGTCGTAATCACGAACACACTGTATGCTCTATTAGCTAGGCACCCAAACAAAAAGCCCAGTGACGTAGAGTTACATGATGCCATGCTCCAGGAGTACCAAGACACGCGAGTAGAACGGGCTCGGGCCATAGTCAAAGCTGGAGGTGTCTTGACGAGGCAGCAAGCTTACGACGGTTGGAAGGCCTATGTCACCCAGCGATGGCTGACGCCCATCATAGGACTTGATGCATTAGCACAGAAGATTGCTGGTCTATGCGTTACAGCGCCTAAACTGAACTTTGTCATGTTCGATGAAAGGAGAGGGATTCTGGGCTGGCAAGACACGATGGAGGCTGAGAAGAAGCGTGCAATGAAAGGCAAGGTGGTGGAGAAGGGGAAGGCAGGAATAGCTTGGAATAATTGGAATGGTGGATTTGAAGCTGCTTTTCCGTATGTAATGGGGATTTTGGCTTCTGCATGGCTGGCTATATGGTTATTTCATCTTAGCGCCTCTGGAGATCATGTGTTTGGCTTTGCGACGGATAGGTCAGGTTTTGTCGAGCTTTACAACACGAGCTGGATAAAGGCTAACTGAGCTGGGATGAATTGTCTCGAACTTGAGGTAGTAATCGAATCTAAGTTGATGCGGAATCACTGGCTACCATTCGCAGTAGTACTACCCATTGATCTGCCATAAACGCATGGGATCACGAGATGTCCATGTAAAGGGCCCATTGAACACACTTGCAGATTCTTGTGACATTGTTATATTTAGAATCCGCAAAAACCAACTGTTATGCCAAGCAGGCTCTCTTACTCGGCAACATGTTTCGGGAACAGAAAAGTCTGGCCAAGTAATGAGAGTTGATTCAATATTGTACATAATCTCTAATTCCAACTCATGTTTGTTTTGCTGTGTGACTGTTGGTACAATATCCTAGTCAAACTGGAAGATGCATGAAGCATCCTCCAAAAATCAAGAGTCCTAGACACTCTGACGTAGTGGATGTCCAAGTCGGTCTTGTCCATCTATCATATCCCTGTAGGTCGCACCACTCTTTAGGCTACCGCAGTTGGTTCGAGCTTCCGTCCACCAAGCTTAGCTTTCTGATGCGAGGTCAGTGTCGGTCAATAAACATCTTTGTGAACTGAGACACCTACAACTAGTGGACAAGCGCACACGAAACTGAGCGCAGCTGCCGCCATGAAAAAGGCCCAGATGCTTTTCATAGCACTTGCGATCTCTGGGATAACTATAGCCTTTTCGTCCTCAGAAAGAGCTTTGAACGCGGCGCTGCTCGTGCCCGCAATCAAGTTGCCAATGTCAGTGTCGGAGGCTGTTGGCAGGGCGTTGCCCACTTTGTCAACGGCGACATTGTGGAACAGGCTGCCACTGATAGCAAGAAATAGTACCATTCCGAGATCCTGGGCTAAAATACAGGTCAGCTGGAGTCAACGCCGAATAGCTTGCCTGAGGATACTTGCAAATAGTCATAGCACCAACTGCATTAGCAATTTCGTGGGTGGGAACCAGTGACTGCATGATGGCGAATCCGGCGACTATATAACATCCCGCTCCGGCTCCGACAAGTATGTTGTAGCCGTATACTTTGCCATTAGATGTGGTGTCGTCGATGGTATCTGGAGGGCATTAGAACAGACCACCAGAATGTTGAGCACCTTACACATTAAAGCACTACCGATAAGTGCAAGAGCACTGCCTCCGATGTACCAAACAGGAATCAGTCCGTATTTTGGCATCAGAAAGCCATTCAACATTGAGACAGCAACCATAAACATGATCAAAGGGAGCAAGCGAACACCAGCTTCGAGCGCTCCATCGCCCTGAAAATGTCAGTTACGAATAACTCATGACGCAGTCAGAACCTCTACCTTGATGAACTGGAAATACAGCGGGACGAAGTAAGTCATCGCCTGGACTTGGTTAGTCAAGGTATTCATATCGATACTATGTGACTTACTAGGATGATGCCCGAAGATAGAAAGACTTGGAGCTGCATGTTGATCAAAATCCACTTCTTGAAGAAGTGTAAGGGATACAGGCGGTTTTCCTTGTTGACCAGAGGATGTATTTTGAGTAGGACTATGAAAGCCACCAAGAGAACGCCGGTGACAGTCCATAGTGCAATGATGGTCCCTGAGTTGAATGAATAGACGACACCTCCGAAGGTCAACGCGACGGTCAGGCAAGCGGATCCCGCCAAGAAGATGACTGCGTTGATCCAATCGACGAGGCGGAGCTTCTCTGAAAGGGTTTTGGTAGGGTTGGGATCGGTACTGGGGAATAGGAGGAAGTACGCAGGAGCAAAGACAGCACCGATGGGAAGATTGATGTAAAATCCCTGGAGTAAAGTTAGGGTCGAGTGGGAGAAAGTAGGAAGAGTACGTACCCATCTCCAAGTCGCGCTGCTTGTTGCGAATGCGCCACCAACCTATTGATAATGGTCAGTCCAGACTCAATGACGAGACGAGAGATGTAGCTTACAACAGGGCCAAGGACACTGCCAATGCCCCACACGACAGTGCTTCCAGCGAGGTATGCTGGCTTCTCATGCTCGTTGGTAAGAACCGAGACATATGTCAAGGTGCCAGAATACATCCCAGAACCACCGATGCCAGCAATGACCCGACCGATTATGAGCGCTTGGATGTTGGGCGCAGCACCGCATATAGCACTCCCGGCCTCGAAGAGGAAGATGTTGAAGATGTAGACCCATTTGATGTTAAAGACACCATAAACTTTGCCCCATAGCAGAATGAACATGGTACCGAGGGCGAAACCCGTGCCAATCCATGACATGAGCTCGAGATGGCCGAAGTCATTGATGATACTGGGCTGGATGTTTGCAACGATGGTATTGTCGATAGCAAAGAGGAGCGTTGTAGACAGCATTGCTGCATAGGCAACGGCCCACTACACGAAGTCATGCAAGGTTAGCAAAACAACTTGAAAGACCAAGACTTTCGTAAGCACTCACTCTCCATCCCTGGATGCTACGCTGTCCGGTCTCGTTGAGAGAGGCGTCGCTACTACCACCGAGGTCGCCCGGAGTATGCGGGCTTCTGGGTGCTGCATCTGCAGGCTTCTCGGTACTTTGATCGCTCATGGTTGTGTGGATTCAGGTGGGATATTGTTACTTTGATTGTGAAGGATGATAAGGCAACTCTTGGTTTTCCGCACGAAAGGGGACCATTTTTGTCAAGTAGGGGACTTGCAGCGAGATTATACGAGAGCAGGGACGGACACGGGGCGGACGCGGATATAGTGGGGCCGTCTGAAGAGAGCAAAAGAAGACCTGCGACTGGTGTAAACTGGCCCCGCTCTATGCGCTAGTCCGCTCGAGACCGAGGAAGGCCGCCGATTGGCCATATCTAGCCCGTACGTTTAGCAACGCCATAATGCACTGACTGCCAGTGAAGAGCTGAAGACTTTGCTAGGATGCACATAGGAATACTTCAATGCGAGAAGATCAATAGAAGTTCAGAGAACGCAATGGGAGATACACTGCCTAGTATGGTTATGATCGTGGCGGCTTTTTTCCAGAAATAGTAGAATGCAATTATCGTGTCCATATTCAGAGAAACTAGTACCCAGATACAATTCGAATGTGATCCATTGTGTTTCACAGCATGTTGTCTACGTAGCCTTTCCGTTCTCCGCCTTTGCACCCTCGATGTCATGTTGATGACGTCGAAGACTCAGGTACTCGTCCAGAATAGTCTTGTAATCACTTGGCTTATATCTCACAAACCATTCTTCAAAAGCGTTGCTCTTACGGAACGGATTGAGACCTAGGTCCTTCATCAGTGTGTCGATGTACTAGTCCCAGTCAGTGAAAGGAAGTGGCACGCACGTGCATCCCGAGTTTTCTTACAGGAATGTAGTCGTATATGAAATACGAATGTTTCTTGCCTTGCTCAAGGTATCTCTTTCTCGTCCAAGCATTGAAGTTTGCAGCCTCGGCTTCCATCTCTTCTCTTGGTGGTAGATCTCGCCATCCGAGCATCCATGAAACACCCCAAAGTGCCTGGAGCTCAGCTGCTAGTGGCGTGAATGCGGAATGGATGTGCCCGGGGAATAAAATCGATCGATCGCCCCGTGCTGCCAGCTCAGGTACCACCAGACGGCGGTAGTGCCTGTTAGGACCGTGCCCCATTCTCTTGGTAGCTTTGGAGTCGCCGTATCGGCATGGCGCATCACGAAGATATGGCAGGAGATCGTCCACAGTCCTTTCGGCTTTCTCATCAAGCATCGTCCATCGGGAGAATTCTTCAGAGTCATACTCCAGACCGAGCTCACGTCTAAGACTAGGTTCGAATGCGTCGTACCCCTTATCAAACCCCGTGCAGTGAATCACGATATCGGCCGCGATGGAGTATCCGTTCTTCAAGTTCACGACATCCTTATGGGAAAGAGTATCGATCTCGGTCGAATGAATAGTAACATCGCCGTTATGAAACGTCTCCCAAAAGTCGGGAGCGGTCGCGATGCCAATACCACCGGATCCCCAGAAAACTCTGCCAGCAAGAGACGTCAGTCAAGCAACTACAACAGTGATGCTGGGATTCTAGCATCTTACCCATCGCTGTAGGGCCTGGGCCGCAGCTTTTCGGCATTCGGTGTCCTCCAGTAGTCTGCATGAGACACTGAGATATAGTTTGCCGTTCGCCAGTACACGTTGGTTAGAAGACGTCCCAAGGCATTGCGCTGGAAGAAGTTGTAACAAATCCCAGAGGTAGACATGATACAGGGGCTGAAGCTTGAGGCAAACCGAGTCGAGATGTGGTCAGCAATATTCCAGAGCCCCATGAACGTCGGCGCATAGATACTAAATGGGCCAGATTCTCCGTCCCGCATCACCCAATCTACCTTCTTCTCTGCGCATAGAAGATGATAGACCGCATCGTATGATGACTTGGAACGGCCGACAACGACGGTGTTCTTTACGCTGTCCCTTATATAATCCTGATACTTTCCAAGTGCAAGGGAGTGTATAACGGGCTTTTCAAAATCTTCTCGTGGCCACTGTGGGATGATGGGGCTTGAATTGGCACCCGTGGCGTATATGAGCTTTCGACATGCCAGGGGTTCCTTTCCTTTTATGTTGAGTTCCCAGCCATCCGAGTCGGGGCCTCTCTTTACTTTCTCAACGCGGGTGTTGAGACGCATCCGAGGCATCAGATTATGGTCTCTGGCAAAACTCTCAAGGTATTTCTGGATTGTCTTCCCGGATACAAATCCATCTGGTGATACATCCTCTTCCGGCATGGGATAGAAGGAGTACTCGAACAAGGGATGGCTGATCTGAGCAAAAAGACTGGGGTAGATACGCTCCTTGGACCATACTCCACCGACTGTCTTGCCGTCGTCAAGAATCAGAAGGTTCGTCTCTGGAGCAAGCTCGAGGAATGTTCGGGCAGCCATCAACCCATACCATCCTGTTTCATCCTGTTAGTCGAATTGAAAGACTGTTCTGAGTCAAAACGCCTTACCTGCACCAACCACAATAACATCTAACATCTCTATAGCTTGGTTCGTCGTCATGGTGTTCACGTTCAAGTCGAGAATGCCAACGATGTCAACGGTGAACCCTTGACCTAGATCCCAGGTGGAGGAAACGACAACTTGTTTTTAGTAGGTATTGTTCATGCAAGGCTCCACCTGCTTATCTCTTGGCTCTGAGTCCGGCGGCCCAACCCCCTCCGGCTCCGCTCCGAAACTACCCTACGGACGGCCGAAGGGATTTGTCCGAATCGGCCACGGGCAGCGGTTCTCAAACGGTCGGCATCGGAGCAACCGATCTCGGCTTAGGATTATGCAGTTCCACTCGATGAGATCTTTCCGATCAGTGAAGCTTGATGGGGCCTTGTACTACGGGCCAATGTTGAGGAACAAGGAGATGTTGAGGAGGAATTTGGGGGCTAAAAACGGCATTCGTGAGTATAAATGTGTTCTACACATTTGGCATTATAACAGAAACTAAATCATACTTAGTCTTTTAGTATTAGCTACCAATCCAAGAATTGTGCATCTTTATCGATAGTTTGTCAGAGATCCACTTCAGGCCTCTTGTTTACTCGCTCACATCTTTGAACAGACATCGTATTCCGTATCAGCTCTCCATAACGACAATGCCTCACTTTCGAGAATCATCTTCAAGCTCTTCGACCACGGGTATCGATATCAACCCATATAATTCCGGTCAACGCATCGTGAACGATGATGAATATGCGGCTCTTTCGCCAGACGAGCTTCCATTGAGCGAGCAGCTTGAGCCTATCGCAGTTGTCGGAATAGGTAAGGTCTGTCGCATCCCCGGTAGGTGCCTGTGTTGTTGATACTTTGATCACAGGATGTCGTCTCCCAGGCGATGTGAGCTCTCCATCTGACTTCTGGAAGTTGATGATGGAAAAGAAGAGCGGCCAGACGCCCAAGGTTCCGGCGTCCAGATTCAATATCGATGCACACTTCCATCCGAATAATGATCGTCCTGGTAGCTTTGGCGTGCTTGGCGGTTACTTTATCAACGAGACATTGCAAGAATTCGATCCAGGGTTCTTTGGTATCACGCCGGTTGAAGCTACATGGATGGGTAAGTTGATCCCTTTTGTCAATGCTTATCCAATGTGTTTACTAAAAAGAGTTGTAGATCCGCAGCAGCGAAAGCTTCTCGAAGTCGTCTATGAAGCTTTTGAGTCCGCCGGCTTAACTCTCGACCAGCTTTCTGGATCTGATACGGCCTGCTTCATGGCAACCTTCACTGCCGACTTCCAGCAAATGTCTTTCAAGGAGCCTTCTTTTCGCCATAGCTTGGCAGCCACTGGTGTTGACCCTGGTCTTCTCAGCAACCGAGTTAGCCACGTCTTTAACCTCCGAGGCCCCAGTATTGTTGTCAACACTGCATGTTCTTCCTCTGTCTACGCTCTGCACAATGCCTGCAACGCACTCCGAACCCATGAATGTTCAGCCGCAGTCGTTGGTGGCAGTAACCTCATCCTGACAGTGGACCAACACATGAACACAGCCAAATTGGGCGTGCTGTCACCAACATCGACTTGTCACACTTTCAATAGCTACGCCAATGGTTACGGGCGTGCTGAGGGTGTCGGCGCTATCTACCTCAAGCGTCTGAGCGATGCTGTGCGGGATGGTGATCCCATCCGCGGAGTCATACGCTCAAGTGCGACTAACAATAATGGAAAGGCAGCTGGTGTAGGAATTACATATCCTGGATTCGATGGACAGAGAAACGTCATGAGACACGCCTATCAGCGCAGCGGACTCGACCCCATGCTCACTGGGTATTTTGAGTGCCACGGAACGGGAACAGCTATAGGCGATCCACTCGAAGTCCACGCAGTATCTGACATTATGAACAGTACAAGGACAGATGCAGATGGGCCACTGAATATTGGCGCTGTCAAAACGAACATTGGGCATTCTGAAGCAGCCAGTGGGCTGTCTGCAATCATCAAGGCCATCTTGATGGTGGAGAGAGGCATCATCCCGCCAACTCATGGTGTTGTTGATTTGAACCCCAAGATCGACTGGAAGGGATGGAGGGTCCACGTGCCTACAGATCCAACTCCCATGCCCCGACACTTGCCGGTCATGCGAGTGAGTGTCAACTCCTTCGGGTACGTACAAATCTGAATCGCCCCAAATACAGAACTGACCATCATAGGTATGGTGGCACAAACGCTCACGTTATCGTCGAAAGCCCCAAGTCTCTGCTCAGTATGCCCCAAAACTACAAGTATTCGATGCACGGCCATAGCACGAAGACCAAGTTGGCACGAGGAGCAGTCAATCGAAGCCGACCATACCTCCTGGTGTTTTCAGCGCACGACGCTGGAGCTTTGAAGCGCAATACCGTAGCTCATGGCAAGGTTGCCGCCAAGTACAGTCTTCTCGACCTGTCTTTCACTCTCGCCAACCACCGTACGCGATTCCAGAGCAAGGGCATGGTAATTACGACACCTAGCACCTTGCAGAACACCTTTGCCGACGACATACCTGGCTTCATAGTTGGCAAGAAGAATGAGATAGCGCGTACGCTTGGCTTCGTTTTCACCGGCCAAGGAGCGCAATGGGCAGGTATGGGTGCGCAGCTTATGGCGCTCTACCCAACTTTCCTCAAGACAATTCGTCGTATGGACTTGATTCTCGAGGATTTGGAGGACGCCCCCTCCTGGACACTAGAGGAGTGTCTTCTAGAGAACCAAGCTACGTCTCGTGTCGGAGAGGCTGAGTTCTCACAGCCTCTTTGCACCGCTGTTCAGGTCGCTCTGGTACAGCTACTCAAGGTCTGGGGTATCCACCCATCAGTGACTATCGGCCACTCTTCGGGCGAGATTGCCGCAGCATTTACAGCTGGATACATCTCGGAGGCTGAAGCCATCCTAGCAGCCTACTATCGTGGCCAAGCTGTCAAGTGCATCGACTCAGCAGGTGCCATGATGGCTGTTGGGCTTGGAGCTGGAGCCATTGCACCATACCTTGAAGCTCATCAACCTAGGGTGGTCATCGCATGTCACAACTCACCTGAAGGTGTCACTTTGAGTGGCGATGTTGAGGCGTTAAAGGTGCTAGAGGCTGACCTCAAAGCCGAGGGAACCTTTGCTCGTATTCTGCATACCAACGGAAAGGCCTACCACTCGAGTCACATGCTCTCAGCAGTGGACAGGTACGAAGGACTGCTACGAGACTCTAGGGAAAACGGTCTTCCGAGGCTCATGTTTGATAAGGCTGAGATGGTCTCATCTGTGACAAATTCGTTCCTCAAGGAGAATACTGTGCTTGACGAAAAGTACTGGAGTGCCAATCTCACCAGCCCCGTGCTCTTCAATCAAGCCGTGCAGACTGCTCTTGCGCGTAAGGATATGGAAATCGATACACTCATTGAGATCGGTCCTCACTCTGCTCTATCGGGACCTATACGTCAAATCAAGGCACACCTAGGCGCTGACAAAGTCCAATATCTACCAACACTCATCCGAGGCGCCAGGTGCGCGGAGCAGGCTCTCAAGCTCGCCGGTGAGCTATTCCTCCGCGACTATCCCATTGACCTGCAACGTATAACAGCGATTGAGGAACTCTCTCCGTCTGGAAAGATTACCTCGCGACAAGGTCATCTCATTGTCGATCTGCCCCCTTATCAATGGGATAAGACCAAGAAGTTTTGGGCCGAGTCTCGTGAGAGTAAGGAGCATCGTTCACCACGATTTCCACGCCACGACATCCTTGGCCAGCTAACTATCGGCGGCTCTTTGAAAGAGCCAACATGGAGGAATATTCTGCGCCTCAAAGACCTCCCCTGGCTTCGCGACCACTCTTTGGGTGGAGAAGCAGTCTTCCCAGCTGCCGGCTATCTGTCTATGGCTATGGAAGCCATCACGCAGCTCAATGAGATGTCGCAAGCTCCGCTAGAGATCGACTCGTACATCTTCAGGGATATCAGTATCCAGCAAGCCCTCGTGACTCCAGATGATGACGAGGGTATCGAGACACTGTTTAACATGAGGCCTTCCAGGCTCCTCACAGACGAGGCCATGCGATGGTGGGATTTCAACACATCATCGGTGTCTACTGAAGGGCACGTCAAGAACCATATGACTGGCAGGATCTGCATAAACACGAACAAGCGTCGAGCCCTCCCTAAGGCTGTCCCTAATCTACCTCAGCGTGCCTCAGGAAGGCTCTGGAATCAGGCCTTGAAAAAGGTTGGCTTCAACTACGGGCCAACGTTCCAAGACATGGACAACATCGCGTTTGATGGCATGTCATACTGTGCTCAGGCGACGACCAACATCAAGTCGTCTGTCATGAAGGATGAGTCTCGCCACGTTCTTCATCCAGCCATCCTCGACTCCTGTCTTCAGCTCATGATTGTTGCCATCTGGGCCGGTCGAGCCAGCGCGATGAAGTTCGGAGCTGTTCCCGTGACCGCTGAAGAAATCATTGTTTGGAAGCCGACGCAAGCTCAGCTACATGGAAGTTCCAATGCGAAAGCCTTCTCCTGGATCGACCCACGTGGTCAGAGAGTATTCAATGCCCACAATCAGCTGTTGGCTGATGATGCCCAGGTCCTGATGCAGATCAAAAGTATGCAGTGTACTGCTTACGAGGCTGCTATACCGCAGAGTTTGGGAGACGTCGCTCGTCCACAGCCTTACAGCCAGATTGTCTCAAGACCGGACTTCTCACTTCTTAGAGGCAGCCAGAACCACCTGTCACTTACCGACTTTGTTGAACTCGCCCAGTTCAAAAAACCGGCATTGAAAATGTTGGTATCGGGCCCAGTAACAGCTGTAGCCCTCCTGGCAAGACTTCCTGAGCTTTGCCTCACAGTAGCTACAGATGATGCCCATGCGCCTGAGGTCACTGAGGAGCTGAGTGGTTTCACAAACGTATCTATAGAACAGTTGGAGCTTACGGCTAGTATGACGACACAGTCTCAGGAAAAGCTCAAGTGCTCTTTTGATATCATTGCTACCCCTAGCACGTCTCTCCATGAGCTTCAGAATATCAGGGAACTCCTCTCAGAAGATGGTTGTGCCGTGCTAAGGGGAGATGTATCTGCTCTGTCAGAACAGAGTCTCAAAGACGTGGGTTTCTCTGGAATTGAATCATTTCTGGGCGAGTCCTCATTCGTTACTCGTATCGAGAAGACTCGCAATCCTACAGAAGCACCCATATGGTTACTATACCATACTGATCCTCCAAGCTGCGCGCATAGTTTGGAGTGTGAACTCGAAAAGGCGGGTTTCAAAACAGAGCCCTTGAGACTAGGCAATACCTGCCCAGCTGGAGCCAACGTGATCGCCTTAGTTGATCTTGAGGGCCCCTTTATGGCCAACATGTCGGAAGACGAGTTTCTACACCTACAGACGATCTTGGGCGATGCTTCCAGAGTGTTATGGATGTCTTGCAGCGATGCATCGAAGGATGTGGCTCGCCCGGAGTATGCCATGACGGCAGGGCTCCTGCGGTCTCTTCGTTCTGAACGAGCTTCGCTGAAAGCAACGCTTGTGGACTTTTCCATTGATGACTTTGCCTCTGAGAAATTCAGTACAAGAGCATCCCGTCTCGCATCAGCATTCTTCACTGGTGAACAAGAATTGGAGACGGAGTATATTTCCAAGGATGGCCAGCTCCTGATCAATCGACTGATCCCATTCGACAGGATCAACGAGACATACGCTCTCACTGACAATGAGACCCAGTCTCAGCCTTTCAACCCAGAAGTCAGTCTGGACGGTACAATTGACTCTGGAAAGATTGTATTCTCTCACTGTAAGGCGGACGAGGTGGTACTGCAACCTAACGAGGTCGAGTTCCGAGTGTTAGCAACAGGTCTTACCGATGAAGACAAATCCGTCATATTGGGCTCCTCTCCCGGCCCTAACTTCAGTCATGAGGCCTCTGGTATCGTGACACGGACCGGGGATGCCGTTACAAGAGTGTCACCCGGAAAACGAATGGTGGCCTTTAGTGCAGGAAGGCTCTCAAGCTTTCAGCGAGTTCCAGAATCTCTTATACAAAAGCTCCACGACTGTGAAGATCATGAGACTACCGCAGGCCTCCCAATGTACTATGGTCCTGCTCTATATGGTCTCGAGACACTTGCCAAGCTCGAGCCCAATGAGTCGGTTCTTATACTTCCCGGGTCAGGAGGCCTCGGAGGAGCCGCGATTAGAGTCACACAAGCGCTCGGAGGCAGGGTCTTTGTCGCAGTCGGGAGCGATACCGAGGCTGAAGAGCTGCAAAGTTCGTTTGGTCTTTCTAGAGACCAGACTTTGGTGGACTATACTCCTGAACTCCTTCAAGAATACGAAATCGACGTGGTGTTTTCGGGCAGTTCAGTCGAGCCAGGAATATCACAGGAGTCGTGGAGAAATATGCCGGCCCTATCCCGATTTGTGAACTGCGGCAAGATGCCTGCAGGCTCGCCCTTGGACTCCGTGGCTGCCTCCCGCGGAGCAAGCTATCTATCAGTCAACTTCATTGGCCTCTTTAAGCGGCCGCAGGTCCTTGGTCGACTCCTCGAGCGGATAATGGCACTCTACAGGGACGGTTCACTCCCTGTCCCACCTTTGACGATTAGCAGTGTTTCGGCCATCAACAGCTCACTCACCCTTTCCTCTTCTCTGAAAAGCAGCGAAACCATCATTACTTATACAAAGGGTAGCACTTTAGAAGTTGCCCGCACTCATCCACGTCTTGAGTTGCACGCAGATGCCACTTACCTCCTAGTGGGATGTCTTGGTGGCCTGGGGCGTAGCCTCACAACATGGATGATGAAGCGAGGAGCGCGGAACTTTGCATTCCTGTCTCGTTCGGGAACAGATTCTGAGCAGGCTGCTCTTTGTGTCCAAGACCTGGAAGCTCGAGGTGCCAAGGTGCAGGTCTTTAGAGGCGATGCAGCTATCAAAGGAGACGTCGAGAGAGCTGTAGCCTCAATTCCATCCTATATGCCTCTGCGGGGTATTGTGAATGCCGCCATGGTCTTGCGAGTGAGTTGTGATTACTTGGACGCGCTCATCGATTAACTAACACCCGTTGCAGGATGGCCTTTTCCAGAACATGAGCTACGAAAGCTGGACAACATCCATTCAGCCAAAGGTACTCGGTAGTAAGAACCTTCACGAGGCAACAGCTGAACTACCTCTGGACTTCTTCCTCATGACGAGCTCTGTGTCTGGTATTCTTGGAACTCCAGCTCAGGGCAACTATGCGGCTGCAAACTCTTACATGGATGCACTTGCTCGGCTGCGCCGCTCTCAAGGGAAACCTGCGTGTGCAGTTGTTCTCCCCATGGTTCTAGGCGTGGGAGTAGTTGCCGAGAATCTGGACCTCGAGAACTCGCTCACTCGTAAGGGCATGTATGGTATTGACGAGGAGGCTCTACTGAATGCTTTTGAGGTGTCAATCTTGGAGCAACAGGGTCAGCAAGATGGCAGCGCCAGCTTTGACCATCTCGTCGTCGGCCTTGACCCTGCAGAGCTCCACAGAGCGACCAAAGAGGCCGAGGGTGATGTTGATGCTTTCTGGGCCGGTGACCAGCGTTTCTCTATCCTTCTTGACGCTATGCATCAACTAGACGGCGCGAATCACGGCGATGGAGAAGCAGGCTCGATTCTCTCCCGAGTTAAAGCTGCCAGCTCGCCAGCGCAAGCTATTTCTCTGGTGCGCGACCATTTCGTCTCCAAACTGGCTAGGGTGCTTCTTCTCGACGTGGAGGAGTTTAGTGATGAAAGTTCTGGACAGTCAATCGCGAGTTACGGCATTGATAGCATGATTGGTGCCGAGCTACGAAACTGGATCTTCAAAGAGTTGGGGCTGGATATCGCTTTCCAGCAACTTCTGAGCCCGTCTTTAACTATCCACAAGTTCGCTGAGCTTATTTGTGTTTCCCAGGGTATTTTTATGGATGCTGAGTAGAAGAGGACATGACATAGATATGGATGATGCGCTAGAAATTGACAGTCTTGAGGACAATGCAAGGGCAGTACTTCTTCCCGTAAATAAAAGACGATACCGTTGCTTGCTTCAGAGCCCTTCTCATACGTCACTAAGTAGACACTCTAAATTCCCAGTCCCTGGACTCGCAGAGCCTAGGTCAGTCACGGCGCTGTGGCTTGCGCCAGTTCAATAGAAGAGCTTGGCATCCAGAAGCGGTACACTTTGCCTGACTTTTCTTGACTCGTGCGATCGACAAGTAGCGTGACTTTGTGGCATTCTCCCGAGTGATCAGTGGCCAGCCGGGTTTAAGGAGGTCCCACCACTTCGCTAGTGCACAAGTTGTCAAGGCACCATGCTGCTAGTCAAACGAAGAAAGCTATTGTCTTTAATGGCGTCTACGCTTTGACACTCGTTGCTTGGCGTAATCTTCGCCCGCGGTGATAGTGGGGAATATTCGCTCGAATGCGGCTCGGGCATTCCATGATTGGGGCCGTGTAACTCTGCTCCTGCTTATGGTGGCGTGCGCCATGATCTGCTAGCACCAAATATTAAGCTCTGATAAGGACCGCTATAATAAGCAGTCACTGGGTGCCCCTTGCTGCCTTGCCGTCAACTTGGTCCTGTTTTCTTGACTCTCTGATGCGTGATGCAACTGCGTTTCTGGCGTAGCTTCTTTCTCATGCGACCGATTCCCTTGTGCAGAATATCGCCAGTATGATATCCAGCAGGGCTGTCATGGTACGTATTCGCCTTTTGATTTTATGATCATGAAGTTCTGATAATTTTTCAGGGCTTCGAGTGGACCTTCATGGCTCTCGCCTACATCACAGTCGCTTGCCGCATTTATGTCAGGGTGGTAATGAGAAAAGCGCGACTGTTCTCGGCCGACTACTGGCTTATTCTTGGCCTGCTGTCTTGCCAGGGACTGCTGATCTGCGACACGATTACCTACTCTATGGATGCGATGGATAATTTCACAATAAATAATGTAGCTATTAGAAAGGTAAGCAAGCATGACAGTCTCGGCATACCAGCTACCACGGAAGCTGATCCTATCTTCTCGTTCAGATTCGATTCGCCACAAATCATTTCTTCGACACAGGCATATACTTTCCGAAATTTAGCATCATCGCCTTCTATTTCAACCTCGTTCCGATCTCACAGCCCAAAATGCGCATTGCGCTCTATTGTCTAGCTGGCCTCACAACCTCTTTCGCGGTCATCACTTTCTTCTGTGATTGGTTCTGGTGCGGGCCTGATCCATCCATCAACTGGTCAGTCACGATTTGGAAAGCTCTAGGGTACCGCTGACGGGAGATGTAGGGCAAAAGGAGAACAGGAATGTACATCATTCACATCAATGACTCTTATGCGGCTTCTTTGGTCTATGAACTTTGTATCCGAGGTCCTGAGTAAGTAACGAATTGCGTGTCCTGCTGGGCTTCTTACTCTCCGATCTCTGACCGTCAGTTAGACGTTGCATACCCAATCCCCTTATTGGCAACTCTCAAGATGACTTCAACACGTAAAAAGATTGGATTAACTGTTGTCTTCAGCCTAGGTGTCATTACCATCGCCGTCAGCGTCGGTAGATTTATAACCATGGTCTATGTTGACAATGCCATATCCATATGTGAGTCTTCTCAACCTTAGTCAAGTCTAGCTCTAATATACCTTTAGACATCTGGGCAACTGCCGAGATCTGTATCTCGGTCATAGTCGTCGCTCTTACAGCGGTCCGGCCCCTCCTTCGAAAGCTCACCAACCTGAAATCAACAACGTTGCTAACGAGCGAAGACCGATCTGGGGTTCAAGTAATAGCATCGAATCGTTACTTGAAACCAGGACATACTGCTGGAAGTTACGGGACTTACTGGCAGGGTACAGGAGAGAGCCATCCTCGGCATGCAGAGGGCATGGGCCCGGAAAGTCTAGCGGGCAGTGAGATGGAGCTGAACAGCATGAATAGGATGACGCTCACGCAGAATATTACAGTCTCGTCAAGAGAATCTAGCGTTCACAGTACACCTGGCTAGGAGGAGTACTCCATAAAGGATTAAATACAAGCTCTCTTATAAATAGATAGAATTATAGAGGTAATAAACACTTAAACTTAGACAATAAACCATTTTATTCTTTCTTCTATAGCACCAGTATTAATAATACTATATATAGTTAACTATACTATATCTATTAAATGTAAAATTTTCAGGCACTGTTAACGGATATTATAACTATATGTACGAAATTGTATTTATATTAATTAGGTTTCTATATAAACTTTTATAATTAATAATATTAAGTAAACTAGCCTATTAAGCGCTAAGTAGTAATATCTAGCTGTAAGAAACTTAGAGAAAATATCTACATTTTACTATATAAGTCTAGATATACAGACAAATACTAAGTACTATTGCCCTTCTTAGCTTTATCCAATAGCTAAAAGTATTTAGCAGTCACCCAAAACCATACTCTGCAAGATGAAACCTCGTCCACTCCGCATGAGCGGGGGTCCCGCCACACATTGGAAGAGCCATGTGGTAGACTATAGGACACTTGACACGTCGGCCTTCTCTTTCCAATATCTCATTGCCAACCTCAGGCGGCATCCACTCTGTTCTTCGCCTTCCTTCGCCAAGAAAGTGCACCCTCCGACGGTTGACAGGCTCGCGTCTCTCCATTTCGTAGAGATTATCAAAGTACAACTTGGTTATGTTGGCAGCCTCCGCAGTGCAGTAGTTAAATACCGACTGGTAATTAAGCCCACTCAGCTTTATAGTCTCCATCGACAACTTGCGTACTTTTGTTCGCTTGATAAAGCCCAGCACGTCCTCGCCCCGAGCACAAATACCACGGAGCCGACATGTGTCAAGGAAGGGCAATCCTTCCAGTTCAGCAAGGCTCTGCATAATCTTTTCGCAGGTAATATCTCCCACTGTCGCGCCCCGCGTACGCAGTCTCACATGAAAGTAATGTAGCTCAAAGTCTTTAAGCAGTGGGCATAATTGGAGAAGCCTGGACATAGCGCCGCAGTCGGTTAGAGCTTCCATGCTCGAGGTTTCAAACACCTCGTTTATTCGTGGGAGGTCCTTGTTCTCTTCGGCCAGTTCTTCGGTCGGTCCCGCTCTGGCATCAGGAGTGCAAATTCCTATCGACAGCGATGTCAATGTTGCTAACGACTCGGCAAGACCGGGATCATTCCAGTTACCGCCGTTGAGCTCGTCGAATGGCAGTGTGCACTGCTGTGAGCCTGAGTCATCGGGTTTGCGTACTTCCCTGGATTGGGGGCTGGCATGGAAGTCCTCAATGTATGGTCTGTGTGGCCGTAGATCAGGGTCGTTGAAAATATTGAGTGTCTCTACTCGGAGATTGCTCGATGCCAGTGCCCTGATCACCGTACTAAACGTCTGTTTCGTGCACTCGCGTACACGGTGTGAACGCCTTTCCCTTGCGGTGACTCGTAAAAGAGGTATCCCATCGCAGAAGACGGCGATTCTAATTGTGATGGATTTCATCTTTGAATCCCTTTTACGATTTGCAAGACTGTTGAATGCTTGGACCAAGAGACCCATTCTGGCCTCGTTTGCATCATTGGCCTGCCAGGGTTGGATTTCGCACTCAGCCGAACTGCCAGTGAGGTATAAATTCTGTACAGTTGTGGATATACCTCCGTTTCTGCAGACTCGGGCAAACCCAAGCAGTGAGTCGTGCGTCAGATCAATATGCTTGTTCAGGAAGAATTTCCTAAGAGTATAGCCAGAGGACTTCAAAACCAGAGACCTACAGGTCAGCCGAAGATTTCGAATATCATCTAGGCTTAGTAATGCGACAATCATCTCAAGCAGATTTTCTGGACAGGTTTGCAAATTCGATAGCATGATGGTGAAGTTAGTGCGTGTGAAAAACAGTCATGTGCTGGAAATCAGTGCGCACGGATTCGTTCAACGTGTAGGCAAGGTTAATTACAGGAGTGGACAATCAAGGCAACTTTATATGGAGCTACCCCGCGCGTTCTGTTGGATTGTTACCCTGGCAGTACCAAACCTCTGATAAATTGATAACCTGACCTTAGTCAGAGGTGGTGTCAGATGGCATAAAACCCCTCTCAGAAAAGAGGGGGCCAGATACCACCTCGATTCCCGGGATCACTGCTGTTCCCAATACGTCCGAGGTTGATGAGAGTGACGAGGATCTCAACAAACCCTGGGGCCTCCCTGGCCAACGCCGGACGAGGCACCATACAGTTATATCGGATTTTTCTCGCTTCTCTCCATAGCCAGATCCCAACCACTTAAGTAACACGAGGTTTTTGCCAGCGTGCATCACATGCTTTCGGTTGTGGTACTGTGCTGTTCGAGAGGGTCTCGATACGAGGTTGGATGAAGCTCTAAGCACCGTCGTCGATGCTCCTGGCTGTCAATGAACTTACTCCTGTCCAGTTCCAGACGCAGCTGCCCTAATTTGAGATGCCTAAAGTTAACGACGATCACTAAAGACGTTGCGACGTCAATGTGCTAATAACAAGTTAGATCGATGGAAGAAGTCCAGTCGGCCGATGCAAGATGAACTGGCATGTCCTGGATTTGTTGTCGGTCAGCAAGGACTTGTATTCTTTGCATGAGCTTTCCCCCCTATGCTTTCACTCCCCTTCTGGCGTTCTAGTCTCTGTCTCAGCTCTCCGTTTGTTACCTGTCAACCCGGGGTCTGTATCGACCTTTCCCTCTCTATGCCATGTTCAATCGGGATTGAATATGGTAATGGACTTGGGGGAGCTGGACGACCATCTATGCGAGTCATGGCCGTCACGAATTGTCGTGGACACAGTTTGCATAACATATATGTTATGTTTTCCCTGATGTCGGTATTGAATTGATAGGGATACGGGAGGTCGTTGTCATGACTTCCTTGTGTGTTATTGGTGATTTGTAATTGTCGGCCTCCCAATTGTGTTCAAAGCCAAGTTCCTCAGCCAAGTCTCCAACGAGGCCGCCTGCCAAATCACATTGACTGTTCAGGTTAGGGGTAGCCTATGTCCCAGGTATCTGGCACATTATATTTAGTACTTGTACAATATTTGAAGAAATGTGACTTTGCTGCTATTCACCAGGCCATGGCGTAGAGATCGAGGCAGGTCTATATCTCATGTATATTCTATGGGTTAATATACTTGTCTCAAGGTATATCAACTCCCGATGCTCCTGTGAGCCCTGGACCTTTATTTCAATATGTTATACCTCAAGCATCGAAACATAGAATTTCTTGCTGGTTCTAATCACTCTTAATTCTCAAGAGCTAAGTTTCTCTTTGTTTGAACGTGCCACCGCGTTCTGCCCCTGCGCGATTCTATTCAACGTCTCTCATCTATACCTGGTTAGAAATATATTGCCCTTTTCGCCTTTGAGTGATCATGATGATGTCTCGGCGTGATGGACCAGGCCAAGACACTGGAAAATTCCAATCACATGAATCCCTTGGGAGGTAATATGTTTCAACTATAGCCTCAACAAAGATAGTTCGCAATCTAAACCTGGCAATAACCAACCTCTGTACTCATTACGCGCAAACGCCGCCGAGAGCGAGTTCAACGCCTTCCGCATTGTATAGACACAGATGTGCCAATAATCACGAAGTATCTGAGAAACATTCTGCTCATCATAGCGTAAGTGAGTTAAAGGAGTTCTTCTCTTCCCATTCCTGAAGCTTTCTCTCCACTTGTGCAACACTTCGATGCCAATGTCCGCCCGACTCCTCAATATGGCCCAGAGCGGCAAACAGTAACCTTGACGATGCGACAACACCGTTGATACTATCGCGACTACCCCCATGCATCAGCTCGCGGTGGAAGGCCTTCAGAGCCATGGTCAGCGGCCATGCAATAAATATGGCCTGCAACATGATGATGTCGCTGTCAGCCTTCCACGGTGAGGGGAGGTTCAGGCGCACTGCAGTTGATATCTGAAAAGCAGCTGCTGTGGCACGGCGTTGACTCTCAGCCGTCATCAACGGTGGCAGACCTTGCTCTTCGCTCCGGGCAATCGCCGACTCATGGGAAAAGATCTCCGTTGCGCGAAGATTCAGATACAGGCTGAAGGCGACAGGGTCCTCCCGGATAGACGTAGCGTTGAGGTGACGTTTCAGCATTCCGAAAAGGACGTCTGTCTTCTTCACAAGATCGCAGTAGCCATCCCAGAAGCTCTCCGAAGTCCGCTTTTGCCCGTGGTCAAAACAGCGCAGGGCCAGCTCTACCATCAGGACGCATCCTGCATAAGATGAGATCTCGGTGCTAGGCTCGAGCTCTATATCTGAGAGATAAGGCATACTGAGCGGGACTAGATCAGATCTCAGTAACCCTGGTGATGGGAGGTTAATGTGAAATTTCTAGATAGGTTGAGTTTAGTGTCAAAGCGCCCCAAGAGAGTTGATCAGGGTTATCTTACCTTTATGTCGCCCAGCATGCATTGCCATCCGGTACGTGTTTTGACATAACTGAGCAATATGTACAAAGCCCAGAAGGTCCTTCTTCGTTCCTCTAACAGAACCTGATCAGTCGTTTCAGGCAGGTTCAGGCCAGAGCCATCATGACTTTGAGAGTCCTGCAATCCATCGCTTTCATTTCTTTTATCCATGCAAGGCAGTCCCAGCAGCCTGGATAACATCACAGCACGTCCCAGTGTCATCCAGCTCCTCTCGAGCTTCCCGGCCATAGCCTCATATCTCCCGATAAATAGTAGGGCCTGCAGCAAATTGAGCTCGTTTAACTGGCCATCTCTTTCGCACTTTTCTGCATAGTTCCTTGCCAAGGTGTAGCAAGCCGACTCTTTGTTCTGAGAAGTGGATGAGTGAGCGCATCCAGCGAGTGCTACTGAGTAAATGAGGGCGCTTATAGCTAGACCGCCTCCCATTGATTCTGCCGCAAAGCGATCCTGGTTTAAGAAGGGAAAGGAGAAGTAAATGGATTCAAAGTAGTACTTGTGCAGTGCACTTAGTTCTGCGTGCGAGATTTCCTCTTCGGTGCCGCTATGGGCCAAAGATCGCGGCGATAAGCGAGTGAGGAGTATGTTATCGAGTGGTTCCAGGGCTGTTAGCTGATTGCACCAATCGAAGGCCATATTTGAATCGGCTCCTGGGTTAAACAGATCAATATCTAGCATGGGTGAGCTGTTAGTCGGCAGATCGATAGCCGTACCCATGTTTCTGTGAATGTCTAGCTCCATGGGGTTACGGCCAGTCGACGGACCTGCAGATCCGGGGACACTGGATACACGTGATGATGCTGTAGTGGCAAGATGGTACTGTGTGCTGGTACCTGGCGTGATAGAGCCCAGAGCATCTGGCCAACGTGATGGCAGGGCGGGTGCAGTAGTGGTCGATGGTGGCTGTAAATGTGAGGTCATAGAACCTGTCCTCGGCCGCGGGGTTTCAAGAGCGAGCTGAGCTTCGGTCTTGGCCAATCGGTCCTGGAGCTCCTGCAGCTGTTCATCACGAGTACGACGCTGAGAAATCGGGCTGTACCCGCAAGGTTGATTGAGCCGGTCGCATCGTCTTTGCGGGACATAGGCCAAAGCGTCAGCTCCACATTTTGATCTTGCGTACGGTTTCCTTTGTTCCAGTGGACAAGATACGGTGATGGACTGCACTGGACTGCACTTGTCTGGGATGGGATGGGATGGGAGAGAACAAACCTGCATTTTGGCAAAGCCCTGTCACACCGGACTTTTCGCTCTCTGCTTCGTCAAATCGAGTCGTCAGATCAGCTGTTGGAAACATCACACAGTGCATATCGGTGCGCAGACGGCTTGGCTTGTTGACCTACCTGCAAATCTCGCATGCGTGACGGGCCGTAAAGGGAGAGCCGCCAGACGAGGATGGCCTGATCATCGCATATGATCGATGTCGCTCAAGGTACGCGGACAAACTGGGGTCGACACGCACGTCCGGGGTCAACCTGGCATAGTCGTGAGTGAAAATGCTAAGATGAGATGAGACTTTTGATACTGGTGAGGGGAAACCCAACGCAACGTAAGCCAGATTGCGATATGCAACAAAGAAACAGGGCCAACAAACATGAAGATGAAAGGAGCAATTTGCGGACCTGAACTCTCTTATCGATACCTACTGCAGGGGCCGTGCGCGCCGTCCCTCTTGGCTTTTACGCTTATTCCTCCCGCTCACTCAAGCGTAACAAAACTCCGTTGATAAGCGACATACAGCTAAAAATAGATTCAGATCGAAGCTCAGCTTCTTATCTATGATCAAAATAATTGAACCAAAGAAAAACCTGAAGCTGGAGGAATGGTATCAGTTAACCACTCCCCTAGTCAAAATATGCCTCACTGTCTCAATACATATTTCAATCACCCGCCAGTAAAAAAGACTTATTGAAATGAAGCCTTGGTTCCAAAATTCGTTTATTGAGACAACACACCATGCCAAGTTTTACTCCAAAAGTGACAAACTTATTCTATGCTGCATCCCCCAAAGCCGCCCTATGAGGAGAACCAGATTGGCCTCGAGAAGTATCCAGGCCTCACGCAAATACTTGCTCTTAGTTGAACGAGAAATAACCATTGACCTGATACAGCTGACCATTGGCCTCCCACGTTCCGCTCAACTGCTTCGAGCCACCCTTGGGGCACTGGTTGATGATGTCCCTAGAAAAATTAGACAAGCCAGACGTAAATATCGGGCCACATACTCCGTAGCATCCTATCACAGCACCAATTAGCACAATCTATCAGGCAAGCTTGACATACGTACCCAGCAATCCTTGAATCCTTTCTTGCCACCTGTGTTCTTGCGCTTCATTTCAACATTCAAGATAGTGTCAACACCAAGGCCCTTGACAGTAAAAGATCCGGAGGTGGTGCAAGCCTCCTGGTAAGTACAACCGGAGTTGCTGCACATCCTCTCGCGAGCATCCCAGTAGGCTGTGATGAATCTTCCGACGTCCTTGTTACCGTTGCCGGAGCAGTCTGCTGCCAGGACTGATGTGGCGAAGACGGTGAGGGCGTAGAGGTTGATGAGCTGCATCTTAAGTAATCGGTGAATTTTCAGTTTCAAGTTGAGTCCTGAGAACCTTGAATCGTTGCGGGATGACGGATTGTTGAGATGGCTTTATAGTTGAGGACATATGGCAGGTCGGGCTGTCGGTGAAGAAACTTGACATGATTTCTACCAATACGAGCTTTCGCTTCTTGCTCGTGCATATCCGACGGTGCGTTTCTTCCGCATCATCCTCTTTGAGAAAGAGGTATTTTCTTTTGACTCCGTCGACTGCTCTAGAATAGCTTAAGCGATGCTGGCTGAGATCCCTCTTTGGCCACTGTTACCATTCTGTCGGCCGCCTCGTGGATAATCGCACCTTATTGGTTTCATTTCTTTGATCCCATTCGCTATCGGTATAGGCCCACTCTGACAAAGCCGTTATCCTTGCGAATGGACCCCAATCAAAGGCCGTGTAAGCTGTTAGTAATGTTGTGCATTGTTTTATCTTGCATATGGCCATTGCTGGGCCTCACTCACACATCAATGTTCGTCCGCAGTGATATTCAAACTGACCGGCCATATGGGCTTTGTTACCACTGCTGGAATCGGATATTAAATCATTTGCTTAAGCTTAAATTAGTAGGAAAACATCGTACCATTGCACCTTGCTGTCATTTCTCGACCTCTTTCTTGAGTCTTCATACAAGCAGGTAGCTCACGAATGGCCATTCTTCTTTGGTACGACTAGATAGTAACCTCGTTTTTCTAGGCGATACGTCCTAGATGACATATGGCTTGTCATCCTTGAAAATTATCCCAGGCTTTCTCTCAGCCAAATCCAGGACCATTTCGGCAAAGTAGCTGTTCGCCCAAGCAAACCACGGTCGTGTAAATACAGAGGAGTTATAGATATTAACACTCTCATGGATCAATCCAAGGCCAGCGGTATTCTCCAAAATCATATTGAGTCGCATGGTTATCTCCTCGTCATCGTCGGTTCCATAGATAGCTGAGACATGTGCCATAGGCCATGGGTTTGTCGCATTTGCATGCGGCCCACCAATTCCACTGAATGTCTTTCCAACGGCGTAGTAAGGGTTTGCTCGTGAGAACAAAGCAGATTTGGTCTTCTTGTATGTCGGATCGTCGCGCTTGAGGAAGCCTAGGTACGGCAGAGATACAAGACTAGGGACGTTGGCGTCATCCATGATGTACTGACCGCCATATCCATTGGTCTCGTAAGCGAAAATACCATTGGCAGTGAGAGTATGGTTCCAGACTGCTTGTCGAATCGTCTTCGCATGACCACGCATAGTGGCAGAAAGGCTCTTTTGACCTCCAACTTTATCCAATACATCTGCAACGTTATCGAGTTCGACTGACATCATGGCGTTGTCAGAGGTGATGTAGTTGAAAACAGACAGGTCGTCTGATGGACGATGACTACATGCGACGAGACCATTGGCTAGCTTGGGTTCACCATTTCCGCTGTTGGGTACTGGTGGTGAGAGTGATCCTGCTTGGCCAGTCCAGTTGTAGTAGCTGATGTAAGACCAATCTTCGGCCCAGGTGCTTTGAGATTGCTCATTGATGACTCGAAGGATTTGCTTCATAGCAGATTTGACTGTCAGTTGTTAGTATCGAGTCTGGGAATCGACGGTCTAGCAGCTCACAGTTGTCGTTAATGAACGAAGAATCTTTGGTATTAGCATAATATGATCGCACAATCTTGAGGAAGCCAGCCAGAGAGTCAAGTTCGTACTGAAAGGATTTAGCAAATGGTATGGCAGTATGTCAGGACAGTGACATACCTTGCACTCGAATACAGTTTGATTGTCGACTGGTCTATAAAACGCTGTCGTTAGCCTGAGTACGGGAAGTACATGTGGTTTTGGGTCGAACACACGGATTTACGGTAACAAGTGTAGCATAATCCTGTTCATCAGGTTAGCATTACTAGATCAGTTATAACATAACATCTCATCAGGGCTCATACATTGACAGAAGGGCTTAGCCCACTCTCAGGAGGTGGCTGGAAGGAGCCTTGGCGCTCTTCGTCAGCTCGTAGTCTCTCGGGGTCGAATAGAATGGCACATACCACAATAAGGGTACTCAGAGATGTATCTCGCCTCGGTATTGATGATAGCCTTGACGAGAGCCTTCAAGTTTTTGTCTTGGGGAAGTAGCTTGTACAGATGCGCAAACTGGTTACCTGTATCGCGAAGCCATTGTGCCCTTCAGTTCATCGTTAGTAGTCATCTTGTGAAGGGAACATCACTGCCTACGTGATATCCTTTGCATTTCATCAGTCGATGTTCTTAAATCTACAAATGAAGAACTTACACCAGTGACGATGAACGCCAAATTCTTCTTGGCGTCAAAGTACTTGACTGTCGTATCGAGAGTCGATGGGAAAGTGTTCTCAAAGAGACGCGCCAGATCTGGGTCCTTGACGCGCTTCTTGATATCGCTAATGACTTTCTACCGTAATGTCAGCCATGAAGCAATCTCATTTTAAGACGTTTATAGACACACCTCAACAGCCGGGCTCTTGAACGTTCTGCATTCCTCACTCGGTCTCATAAAAGGCAGCTTCAACTTGCCAGACGAAAGCGGCTGATGCGGTTTCTGTGAATAGTCGACATAATCAGGACACGAGCTCGGCGTGCGACTCTGCGGCTTGTAATCCTTCCACGTCGCTGCATCAGCGCCTTGAAGAAGAGCTAGCGCACCAGTCACAGCACTGAGGAATTTCATCGTGGCACTATCGTTGATCAGAACAGGACGGAAAAGGAGGAAATCTCATTTTATTCGCAGAACCAAGGAAGCTTTAAAGTTTATATTCATCTCCGACGGGCCCGGAAGTTTATGCAGATCTTGCTCGGTATTGGTTTAAAATGCGGGGGAAAGTTGCATTCGACCCTGATTCTATGTAACGTTGAGACGTTGTTGGGCCTTTTGTAAACTATGAATATCGTGACGTAGTCTGCTTGATTCCTGCTTGACCTTGTGTGAAGCTATCGTGATTGGCGCGCTTAATAGAGTTGAGGACTTCTGGATTATGAGTCTCACTGCCGAGTCCCGAAGCCGCATATTGACAACGGCGACTTGTTGAAGATGAATAGATTGAGGCGAGTCTGCTCATTGACGGCAAGTAAATGTCACGATCTTAAAATATCATGCTTTTATGTTAATTCGGACTTCTCGCCGACTAGTGTGGATGCTTCGGCACTCACTTATACCGAGTTCGGCGAAGCTGAGGGGTTCGGCGACAACTTTGGACCCGCGGGCATCATGCGACAACATCTTCCTCGGCACTTCCCACGATAGCTTCAAAAACTCCAATCCGTCAAACACCTTGCTAAAATTTCTTTCAGAGAACATCAACAAGATACCCCGCATTCGATTTCTTGCACTGCACATTCAGCATGGCCGACTTCACTCAATACGGACATGCAACGGCAGAATGGTTAGCCGTCACGGATAGCAGGCCGCCTATTCCAGGTCATCTGGACCTGAAAGAGATGCAGCGCCTCACAAATATATACCGAGAACAATTAGCCGAGAGCGAGATGGAGAAGCTCAAAAACTACCCTATTCTCATGAAAGATTACACCGTCACTTCAAGAGATGGCTTTCCTCTCGAGGTTCGAACCTACAGACCTGCTTCTGCGGATGAAAGTGCTCGTCTCCCTATCTACATCCATCTCCATGGTGGTGGTTATGTCTTCGGAAACATTCCCTCGGAAGATGCTATCTGCACTCGCATCGCAGTCATGGCCAACGTCACGGTTGTCAATCTTAACTATCGCCATGCTCCAGACTATGCTTATCCCACAGCATGGGAAGATACTGTTGATGCTTTTCACTGGGTTCATGACCACATCGACGAACTTCTGGGAGTACCTAGTCAAATCGTTGTCGGTGGGATTTCAGCTGGTGCCCAACTAGCAGCCTCCCTGACGCTTCGACAAAACATGGCTCCTGATGCTCTTTCAAGGCCGAAGCTCGCGGGTCAGGTTTTGATGATTCCTGCTCTGGTCCATACTGATTGCTATGCGCCTATCATGGAGCAGATGAAAGAGCCGTCTTTGTCGTCATTTGTGCAGAACGCGGATGCTCCATTGATCAACAAGGCAGCGATCGACAAGTTCACTAGCCTGTTGAAAGTCCAGAACCCGGATCCCAAGGATGTTCGCTTGAATATTGGCCTCGCAACTGTTGAGCAGCTCAAAAACATGCCACCTTCAACGCTGGGCATCTGTGGCTTGGATCCTTTTCGGGATGAAGCTCTCTTCTATGGACAGAAGCTTGTTAAAGCAGGGTAAGTTTCGCGTATCATTAGCATGAATCAATCTGACAAACTTGGCAGAGTTCCCACGGATGTACATGTTTTTGATGGTCTGCCTCACGGCTTCCGACGCTTTGGAGATCAATTGACTGAGAGCAAGAGATGGGACAAGGTTATGGAAGATGGAATCAAGTGGGCGCTCTCGAAGCCCGAGCCTTCTGGAAAGTTTGAGATCAAGCTTGAGTAGAACGGCCAGGGTCGAGTGAATTTGTAGGCTTCAAGCGTAAACAAGATCTCATGTTAAATAAATATAGAACTACATAATGCTTGTTTATCTGTATCAAGTATGCGTATTCGTCGGTCTATTCTAGCAGGGATTAACTAAGTCTGATATCCCGTCCTTCGTCTATCCTTATTCGCCTCACCCATAGTCTATTGAAAGGTCCGACCATGCTCCGTGACAGCGTTCTGATTATCCACCATGATGTAATCGAAACCAACAATCATTCTCATAGAAGAATGATCAATGAAATTGTTCTCGTCAGTTGTAATAACATCTCTGTAGAATGGGTCGGATCCCATGGCCTGGAAAGTCTCCATTGTCGGGACCCAAAACTCCGCAGCGCCGTCGAACTCAAGCACTGGGGCTCCACCAGGGACGCGAAGAAGGTCTCGAAGCTCAGGAGTAGAGTGGTACTGCGGAAAGGGTTAGCTTATTTAAATAGTTGAACTGTTGGGCTGCCCACCTGCGAGTACTTGTAAACCCCAAATCGTAAGTGGAAGTCTCCAGCAGTCTTGGTATGGTTGTTGGCCCAGTAAGCACTGAACTGCTCAGGCGTGATGCCTTGCTTTCGGTTATAGAAGAGTTTGATGTGATATACCCGTTCGAGATTCTTGGTACATGTTGGTTTGTAGGTGAAGGGGCAGCATTCGGCGGATGTAGCTGGCTCAAGAGCAGAAACTGACCGAGGCTGGGGAATGCTCGTCGCAGCGGCGGTCAGAGGGAGGAGAGACAACAAGAAATTGGAGGCTTTCATCTTGACCAATGAGAGTGCCAAACAAAATAATTATATTGGGGACGCAAAATAGTGAGAATATTAAGCTTAGCATGTCTTCCTGTCAAGGCATTATATATCTCTCCTCCCAGTCTTGGCAATCCCAATGACGCGGCCTCAACATCGTCAATTTTGCCTATGTCCCTGACCTACCTTCTTCTTTCGGAAGAGCTTTTCCCAATACCACAAATCCATCAATTCTGCAGGATCATCAGCACTAAAGATCATCATCTCGCGAGTTGTCGCGCAGCGAAAAGCGAGACAGCGAGAGCGAATAGGAAGACGCGGCGTAAGCAGAGATGCCACATCAGGCATGATCCGCAACGGACTCGTGCATAATATGACCTGTGAGATAATATTGTTAAGATTCGGGAGCCGAGTTTCTTCGGGCAGAGTTATTCGTATTTGAGATAATATGGAGTGCTCGTTAAGATAAGTTAGCCTTGGTGAACGAGAGGAGACGGAAAAGACGGAATCGAGATTGTGGCAAGGTTTGTTTGTCGCACAAGATTTGGAATATGCTCTTACCAAGAAATAAGGTGTGGCAGCCATGGGCTCGTGTTTGAGGCTGTTGAGAGTGACCATCCAGTACGATGACGTTAGGCAGTAGAAGCCAAATGCATCTTATGGGGCAAGACATTATCACCAAGTGACTCGAATAAATAGGTTTCTTATTTCGTCTGATGCCACTCATTCATTTACTCTTTAATACCGTCTGCCTTTAGAAACTGAATCTCGAAAGGGCATCCAAGCACTCATATCCCCGTCACGTACCGCTGCTGTATCACCACCGACGTAATAGCTTCGTGGATACATCAAACTCATCGAGTTCCACTGAAATGACAGTTAGACTGCAGTACACCCTGGACCTCGTCGTCTCGGTTCCTTACTTTCAAAATTATCCCCAGCATGACCCGAGTTTGCAACAATATGCGGTGCAATATCTGCCATTGTTTCATCTGTTCCTTCAAGATCTTGTTCCAAACCAACATGATCGCGGATCTTGAGAAAAATAACAGGTGACGCAATGATTAATGACGCAGCCAAAAGTACCCAGTTGCTGATGAATTGTGCTTCAAATGACACTTTTCTAGCGTCCAGGTTGTTGGAGATGGCTGCGCCGGCTGATTGAATGCCTTTGTAGAAGCCAATGTAGTTTGCGCAGCGACGACCTGAGTTTGAGAGAGCGCCCATGAACCTTGACCTATTAGTCACTATCAGAAGAACAACAATAGTGGACTTACCAATAGACAGTCGCTTGCCAAGCTGCATCATAAAAGCCATAGAAGATATAAAGGAACATGGGCCCAACATACCCGTCATCCCTCCAATCCGTGTCAAAGTCCTGCGCCTGCGCCGTCTCTCGTGTGTAAGTTCTCTGATGAACATAGCCTCCTCCCCAAACAACAAAGGTCATGACAAATAGAACAATCAAGGCAATCTTTGCTCGCACAGACCGACGAAGATATTCCAAGTCCAAAAGGAATCCCCATATCGCTGCAGCCGCAATCTGCGCAAGCCAGTACAACAGGCTATTGAGCGCTTTGGTCCTTGTTGAGAAGTATGCACCGTTAACCACATTTTGCTGATATACATAAAACCAGTTGGATGAGAAGAACATGGGAAATAAGAAGATAACGAATGGTTCATAGCGGATAGTTTCATACAAGCCGTAGAACTCGCTTTGCCAAGTTGGGTTTTTCATCAGAATAACATATGATCCGTCCCTTCGAATAATATCATTCGCGTTGCAGAGAATTAGGGCCAATGCGGCCCCGAAGAACATCAAGACGATGAAGCCGATGTATGTGCCGTCGCTAACATCCTCATTGTTCTCAGTGTTGATGTTGCCACCCAAGGGAATCTGCAAAGCATGTTAGCATCGAGCGGAAATGGCGTGCCGCCCCTTGAGAGAGAGGAAATATGAGAGAAAGAGGCGAAGAGAGAACTTACAAGGCTTCCGATGACGGCTCCCATGTTGAAGATGCTCCAGAACCAAGCGAAGTAATGACCCTTCTGATGTTCATGGGGATACGAGATCATGATAGTTCCTTGCGCGGTCCAAAGCATGGCTGCGCATACACCAAGAAGCACACCTGCCACGATGTTGAAAGCTCGGACATCGTTTCCGTAGTGTGTATGGAGCAGAATGCTAATGGTGTAGATGCCATAACCAATGCCACCAAAGGCTAGTGTCAACTTGACGCCAAGCCTGTTGACGAAGGTGCCTCCAAAGAAGCCGACAAAAGCAAAGGTGCTGTATAAGGCAGTGTTCTAGGACACTTGCTTAGTAAATAATTTTGCCAGTCAGCGATGTCAACTCACCATATCATTCACAAGCTTGGTGTCCTTCAACCCTCCTCCGCCCATTCCATTGAGCGCATTAAACATACCAGGACACAGAAAACATACAAAAGCAACCATACCCAATTGAATCTTCGGCGACGCATACCAAGGCAGCGTGAACCCGAAGATACGATACTGACGGTACTTGTAGCCCTGTGGAACATCAACAACACCAGTCGAGTAGTTGTATAACGCGTCACGCTCTCGATACGCAACAGCCTCCGGGTTGTTGACCGGGGCAGATTGCCCTGCAGCGGGAGTGTTGAGAGACATGGTAGTCGCGGTAGATTAACTGAGACATATGGGGGCTTGAGATAAGGGCAAAGCTGGGAATTTATGAACTCGTAAGCTTCATGGCGGATAGCTGACGTGGCGGAGCACGACGGGAGCTGGTGGTACATCTTATCGGCACCTCGTGTTACTTGATACCAAAAGTCCTTATGACGGAGTGATGAGGCTTGCAGAATGGCTTGCCAGCTAAGGTAGGCTCTGCGGCTGAGCGAATATTCATAGTCCGTAAGGCCAATTATAAAAAGAGAATACGTTGATTTGTGGTGTGCAGATGCTAGATACGATTATATTTTTAGAACGATTAGAACCCTCCTCAAGTCTACGCTTAAGTTGAGGCCAAAGATGCATTGCCATAGCCCCCAAGGAAGTCACGGAAGATACGCAAACTGCGAGACAAGGGCTTCGGATGATGAGCTGATGCGGCTGAACGATTGGATCATGGAAATGGCTGACTGCATATTAATAGCCAACCGTAGCGAGCTCTGATGAAAGAGGCTTCTTGCAGCGAATAAAATGTTTCAGTGGTGTTACACCACTTTCTCACGCGAGCCATTTCAGCGAGCTCGCATGGCCCCCAACTTTGGTTCTCAAGGGAGACTTGGTGAAATACCGGTAGGGCTGGCTACGTTGGCTTGCGGGGTCTATGGCAGTGCCGTGAGTCTCACTGTCAATTCGCAAAAGTCCAAATCGGACATCACGTTATTACATTTAGTCTATCTGAGTGTGGAAGAGCCTTCATCGGCGATGTAAATATAGTTGTTCACCTCGTTCCTCGGACATGAAATCACGTGATGTGACTAGCTGGCCTCTCCGCAGACTGAATGCGCATGAGAAATATCTTACCACCAACATTCATTGTCGAAGGTGATAATTTGTTTGGCACGAAGCGCCTGCCCTTCAGCCAATGGCTCACCTAGATCTTTCAGCGGACCCGAAAATGCTACCAACTGGTCTGGGTGTGTCTATTCGAGATAGATGGATTCTTTCCAGAGTCACGCCCAATCTTACCTTGAAGGACAAGGCAAGGTGCGTGGTGCGAGCATCAGCCACCAGGCCTCTTAGCTCAAAATAACAATTTGAAAAAGGGACTTGATACAGGCTCAAAACTTTCCATACGGATGCCAGTTATATTTCAGAAGCACCCGCCATCTCGATCAAGGTCTAGTTCTCTGCAACTATCTCAACAAGACAATGAGCGCCGAGTCAGCCGCCAGAGCAATCACTGCCGACATCTCGGACAGATGTCCAGAAGAAGATGTGAGGCTGGTTGTGAGGCGGCGGAATGAGCTTTGGGAACTTCTGGCATCTACTCTCCTGCGCTTCGAAGACGATTGCGACATGATAGTCGATCTACTCGCCGCGATTCGATCGCTGCCATCAATGGATAGTACGCCCTGGTGGGTGGCGTATCCACAGCCTAGCGACTCCCTGTGTGAACTGCCTGGATTTCACATCGTCTGGCAATCCTGCTATCAAGCGCTTCGATGTGAATGCGGCGGGTGTGATGATCAACATTTCTTGACGGACAAGAAATACTACCGCAGAGCAGGGACGGCAGAAGCAAAGATGTATGTCCGCGGTATTCCAGGAATAACGGAGTTTTGGGCGTACAAAACGATCAACCTTATTTGCGTATTGGACAAACACCGCGAATTGGACGAACACCTCGAGTTCTTCATCCATGAGATTCACGGTTGGTTGCAGACTGCAGGACCGAAACTAGCGGAAACATTAGATTCGAATCAGGTCAAGTCTTTCGTGAGAGCAGTGCGAGGTCGGCGTGACAAGAGTTACGAGATTTCGGTCACCATGTTTCAGCATTGGCAGCATTGGAAGAAGTCGTTTTTGGAGGTCAGTTTTGATGAGGACTTTCTATCATCTGAGGGAAGGGAGTTGGCAAGAGAGTGTCACGATATCATGAAGGGGCAGAACATCAAATTGCCATCATTCTTCTAGCCATCTAGCATAGGTAGGTACCATGGGACAAGATGTAATAAAAAGTCTACGTGGGCACAATAAAGCACGCGAGCCCAAGGGATCAAATGACAAGGTCCCGCATCAATATTCATCAATACGCTAGAGATTGAGACTATTTGATAGCAATAATGGGAAATAATGTCTTCATGGCATCTCATAGCCATTGAACCAAATGGGTAAGAAAGTCAATAAAGCCTGACGTATATTGTTAACAATTATGTACAGTACACTAAGCTAGTTTCGCTCGTCCATTAGAGGTTGGGCACCTCGGCAACGCAAGAGTTCTCAAGACAAGTACATCCAAGGACCTCGCAGCTGTATCCATCAATGTCAGTCTTGTCGCCACAGTCCTCAGTAACATCGCAGTAGTAAGCACCCTCGGGCACAGAACCAGCGGGAGCGCGACGGCGGTCAACAATTGCCGTCTCAGTGACGATTATCTCGGCTTCAGTAGTTGTAGCAGGCTCTTCAACTGCGTCGATGGTCGTGTTCTCCTCCGCGGCAGCAGTGGTTGTTTCCTCATCGACAGCTGCGGTGGTGGTAGGCTCAGCAGTGGTGGTGGTGCCGGTGAGTTGCTCGCAATTGCGGTTGATGCAGCCGCAGCGGACGGCATCGCAGAGCTGAACGAAGGCATTGCAGTCTTCGTTGGTGACGCAGGGGAAGAGATCAGCTGGAACGAACGCAGAGGTTGTTGCCAGCTCAGAAGTGGTTGTGTCGGCAGCGGTGAGGGTGATGAAGGTGGTCAGGTCGGTGGTGGTATCGATACCAGAGGTGGTGAGGATGGTAGTAGTGGCCAAGGATGTCTCAGCGGTGGTGGTGTCAGAGACCACGACAACGGTAGTGGTATCAGATCCAGTCTCGGCAGTAGTAGTCTCAGACCCAGACTCAACGCTCGTGGTCGTCTCAGCGCCAGCCTCGGCAGTGGTGGTTGTCTCGGAACCAACACTCGTGGTAGTGGTACCAACAACAGTTTGCGTGGCTGAAGTCTCAGATCCAGTCTTAGCTGTAGTGCTACCAGACGAAACAGCCGCGCTGGTTTGCGAGCTAGGACGGCAAAGACCGGCGTTGACACCGGAGATAGAAAGAGCGGCAACAAGGCCGGCAGCGAAGTTGGGGAACATCATTATAACGAACGTGGTGATATCGAAGATATCTTGTTAAAAAGAGTGTCTGGTCTAAGGATGACTGAAGAAGAAACAGAAAAAATCACAAAGAACAGCGCGTTGGGGTTTTGTACATATAAACATTGCGCATCGCAATAATAAAGGATCGGCAACTATGATGGATATTTCCAAGCGCATAGAACTAGGATCAGACTATTGATTTTTGGCTCGTTTCTTTTGCGGGCCAGCCCCAACGCCGCCCTCCGTTAGGCGCCATTTCCCCTGAGTTTACCTTGGATGAGAGATTAAGTGGCGTTCACAAGCTCAGCTAAGGTTGAAAGATGCCCAATAGCCTCATGGGAGGAGTTATCGGATCAGAGACTTCCGTTGTCCTGTGACTCCCGTCGTGTCTTGACGTCAAGCATGCCCTGACTAAAGTTGCTTAGTGGAGCAGGGGAGCTACGGTCCGTTATGTTCCGGCGATGGGATAAGATTATCGCGCTAAGCGACGCGCTGAGGCTGGGGTTTTCTTTTTTCTTATCGCGAAAATAAAAATGGCTTACTTTAGTTGGCTAGTCCGGGCCCATAAGGCGTTTTCTGACCTGGAATATCCTGCCAACGCAGGGGACAACCAACAAACAAAACACACCTGTAATAACACGGCCTGGAACTCTAACAAACACCAGTGATTTGAGGTTAAATTAAAATTATAGAAACTTGGACAGTAAGAGAGAAAGATCACCCAAGGCTCGACTTGAAGTAAGTGGATTGAGCCATCATCTTGGATCTTATTTGTGATGCGCCGCAATGAAATCACTAACCTGTACTGAGCTTTCGTCCTTGATTACTAAGGTAATTAAGACTGGCAATTGATCGTCGCAAATCAGTCTCATTCATATTTTAAGTGCTATGACAGTTTAGAAGTATCCGTTTGTGAAGCATTGATGGACGTAAAGACAAATTCGATGCTGTAGGGTATGACAAGGTCGTTTGCAATCAGTCCCAATTTTCTCACGACGGTAGTGCAGGGGCACTGATTGAAGCTTAGCGCACATCCCCACTAAAGGTCAAAACCATGATCCAAGATGTTGTTAGCTAGATGTGTTATTTATGGTTGAGACTTGTAGCTGAGAAATGAAATCGGAACAGAGAACTTAGTCGAGATGTCATGTTTCTATCTGCCGAAATATTGTGGACTAAATAACAAAAAGAAAAGGTCATGACATGATCTATCAAATATGTCATAGATCTCATGGGATTCTGAACCCAGCCATTAAAGTTTCCAAGACGAATAACATCGTTACGCACCTATTGAACGCCACGGATAATCAAGAGAAGAGGCCCCCCAACTCCACAACTTCGTCATTGTTTGATTCCCTCTTTACCCTTCTCATGATGCGCTTCTCTTCTTTCAACTTTTGGTCCTCTGGCGTCTCTGGCGTCTTTGTATCGATGTGGATATACCGTTGAGCAGAGAGGGTCTCGCCAGTATGCAGCACCATCCCATCCACACAGCCAATGAAATGATCCAGTTCCTCTTGGCTCTCAAAAGTGATGAATCCAACCTCACTGGAAATCAGCCCAGTACCCACCGGGTGAAAGTCGATAAATTGCCGCGCAATCTTGATGCCCGTGCAAATCCTGTTCGGGAGCTCTGCCTCACTTCTGACGGTCGCAATGAAGCATTTGGCTGAATCACAAAAAGGCCTGGGCTTGCCCCAACTTGCTATTCTGAAGCACGCATGATCGAAGAGGAGCGCGCTGTAGTTCTTCTCTTCGAGGAGAGCTTGTGCCAGAGCAAGTGTTGTCACGACATCATCACCAGCATTGTCAGCATTGCCAGCGTTGCCACCAGTGCGGTGTCGACTTGCGGGTCTAACATCTGTCCGCCAGTAGCCAAAGGTCTGTATTAGAAATTGCAAACTTGGGAAAAACGAAGGTGCTGAGGAGGTGATGTCCACCACGATGTCGCCAAGATCTACCCAGGACGAGAAAAAGCGTATGGCAGCTGGGAAGTTTGCCGAAAGGTAAAGCCATTCCGCTCCCATTCCGAACCCAACTAGTACCAGCTTCTTGTCGCGAGGTAGGTTTGACAGGAACTCCACGACAGAAGCCTCCAAGTCCTCAACGTCGACCGTCTTCTCCTCGCCAAAGCGATGGGGGCGACGAATAGGCATGCCTTTGAAACCACCGACGCGAAGGACTTCATCCCCAAGCTTCTTACTCGTGTCGACGTTCAAAGTGAGCCCTTTCATATCGTTATCTTCGAAGAAATGCCAAAGGCGTCGTTTTGGCCTTATGATTCCAGGTTTCAGCACCTCGCAAGGAGGATGCCTCGAGTTTAGTGTCTTGGTGAACGCCAGTCCAACCTGGTGGAGAACACGGTCACTCTCGCTCGTGATTGCAACATGTTCCGTGTCAAGTGCGATGAAATACGAGTCCTCGAGAACTTCGCGGAATTCCTTGAGTGTTCTGATTCTGTTCTTAAAGAGATCTCGCGTCGCTGGAAGGCGCTCGAATTGCTGATAACGCGCCATGTTGGCTAGATATGTAAGAAGAAGGAAAATGGGTTCAGAAATCCGGGACGGCGACTGTTATATAATTTTATTTATTAAACTTTATGTTTATGAAGTATATGAGAACAGCCAATATCTTGATTACATATGTATAAAAGTGAGCAGAGAATCACGATGGTTCTGGGGAGATGAGCATTAGTGGGCTCGTAGTAATACGTCTAAAATTTTAGGGACTTCTGCTGAAGAAGTATTCGAACTCTTGGACGGCAAAAATCGAAGAGCAGCCTAGCGGGTGGAGATTCTTAGGTGCGGAATGAGAGAAGGTTTATAGGTTCTAGGACGTATACCACTAGACCACTCTTCGACATAGGGAACAGAGTGGTTTTGGTTTTTAAAGGGTCCCTTTCGTGAGCTCAATCGACATCGACAAGAAAATGCTGAGAAAAGCGAAAGTCAACATGAATTGAGAAAGGATGTCGAAGTTGTCGCTATTCAGCCTCAACTAAGCTTGAACCAATAGCAAAGCGTAGAATGTAAGCCAAGACTAGCGAGACCCTCCTCAAATCCACAAATCTCACGCCCTTGCGCCTTGGGAACGACATAGTGGGAACCATCCGCTATAAACTCAGCCTTATATAAGACGCCATTCACCAAATACACTTTCATCTCACTCAAACTCAAATCACCAAGTTCTCTCTCTGTTCTGATTTAAGCTCTCAGCCAAAACTCTCAACTGGAAATAACACATCTCAGCCATTCACATCCCCAACTCCAAAACCATGTCTCAAACAACCTCCGTCCCCGAAATCCTCTCCTCATTCACAGAAAAATGGTCTCCACGTCTCATCGCATCAGTCAACGACCATCACGTCAAAGTCGCCAAGATCGACGGTTCATTTATCTGGCACTCGCATCCCGACTCTGAAGAGCTCTTCTATCTGCTCTCGGGAAAACTGACCATGGAGATTCAAGGCGAAGAGCCTGTTGTTATGAAGGAGGGGGATATGTATGTTGTGCCAAAGGGAGTCACGCATAAGCCTGTGGCGGAGAATGCTGTTATTATGATGGTGGAGAGGGAGGGGACAGTCAATACGGGGGATCAAACGGATTCTGAGAGGACGAAGCAGGTCAAGGATGTGAGGGGGGATGTATAAGGACTTTCAGCGGGCCAAGAACTTATACAAGACAAGAGTTGATCGAAATTCAATTAAGTATTATGACAAATTAAAACCATGACAGCCCCAACTTTGATCGCTCAGGTAACGCATGTGTACTATATCCCGGGCACAGTAAAGTTCCCTTCGTAACATTGTATATACCTCCAAGCCCATCAGCTATCTTGTTGAAATTGCTGACATGGTTCGCACATAACCTAAAAAAGTACCGATGCATTTCGCTGGAAGTTAGCTGCCTGACCACATTCTGTGTGCATCGCCAGCAGTTCTGACAGCGCACAGCTTCTTTGATAGAGGCGAAATGACCAGAGCTAGTAGATTCATCTAGCGAAGCCGGCTGAATCTCCAGCAGAGCTGCTGCAACGTCCCAATTATTGTTCCACACGGCTTCCCTGAACGAGTCCTCATGGGCATTGGAAATATGCTGAGTATCAGTCTTTAGGAATTCCCCAAATAGAGTCTGGACGATGTAGGATGCCATATAAGCCGGCCATAGTGTGGGGATAACGAGTCTTCGAAATATTGCCGTTATAGTTTCGCCGTGTAAATTCATCAGCTCCCCAGAGCGACGATGCTTACGAAGAACAATTTCATCTGGGGCCGGTACAGCAGGGAGATCTCCATCCAAAAGAGCGAGAAAAAAGACCGTATAATCTATCGAATTGTGCTCAGGCATCGAGCCCGGTGGATCCGGTGGAGTCTCATATCCCACAAGCCTGGCGATTGAAGTTGAGACGATGCCTTTGTACAACGTATTAGTTGACAAGAGCCCTTGGATGAGCACATCGATCAAAAGCATCCCATTGCTATTCTTGGCTGTAACAAAATCATAGGCAGATAGCGCGCATGTCTCAATCAGATCTGTGATGCCAGGAATATCTCTATGTCCCTCTTTCCTAAGTGCTTCTGTCACAATAGCGAAAGCCTGCAAATGCGGTTGAGTCGTTCGGCTGTAGCCAAGTTCTAATACCTGGCAAATATCCAAATTCAACTCATGAGGAGGTCGCTTGGCGCAGTAACATAGGGGATATGACTTGTAATCCGGTATTGGTGGAAAGGATGGAATCCCGTCGGCGATCGCTTTCCTGAGCTCTGCGACGAATTGGTCATGATCAAGGTGTGTCGGGACCAGACCTATGCAATGATTTTGACATGTATCGTAGTTTTTGCTGGCTGCTAGAATGCAATTAAACCTTTCCAACTCAAATACCATCCAAGGGGTTTCTATCAACAACTGGAAGGACCGACATGCAAGTACAGAGTAGCCGTTCAGCTCAGCGTATATGAGAACAAGGAAGGCGTCAAGAAATTCCAGCCAGCCGTCTGGATCGTTTGATTCATGCAATATGTCAATGCATATAGTCTGTATCGCATGGGAGAAGCGCTCTGATATTGGATTGTCATGATTTGGAAGTCCCGCCATGACTTCGTTTCTCCACTCCGTACTATGCCAAGGCTCGCCTTGTGAGTGCTGAGCGGGCTTCTGGACCAATTGACCGAAAAGCCTCCAAATCTCTGTCTCCTTTTTATTGATATATTTGGTATGCTTGAACCAGTTGGTCGAAGCATATTCGAGAAAAGGGTGGTCTGCTGTCCCTTGGGCTTTACTGGTTATTGGCACGGTGGATTTCAGGGAAAAGTCGCGCTGTGTTGATGTCTTATTTGAGTTTGACGTCTTGACAAATTGGCGGGCAAGGCGACCAACGCGTGTTCCGACGCCACCGTGTATGGCGGACTGTATCGTCTGTTCAGCTATTCCACTTGGGTCGATCTTTATGGCGGGTGGAGTCAGAGGCTCCCTTTTCCTCTCCGCTAACGTCGTTTGAAAGTTGTCAAGATTGACGTAGGTAATGCAAACCTCGCCAGCAAGATTATCGCACTGGTTAGGGTCAATGTGGAAAGCCTCATGTTCACCAGAAACTGACGCCAAAAGGTACTCTTGAATGGAATGATGGCTGAACCGAACTGTGTTGTCTGTTTCCTCCACGTAAAGTAAGTTCTCGTACCAAGCAGGTAATCGCTCTATTCCACTGATGATATCTTCCTGGCGCAGAGTGTGTTGACCATTCTTGATAGACAGTGCTTCGCGGAGTTGCAGTAAGGTCAATGGTTGTGTTGTTGCTTTTGTCCACATGAAGGCCTTTTTTGCGATGTCCTGATTGCGCTTTTGAACAATGCGGCTAAGCGCACGGTCAAAAGTCGCGGGAAGGTCGCCCGGGATGTTTTGAAGTGCTTGTCGAATCTCGTTGTCAGTCTTCCCAGAGCATATATCCTCAATGGTGAAAAAGGCCCATAAGAACCTGACCGTGAAGCAACATTGTTAGCTCTGTAAGATTTTGGCTGGCAGTAAGTTGCTCACATTCCCTGCTCCTTAGACGCAATTGTTCTCAGAATCTCATTCAATAAGCTGGGGTCACTGATAACTAATTCCCCAGTTGATAATTTGTCAATAATGATGTCGTCAACATATGAACCAATGTCTGTACTTGTACTCTGTAGGCCTGTAACCAGTCGTTTAGAGTCAGGGAAGATGCTTCTGATTGCGTTGGTGCATGTCTCTCGAGAGGCAAAGATAACGCTTATGTAGCGTGTTGTATCGTTCCCAGAAATAATGCCTTGGAAGAACTTCAATAGCTTGGACTGTTGATCGGCGCTACACTCATCCAACCCATCGATGACTATAAACCATTGTTTGATGGCCTTGGCCGCAGAATGGTAGAGATGTGAAAGTAGGTCGAGGGAGAACAGAGCCAACTTTGCTTGAGACAGGTATTCGTCAAGTTCAGAAGCCGTCTTCTGGTCAAGGCTGTCCATATCGATGACTGATACTAACTGTTGAATGCACGAACGTACGATTGTCTCGGCGTCCAGGCTAAGCGGATCGTCAAACCGGGCAAAGAAGAACGACACGAATTGGTCTGGTGGCCGAATCTGCGACAGCTTCTCAACGATCGAGGACCTAAAGTCAATGACGGTCAGTTTAGTGGGCTTGAGTACCTGGAGGGTAAACCCACGACAAGACTGTTTTACCAGACCCAACTTGAGATCATAGTCAGCTCCAGTCATTTGTCCCTTTGCGTAGCAGACTACTCACTCTTCCCAGTCACATGAAGAACGGGAGGTCCCTTGATTTTGGCCCATTGTTGGAATTCCGGAGTATCGAAGACCCACTTGGCCGTGCCTATGTGGCGCTTGTTTCGTGTGCTGTTGAAGGCCGAAGTGAAGTTGAATGAGGATAAATCCTCGAGTAGGCGACGCCGTTTCTGTTCTACGGCTTCCAATTAGTCTGGCCGTCGGAAAAGATCATTCATGTCTAACCTAATGCATCTCGTCTTCTCTGGCCTTGAAATATTTCCATTTCGGCAGCCCAAGCTCTGAAGCGTTTGCGATGGTCGGTAGCCTCTTTTCGCTCTGTCGTCTGAAGTTGCTGTTCCTCACGATCACACTGAGCTTTGACCAATTGGATATCGCCCTGGACCTCCTCTGCTTTCGCTCTGATGTCTTCGACGTAGCTTCGAAGTTCAGACTGAAAGGACTGTGTAATTGCCTGGAGGATCTGATTCTTTACTATGCGCTAAATTAGTATATCTTTTGGTCACCTACGTCGCCATACTCACAAGGCCGCCGGACAGCCAAGATGATTTGCTGGCAACAGGTAACGACTGCCGTGTGAAACTGGCAGACTGAACCTTTGAGACGCGAGGATTCATTGAAAATGACTTGATACTCGGCGAAGCGGGTGCAGAGTGAACCGAAGCCGTGAAGAAGCTCAACAAATGATTGGAAGTAGGACGCGAAGTTGGCCAGAAACTGATACTATTAGCCAAACTTCCATGTTTGCATCATTTCTCGTACCATAAAGGTAAGTTTGATAGAACCCCATATTAGCGCTGCGATATCAGGATTCGATTGGATACAAGTGTCGACTATTGGCGTGAACTGTTCAATCGTCTGCAAGAATGAAGCCAGCCTCGAGGCGACACTCTTGCCTCGCCTCTTCTTGTCAAGAAGGTCCAACTCGGCCGTGAAAGTGATGATACTTTGCGAGTCATGCGACGTCATTTTGAGCTGTTGCAGCTTTTTGCGGTCGTCATCGCTCAGGATGGCTTGGAACCTCGCGATGGTTGCCTCGAGCTTCTTGACCGGTGCGGCTGAAACATCGTGCCCGGGGCGAGGTCGAGAAGCGGCGACAATTTGCGAGTCCGAGGGCCGCGAAAGTTCCATGTTTTCAATTTTGCGTGCAAAGCATCTCTTGTTTTGCTGATGCAGGAAGAGGAATGGGCAAGTAGGAGGTCTGATTTCACAGCCTGGTCAGAGAGAGGCCTCACGTGCATGCTACGGCAGCCGCTATCAACGCGCTTGCATCCGGGGTATGATTGGGCACTTCAGCGGGAAGGCGTTTTTCCAACATAGCCACCGCCAGTTTTGCGCCTTAGCTGAAGCCACTGAACTGCGGTTACTTGAAGGGTCATATTTTTCCTTGATTAAAAAGAAAAGTCTCCATCCTACATCACTGGATCTCCGTCCAGCGTACCTAGCTTTGTCATACGTGTGGGGCGACGCCAAAAACACCCAGTTCATGGCAGTAGATGGCCATGAGGTTGCTGTGACTGTCAATCTTGCGGACGCGCTGCGTTGTGCCAGATTACCAGATAAGCCAGTCGTTACCTGGGCAGATACTCTGTGCATCGACCAGGCAAACGATGAGGAGAGATCAGTTCAGATTCAGCTCACGGGCGCCATATATCAGAATGCATACAAGGTTCTTGCGTGGTTAGGCGCAAGCGATCACGATAGCGACCACGCGATAGACATTCTCAATAAAATGGCGGCCGCGATCAAACAAGGACAGGATCCGCAGGATGGAGATGAAAGCTCCATTGCTGATGATGAGACCAGCTGCGATGAAGAGGAGCTGGGATGTACTATGATGGGAAATTTGCGGGCCAAGATCATTAATACCGAAGAAGAAATGGCTTCAAGCGTGGACGGCATTGTCAAGGACCTGAACAGCCCTCATTGGCTACAGCATTTACCGGAACTATCGACAGAAGACATGCAAGAGCTCTCTTTCTTTCAAAATCGTGCGTGGGACGCCATTACGCAGATCTTTGACAGGCCCTACTGGAGCCGTGTCTGGATATACCAAGAGCTGGTACTCGCCTCAAATCTCCACTTGCATTGCGGAGAAAGTTCTATTAGCTGGCAAGACCTTTGCTTAGCTGCTTTCATGACCGACCTCATGCTCAAGAGGGTTGACCACCCACCGCATTGCTTTTCTCCTTCTCCGTGGTCAAAGCTCACTTCTCGACCCATGCATCAAGTTGCGTTCGTACACCATGACAGGCAGCAGATGGCAAAGGGTGCTACACCTTCGTTGTACAACCGCATAGAACTTTGTTGAGGCTATGCTTATATTGCCTTCGAAAAGCTAAAGTTAAATGGGATTTTTCAGTGTGTTGGCTTGATATGTCTCGTGGAGGCGTCATAAGCTTTAGGCATCAACCAATCAATCGACAGACGATGAATTCATGTGGAAACGGCGTTTCATTCACGACCTTACCAAGCACGAATTGGCAGAGCTGCGGAAGTCCAGCGATGAGGAAACTGAACAGCCTCTCAGAGACCGTATTAGTAGACAGTGGCAAGTCGAATAGCCAGTACGGTCCTGGTAAGAGGTCATTGTGAACATCACAACTGCAGAGCAATTTTGGAATATATACAAAGCGGGCGAGTATGGCGGACGGGAAAGGTTCCTTATTGTGTCTAGGCGCAATTTCATATGGCCTTTGAGCTTGGCAGAAATAAGAGATTGATGGAAACATGGATTCTTGAATGAATAGCCCACGAAAGAAATTTGAGAAATGCTTGAGCGCTTATATGGTAAAGATAGGAATGAGACCTTCCAAACACTGGAGAAGCTTGGGAATTGTTTCACGACCAGGGCCGTTTTTAATCAAGTGAAAAGATATTCAATGCCTCAAACGGCTTGAAGCGGAGTACAGGATGATAGGGAGTCTTTCTACATGGCAGTTATAACAGGGCAGGTAAACTACTTGCCAAAGTTCATGAGGTACCACGCTTTAATTGCGGTACATCTCCAGAGCTTTTGAGGCTTCTAGTTGTGCGACTTTCCGAAATGTTCAGCGTTGCGATTTCATAACACGGCTGGGATATGTGGATGACGTTATAGAATGGTCCAGTGAGGAACTCGTCCTTATACACAACCAACGGCCGTTTGGTCGAAGTAGCACGCAGACTTTAAGATGGACACCTCCCGAAGATTTAAACAATTAGAGAGGCATTTGAGACGAGTGTCCTAATAGCTACAAGAAGCGGAGTGGCGAACCGAAGATAAAACTACTAGCTGCGACAACCTGTTCAGCTTATTTTCGGTAACTTCTCACTTTGCCGCCCAATTCGCCACCCGAAAGGACCAAGCTTTTCATCAACGGCGTTATCAGAAGCTCCCTGGCAAGACACACCGTGTTGATAGGTTGTACAAGTTCCTTTTAATTGTCGCAAGTTCAACGCCCAGCTAGTAAGTGGGCAAGATACCGGTGATCGACAAGATCAGATAATCTTAACGTGATTGCCCTTCAGCTAATGCAGCCACTTGATCAACCTCACCTCTCACCAATAGCCAAATCGCTTAGTCGCCCGCGCTATGTTAGCGCTCATTGCCTCATGCAGCAGACAAGAATGACCGCGGCTGGAATCCATCGCACCCTAGTAATTATTGCTTTGTATGCGGAAAATTTCCGACTAAATAACTCATCCTTTGAACAGCTACTGGTTCCAAGGGATGACAAACATTACTACCGTAGTGGCTTACCAGAGAGTAAACTGCACTTAATAAGAGTAGCCATCCTCCAGTATTCAAATCAAATTCCCTGCTAGATCACCTTTTTATCCTTCCACTTCTCACAGAAATATTTTTTTAGTATTCCAATGTCTTAGTCCGTCCCCCCTTATCATGCATCTATTCGTTTTCTGACTTCATCCAGTTACGTCAAGATCAACAAGGCCGTAGAGGCTAACTGGACCAAAGAGACCAGCCCTGCTCAGGTCACCATCAAGCAGCTTGGCGACGTTCTTGGGCTTTATGTGTCATGCGAGCCCGACTGGAAAACCATCGTGTCAAGACTTAACAACTTTTTTATAGACAAGTCTGAGCTTGTCATCACGGTGACACGATTTATCACGATCTGGGCCCACAATGCTGCTGTGATTGCCACAGACCGAAATCACAGATGTTGGGCAGAAACTTGCAAGGAAAAGATTCTTGACAACAACAGTGAGCTTGTATTGGATGTTAAGGTTAGTTCTAGTTGCTTGAAAGATGTAGCTACTAGACGTGACATTTGTCACTCGAAACACCGCGCTGCTGAGGAATTCGCTAACTAATGCACCAAAGGTCGGCGAAGGGGCGCAGCCGTACACGAGATGGGAGGATGATCACTTTGTGCTCTACTTGCCAAAAATGAAACCCCATCCCCCGAAAGGATACTCAGGCGCGATTAAGGAGGGTATTGTTGAGGTGTTCGAAAGATAAACGCTCAGGTTTGCTGCCTATGATACTGCAGACCCTTTTGGATCTAGGCAACATATGGAGGAATAGAGAAGGCGGGTAATTCTCGCCTATTAGTTTCTAGAACCCTATTAGTCCCCCTGCTCATCTTTAGCATGAATAAAAATTATTCGTACTACACTCACCGTCTCATGCTAGCCAATCGCAAGGATCTGTGAAATTTGGGCCAGAGAAGTCACTAGCATCAAGTTAATACCGCGCAGCTCTTCGTGCAGAGGAGTTCATTATGGAAAGTGTGATTAGGCATTTGGAGGATACAAGAGGATCCGTGAGATTATAGATCGAATGTGGCTTCTGTTTATTTGCATCAAAACCTCAAAGCTGATTGAAAGGCCTCAATGAAGCCTGATATCTTTTGCCTGACCTGGGCGGTTTTCAACTGCTTCTCCTGTCATTATTCCATGTAAGAAGCACTCTCCAACAAATGCAAAGTCGGTTCCAGACTTATTTCCTTCCCTGTCGGGATGAAGGCTAAGAACAACCGGAAGTCTACTACCGCCAATTATCCAGAGTTCCTGACCTGGTTGAATATGCCGGGGGCCAAGACCAAAAAGACCCGAGTCAGTGATGAAGAGTGCTTGTGGACGAACTATTTGCCGAGCCCAAACCTTTATGTCGTCTCCATGATCCGGTTTTCGAGGGATGAGTTTTCCAGTGATCAGTCCAAGGAAAGCACCCATCCAGTTTGATGGAAGCTGATCGGGGGCCAGTTGTTGGAAGGTTGTGATAAGTCTACCCCAACGACTGCCGGCAGATAGAAACAGTGAGCCGAGTGATCCATCGTCCAAGTCAGTAACGCCATCGGACTTATTCTCGACCACACAAATTCGATCAACCCGAAGGCCCTGCAAGCGAAGAACTCGCTCATCCTCGACTCTTAGACCATCGCTGACGCCAAAAAGTCCTCGATCTGCCGTGTATCCAAGATCATGCCATATACGACGGTGGTCCCAAAAGTTGGAGGTGCTTCGCCTAGAATGATCTTGAACACCGTTCCAATCCACAGCCCACGAGGCAAGACCCGGAATATCTGACCCTTCGCCTCCTCTGCCGATCAGAGGTATTAAGTCGCCGCTCGTGTCAATAAGACCGATAGTGGTCCGCTCATAAACTTCTCGCACGTCAAAGGAATAATTACATCTAAGGGTTTCGGGAAACGAGACATCATCTCGGAATCCTAAAAGACCGTATACTTTATCCCGCGGGTCTGTGGCATGACGGTATCTCCAACGTCAAAGAATCTCAAACAGCGGCTCTCGTAGAGTTATGGCGAGTCCTCTCATCACGCTCTGAAGGTCGACAAGGCTTCGATTCTGCCAAAATACCCCTGGGACTTTAGGTGCACTGCTTCCGAAGAAGCTATTCGCGGCCTTGCGCATCGAGTCCCATGAGATTTCATAGGGTCCCCAGAAAACTATTGCTTGATGTGGCAGAATGGCTTCTTGGACGGTCCATATCCGTCCCCACCATGAACCGTTGATGAAAGCTTTGAGGGCCATTGCAGCACCATCCACGGCCGAATCATCATCGAACCATCTCGGCCTCTTCTGAGAACCAGCCAGCCAAGATAAAAAGTCTATAGCAGCTTGGCCATCTCGATAAGCAATCTCCTCTAAGGGGCCCAGCCAGATGAGACATTGTGTGCACTGGCTGTATATACGGCACATCATGCTGACTTGTGTTTTTTCTTTGTTATCGGCTTGGTTGATGCAAAACGCGTCAATCCACAAGTATCTGGATTGCTGGCCTAGCCGTAATCTTTGAAGTGCGCCATAGAGGCTTTCTGTGACATCGAATTCCTTGCCTCTCACATATACTGTTGGTTGTAAGCTTGCGACGTTGGTGCCCCAAGTGTAGGAAAGAGCTTCATATGGAATCTCAGGATTATCCAACGATATAACATGAAACTTGCATTGTATCGGTGAACCCTGTATTCCAGCTTCGACCTCCAAAATTCTGATTTCGGACTGTAAAGAGTCCAGAGCTGGTAGCATGGACTCATCCGCAGCAATTTCGGTCATGATGTGCTGGATTGGTTGTTGCAACGAAGGGCATAAGTGATAGAAGTAGCACAAACTTCAGTGAGGTATTGTTATAAAGCTGGAAAAAGTTCCATAAGTTTATATACTCTGTGGTTTGAGCTCTTATCAATGTAAGCATTGAGGCATTGGTGGTCACTACATGGAGGGCTTCGCCTGGCTACTGTTGCTTTGGGGACCGTTAACAGGGTTCTTGGGTGGCGCAGCGCTGACTAAGACTAATGTATTGCTAAACTTAGCATTGTGTAAGATATTACGGAGTGAAGAATTAACTCATAGCTTTAACTATGTGGGGCTAATTATTTCTTAACTATTTAATATTACTATTTTATTCAAGGACATATTTAGTGGATTTACCATGTAGCACTGTGAGGTGTTTACACATTTTTAAATTATAATTTTATCCTTGCCTTTCTGCGGTTTAACATGTAAGTTAATCGAACTCCAAGCATCAGGGTTCAGGATTTAGGTCTTGTTAGCAAGTGTCTCCGTGTGCCCAAGCGTTCTTGCATGCAAAGATAAATATCTCACCCAGGGTGATCTGACTGATATTCGTACTCAGCATGATATGTAACGACATCTACAAGTCGCGATTTCTACTTAATTGTTTATTTGTAGAAGAGAAATGCTAAATCGAAGTATATATCAGATTGTCTTGGCTTACCGGGGGTCATGGAGATCACGGAAGCAAGGGGGAAGCACGGCATTCCCTTTACTTGGCCGATGGACTTTCTAACCTCCCCGCCCCCCAGCCACAACACGTTAGGGTTGGGTGCAGCGGCCGACAAAAGCAAATTGTGGCAAACGCACCCGTAACCCCAATTAAGTCTGTTCATTCTTGAAGTATCATACAGCTATCTTTCAGCCTGAGGTTCACAAGGAAAAGTCGGTCACCGCAACTAACAGTATACTCAAGAAGACCACCCACACATGAACGCTTCCTTATCATCCAAACCTGGCCAAGGAATCTGACATATACTCAACAAGCTAATCAACTTTCCCAGCTATTGAATAAAATGAACCAATTTTGAGAACACTGGAAACTCCCTAAACTGAAGCTACAAATCAGCTTTTATAGCATCACACCATCCCGAACGCAATTACACTAAAAGTTGCCTTTCAGTCTATTATTGCAGCTTGGCGCAAGTATAGGCATAAAGTAAGCCGTAGAGATACCTAACAATCTTCAGGCTTAATGCATTTTCCAGTCTGATCTTTATTATTACTGCAAACCAAACTTCTAAAGGGTTAATATTACCTTATCGCTTCGAACAAGACCGTCTTTGCAAAAGCATCCTGCAACACACAGCGCGGTGCAGACTGTAGTTTCTAGACTATTGCACGTCTTCGGGCAGGCGGTGCCGCAACTAGAACCTTGTTCCTCCTGGAAGGATATGTCAAAACTGATGTTGAACGCTGAGCTTGTTCTTTACTTACAGGACCGCATGCCTTAGAGACGGGGCGTGGAGCAGCAAACATGCCAGCAATGAGAAATAACATGAAATAAATGTGTTTTTGCATCATCTTTATGTGACCCGACTGAATTACTTTAGTTAGATTGGGAAGCAGGCGATATGCTTTAGTAAATGAGAAAAGAAGCGAGAAGGAACAGTGTTTAATAATAACAGTTCTTTCTTATTTTTATATACCCTAATGAGTCTCCCTCCATAGATGGGCCGCCTAAAATATCTAACTGAAACAATAGCGGCATAGTGGCTATCCCTTGCTTCCCTCTGCCGTGTTCGCTGAAACAGCAGTAAGACAGGATAAAAGCTACCAGGGCTAAGTGGTATGGCAAAGACCGCTCCTTTGGATGCTCCTCAGATGGTAATCAGTCTATCTCAAATAAGATCCCGAGTCTTCCATCCATTGCGGTTTATGTTTGTCGTATTGCCAGTCGCTGTGGTCATTTGTGTCTTCGGCATTAGGCACGGCGTCATAACTAAACTGTTTCTTTGCTTGAAAAGATTCAGGGAGGATTCCATTGAGCCTGGGTCGAGTCAATAACTTATATGCTACCTGGTTGCCTCATTTGTCCCCTAAAGCTGGTCTTCTTGACGGCGTCACAGTTTTACAGAGATTCAGTTCTTAGTTGGCACAACGGTGACTTGCACCCGTAGGCTCCGGGATGACAATGCAAAAGGTTGCCTCGACGGTCCTATCAAGTTCAGCTCTGGAGATAATGACAGCACAAGTCCTCAAAATAGAAGGCCAAAAAGGCAGGACAATCCTCAAAGTTTGCAACCTTCAGCTCGTCAGATCAAAATGTCAAACGAAACTCTGTAGAACCTTGTCTAATACCATCCAGAGAGGAAATGCCTTGCTATTTCTTGTATTTGCTTTGCCATCTTTCAAACTGGCAGCTTTTCAAGTTTCGCCGAATCAGCTGATCTAGCTTTTGCAGGTCCAGAAGTGATATTAAATGCTGGGTAACGAAGCTCGGGGCCTGGTCCACAAGCCTTGCAGTACAATTGGGATCAAGATATCTCTTAGGCCACCAACTGACATTTAGAACCATGTCTGCTTGAGATGAAGGCCTGGTTCAATCTAACCCTAATCGATTTTAGCACTGAGTTGTTGGAATTGATTCGGTGTCTCTTTGTAATTTTGAAGCTCCATGGCGAGGAGCTCATAGAGGCCTTACAGGGTGATAACGACACCGACATGATCTCTAAGTGACACATTTGTTAGTAGTAATTTAAGTATAAATTGAAAGGGGAAAGACCTACACGACGAGGGTAACCTAGGTAGCCATTATACGTGGCACGGCTGGTTACATCCTCGTTACTTGAAATTTGCGCAACAAGAGCAATACATGCACTGAAATTTAGGGCCGATATCTATGTCAAGAAATCGGACGCAATCAGGAATCAAAGTGAGGTGATACAAAAGCTGCGAATAAAAGCTGCGAGGCAAAGAGAATTTCTATTTTACAGTTGGGACAAAAGCAACTCAATGCACTTACACATTCAATTTCAGCTGATGTCCTTATGTCTATAACGCGCTTATCCTCGCTTACACTAAGAGTGCTAAAATGGTTGGCGCTAGCTGATCTACAATGGGGATGAATGCTGCCTATAAGGTTAAGCTTTA